TTTCAGGGTCAAGGAATTCGAGTCGGTTATTAGTTTTTAAAGAAAATAGGCTTTTTAGAGATTTTATTCAGTTTAATTACTGACATAGAGCTTTTGATGACTTTTTTGTAACAAATGATAAAAATGCTTGAGTTTAACAGTCAATCTTTTGTTCTATTTGCTTGCCAAAGACCAGATTTCAATGTCTTATTAGATTCTATTAACTGATTGACTCTATTAGAGTCAATCATTATCAATATTTTGCTTGAAATGTAGAGATTGAAGGAGAAGGGGGGAGGGGAGACAATAGATGGCAAAAAAAGAGATCCAAAAAAGAGCGGGCAAAAAAGAGAGCTCTAAAGAAGCGAAAAAAGCAATGGATTGAGGAAAAGAGTTTGGAAATGAGATAAAAGTTTACATAAAGACGATGAAAAATGGGAAAAGCTGAGAAAACGATGAAAAGAGTTCGGGGAAAGAGGTTGAACACGAGGTGAACAGGGCTGGTCCCGCTCCATCGATCGCTCCCCTTTCCCTTCCCCAAACTGGTTCCCTTTCTATATTTTTCCTCTCTTTTTCCTCTTTCTCTTCCATTTTCTCATTTCTTTAACCTTTTCATTCGATATCTTCCTATCTTCCTTCTCTTCTTTCTTCCTTCTCTTCTTTCTTCCTTCTCCTCTTTCTTCCTTCTCTCCCTTCCTCATTTCTCTTCTCTTTCACTTCCCCTTGCCCCGGCTAGTATTTCTTCTTCTGAAATCTTAATTTCTTCAGTTTACCTCATTTTTGAATGAAATTATTTTCTAACACTATTCTATGATACTTAACACTGATTTAAAGTATAGTAAGCTATACTTTAAATAGAATATCAATAGCTAAAAGTTGTACATTAGTTAGGCTATAATTCTAGATCCACACAAATCATATCGAGGTAGATTAGGATCACAACAACTACAATTATAACAATATTAGTACAATAATAACTACTTCTATTACTATTATATTCAAATTAAGCTATAAATTATTCATTTTGAACTTAGAACAATCTTTATTTGAACCCTTTCTCTCAGTTTTGAACCTATTTGCATACGATTAAGCACAGTGAAGCCCGAAAGTATACGAGAAAAATCAATCCACAGACTGTTAGATTCGATTTTTTTTATAGCAAAACTTGCCAAGTTATAGATTTTCTTATAGTCAGTAGCTTAATCTTCAACCAAAAACTTGTTATGCCGGATCTTGTATCCAAAATTGTGCCTCCTTATCCTTTTCTATGGCTTCTCATTGTATATCCAAGTTGGATACACGCTTTGGCACCTAATCTTGCTTCTATTCCATAAAAATATTCATTTTCATTTCACTGGAAATATTCATTTGCAAAGGGAAAGTTTTTAAAACAAAAAAAGTTTGGCGAGAGTGGGACTGGAACTTGGGGACGAAGATGTGACACGCTCGATAGTTTAGCAGCTTAGTTTAGCAGTTTAGCAGATCCACTAGACCACAAACGAAGCTTTGGGAGGAGCGTGTAACGGCTTCTTAAGGAGTCCGAAATAAAAGCTTAGGCTCAGGCTCAGATGACAAAGTCTGTGCTCACACAAACGCTCACCTTCCAGCGCATTTGGGTATTCAAATTGATGAATCTCACAGTATCGAACTGTGCCAGAGAGTGTGCGTTTCTGTGAGCACAAAGTAGCGCTTAACTTTCCAATATCTACCCATTTTTCTGTCAAATAACATAGGCATGTCCGTGCCTCAATTTTCTCAAAACAATTTGTTCAAGTGCCATTTTTGGTTTCAAACAAAAGCTTTCCTTTTCCAGAGTCAATATTTTTCAAGTAGGAAAAGGCCAAAAATCCCAACGCAAACTATATTTGTTTTTCGCTAAAATTTTCTTCTTTTCATGTCAAAAAATGCGTGAAAAAATTTGCGATCATTTCTCTTAAAAATAGAGAGAAAATCCTGTATTTTTCACGAAAAAGGATGTGAAAAACAAAAAAAATGGGGAAAAGGTGGTGAATCGTGTTTGTTTTCGACAAAATATCCCTTTTCTGCGCACAGTATCGAACAGAACACTGGCAAACGGTCAAATTTCATCGATTTAACACGGGAAAATCGGATTTTGTTTGTTTTGATGAAATTTTGATGAAGTTAAATGTCTAGATTAGGAAGATTTTATCAATTTCTAATTGCGAGTTTGAAATTTGTCGGATTAAGATATTAAATGCCCCTTCAGTTCTTAGCTCTAGAGTTTATTTTACTAGCAAGTTCAAGTGTACGTTGTGTTTTAGTAAAAACACCCGCTCCGGCGTACTAAATCCTTAATTCTGAATAGACTTTTTTTGGTGTGTAAGTTAGAATCCTATTTACACTTTAAGGCTTTTTCAGGGGAAATTTTTTGCGCAAGTTTTGATGAAGTTAAATGTCTAGATTAGACAGATTTTATCAATTCCACACTAAAATGCACTAAACTACCATGCCAAACTAATTAAGCCCAAACTAAACTAACAAAACTTAAACTAAACTAATGATTCCAAACTAATTATGCCCAATAAAACTAAAAAAAGTTAATTCCGACCTCTTATTGTTGTTGCCCGTTGATTTCATTGTTGTTGTTTCAATAAATTTTCATTTCGACATTGACAAGTCCTCCATCGCCCTGTAAAAATCCTTCTAACAAAGCGATCTGTTCAAAAAATGTTAAAAATAAACTTAACTTTGGTTCCAGATAATGAAAAAAAACAAAAATAATGGTCAAAAGGGGAGTGGGACAAATGCGACCTTTTTTTTGCGCACCCGGACATTTGCGCACATTTTTTTCCGCACCTTGCCCATTAGGGCACCTTTTTTCGCGTCTTAAAAAAGTTCTAAAAAGCTAATGTTAACCAATTTCTATTCCAAAAGTTGTTTTTCTAGGTAATTTGAGGGCGTAGAATCGAAATTTTGACATATCAGAGCTTGTGGAAACAAACGGACGGAGTTATATAAAGAGAAAAATCGACAACTTTCTGTAATTTGATCTAGTCTTTCAAATTGGTTCCACACGCTCTGTTATGTCAAAATTTGAATTCGACACCCTCAAATTACCTAGAAAAACAACTTTTGGAATAGAAATTGGTTAAGATTAGCTTTTTAGAGCTTTTTTAAGACGCGAAAAAAGGTGCGCTAATGGGCAAGGTGCGGAAAAAACGGTGCGCAAAAAGAGGTCGCATTTGTCCCATCCCCAAAAAAAACATAAAAATAATGGTGAAAAGTAAAAAAAATGAAATTGGTTAATTGCCAAAAAATTGGAGGGTTACGGTAGTTTAGTGCATTTTAGTGTGATGCGCAAAAATTTTTCTCGCCAATTTTTCGCGTGCTTTTTAAAGCGTGGATACGCACCGTACCCCGCACAAAAACCCCCTTTTGCAATTCGTTTTTTTCATTTCATTTCATAATGGAATTGGGAATGTTGTTCGGCTTTTATGCCGAGTCCAGCAAAGTTTTCTTCCCGCTTTGGTCCCAAATCTATTATGTTTTGTAGCGCGTTTTTAAAGTACTCCCCCTCCCCTCGTTCGTTCTCTCCTTTTTATATTATTCCGCCTATGTTTCCTGTTTAAATTTCTATTTTTTAATTTCTAAAATGGTTTTGTTTCGTTTCTCTCGGTCCCCTTCTTCTCCATTGTCTTTGAATCTTTTGTACGTGATGTATAAACGTAACTTAACCAATTCCTTTAAACTAAAACGCAAATCTAAATAATCTGCCACGATTTTCGATTTTTTAGATTTAGATTTTCTTGTTACTTTGTTTCTTGTTACTTGATTTTCTTCATCTTAGGTTTCGTGCCAAATTATTTTATAGAAAGGTTGATAAGTCTAAAGGTGTTAGGTATGGAAATTAGTCACTAACTTGTACTCACAAAACGTACTCTTTCTGGTGCAATAGTTTTTGTCTCAGCATTTCCCTGAAGACTGAAGAATTGAGTGTGCCAGAGCGTTTTTACAATATGAAAAACATTAAATTTCTTTCTTTAAAACATTGCCTTTCAAACAATCACTCAAAATTTCCGATGTTTTCATGGAATTCGTCATCAAAATGTTATTGATAAGTGAAAAAAATGGATTTATCCGTTTTGCAAAAGAAATTTAGTCTGGCTTCCCTTTTTGAGGTTTCTTTCTTTATCTGGGATTAAAATTTTCTTTTTAAAAAGTGAAATCGATTCGTTTTTGGTGGGGGATTTGAAGTTTCATTGATTTTTAATATTTATTTTATCATAAAACACTTCCAGGGGCAAAGTTTTCAGTCAGTTTTGGATTTGAAAGGCTCGAGAATATTTCACAAAGCGGCAAATTTCCTTTCTTTTCTTTGATTTGAAAGTTCTTTGATCTTTCAACTAAATATCAATTTCATTTTCCCCACTTTTACCTCTCAAGAAAAGATGAGGAAATTTTTGGAAAAGAATGAATAGAAAGAGAAGAAAGAATGAAAAGAAACCAAAAAGGAGGATTGATGACGTAAAAACCTTGGTCTTTTCCCCGTTTTTTCCACGTTTCCAAAGAAAAACCAAGTATTTCTCAATAGTAACGCAGAAATTTGCGGACTTTGTCTACTCATCAAGTTATTTTAAGTAAACATTTGACGCAGAAATGAATCGTTTTCTGATTAATCTTTTGAAAGTTTTCCGTTTAGATTCAAAACAAAATCTGTATAGAAATTACTGTCTTTTAAATTTTAAATGTTATTATTTGTTATAACATATAAGTATTACAATAGACATAACTTTTAGATGTCGATTTGTTCTCATCCTTTTCTAGATCTTTGGTTTTTTTGAACCTTTGACTTTTTATCTTTTCTGTTTAGTCTGTTTAGTGTTTTGTCTCTCTTTTTCTGCCAAAAAACAAAGGCAATGACGTGCTTTTTTTTGTACTTTTTACTTTCTCAATATTTTTTTAACAATTAAAAACTTCCAGGTTTAATGTTTCGTTTATTGTGATCAAAGCAAGTCACGGGCAAAAAAAATTGAACAAAATTTGGATATTTTGTACATAAAATGATGGTTGCCGGTCTCTCAACTACACTAACGACTAGACCACTTGAAGCAAATAGGTAAGAGGTTTAAAGAAGTAAAAATGGTAAAGAATAAGGTGTTAAATCTTCAATTTACATCTGAAACTTTAGTCGAATGGATTTGTCGACCGGTTTACGAACGAGAAGCGGATCGTCGTCAGAGGTTTGGATTTGAGAAACAAGCTTACTGTCTATTAGGTTGTCAACTAAATAACCGGACTTTTTCACGAAAAATTGGTTTTACAAATGTTGAATGCACCAAATGAAATACGGTTTTTACCATTTGGAAAGATCTATTTTTCCGCTGCAAAATGGTTGTTGGCAATTTAGAAAAGCTTTTGTTTTTTGGAAGCGCAAAGGCAAGTAGGCAAAATTGGGGAGAATGGTTGTTGTTGTTTTTCGAATCGATGGTTGGCAACTTTTTTGATGAGAGCTGACACTAACTTTCTATGCCAAAGAAAGATCAATCTTTGCGACATTTTTAGTGAAATTTCCAGTAAAATCCATCCAGAGATTTTCTACAAATTTCAAGTTATTCAAACCGCCTCATATGATCCGATCCAAATCTTTTATTTGAGGACTTTTGTTCAAACTAAACTAAACTAAACTAAACTAAACTAGAAAAAAACGGCTGGACGGATTTGGATAAAAATTTTACTGAAAATATAGAAAATCTATGTCTTTATTTTACGTAAAAAAGTAAAACTAATTCTTGCTGAAAAGTTTGTCAAATGGATTTTATACTACATGATTTGCAAAATGTTACTCAAGAACGGTCAAAGATTTTTCAGTTCTGATTTTACGGGCCAAATCGCTATAGGCGGTTATATATTGTCTCAAAAAATCAGACCGAAATTCCCACTAAGACTCGAGTTATGAAGTAAACGGACAAACACACACTAATTTTGCGTCACTTAACTTAATGTACACTTAAATTTGTTCAAATTCAAGTTCTTAATAAAGAATTAATATTCAAAGAATCAAGCTTTCATATCTCTTTTATGAGTAAAACAATATTTTTAGGAAACGGAAACATTGCGCGTGCGAATCGTTCGCGGTGAGAAATTGGGTGGACGAGATTTATTCGGAGTGACAAGTCCATATGTGATTGTAAGTGTGGAAACGGCTGGAGGGGAACTCATTCATAAAGTGCAATTGGAAACAAAGAAAAAGGTGAGTGCGGAGAATGGCTAGATTAGTAGGTAGAAGTTCTTGGTTTGGCTTGGCTTGACATTAAATCTTTAGAAATACTGTCTCATAGTATCTCACTACAGTAATATCTTTAAATTCACTTGACGGACATATAGCTCAAGGTATACTGTAGCAAGATAATCTTTAAGATTTAAGACTTCAGACTTCTAATCACTTATTCAAATTCTAGACCCGGAACCCGCAATGGCACGAGCGAGTGACTTTTCGATGCACTCGGAATAGCTGGCTGAAAGTTCATGTGTACAGTGAAAATAAAATTGTGAGTTTTATTGAAGAAATAGTTTCGATATTGATAGTTTAGATATTGATTGAAATTTTGATATTTGAAATTTAGAGAAAGGATCAATTCTTGGGAAAAGTCGAATTGGATCTTTCATCTCCACTCATTCCGAATGACTGTCGACCAGCTGGAGCATATGCATTGAAAGGAGGGAAACATAGAAATGCTGGTGAGGGTTTTTTTGAAGAAAAAAATGATAAAGAATAAAATTAGACTTTGAATTGAATACGATAGGTTATAACCTTAGTATTAGACTTTTCAGAAAGTCTTTTCGTTCTGATTTGCTTGAAATTGAACCGAAATTGACTTAAAAAGATGGAAATTGAGCAAGAAGCACTTTTGCTATTGATTAATTGATGAATTTGTTATTTTCAACGGAAGAACGAAAAGACGAAAAGAATTTCTGAACAGCTTAATGTGTTAACGATGATTTTCGTAGAAAATAGCAATTGCTAAGCTTTTTCGCTCTATTTATACAATAAGAACTATATAATAAGTAATCCTTATTACTCGTCATATTTTCAGGTATAATTCACATGTCCGTTCATTTCTCATCAGGCGATCATTCACCGAGCACGAGCAGCGCCGACGCGCCCACCACTCCTTCAATGCCGGAGGGTGGGAAAAGATTAGAGATAGAAAAATTACAGAATATCTTTATCAAGATATATATTACAACCAGCTCTGGCCCGTGTCGGCACTTTTGGTTTTTTAAAAATTTAGAAACATGTTGCACAAATACATGAAATTCTAAGCCAAACTAACTATAAATCATTTGAACCGGCCCACCGGATGCGGAGGAGTAGTGCGCACAGACAGACAGACTAATAAAAGCACTAAAACTATTATTTTTACATAGATTAGCATTTAACTATTCCTATAGCTGATTTTTTTAGGTTGGGAAGAGCGGGAGGACGCAAACGGTCGAACATTCTATGTGAATCACCTCCTACGGACAACTCAATGGGATCGACCGAGTCTCGAAGACAACAGTGATAGGTAGATTTTACTGTAAGAAGATAGTGAACGACTTTCGGGATATTTTAAAAAGACTGGAGACTGCAAATTACAATATCCTAACAGGGCTTTTGATTTTGTACCACTTTGTTCACTCAACTTTTCAGTATTCGTGATATTGAGAATCGTCAAGTTGCCCGTTCAAACTACAATCAGCGAATGGGTGTCGATTCAAGTCCGCAAGCTGTTCACAATGATTTGGTGGCATTGGATGAGAGAATGAGTGCTAATTTTCACGGAACGCCAAACGGAAATGGAGATGATGAGGATGGATCGTTACCGGCTGGATGGGATATGCAGGTGAGAATCAATATTGTCTAATAGTTGGTTTCCTCCTTGGATACTATTTTGGCACGTTGTCTGCTTTGCAGAGTCAAAAAATCTAAAGGTTTACGAAAAAAACTTTCAATCAAATACCCAAACGAGGAATCAAGCGTCACAACTGCTTTACAAAGCACAATAACTTTACATCGAAACGTTGAAATTTGCCACGCCTTGCGGGATACGAATTCATAAATCAGCTTGCCTTGCGAGATGAATAGAAACTAAAGTACTTTCCGCGTGTGAACGCCAATACGTGTGATTCGGGTTAGATTAAATTTAGATTTATCTACAAACGACAAAAGAATCGATGAATGACTCACATAAAACAAAGCAATACAAAAGAAAGAGAAAGCGCAAACGCGTCTTGCGTATGAGCGCGAGCGCCAGCTCAAGCTTAAGCACCAAAAAAAATGAAAAGAATTACCAACGGGAAAAGGAGCACGAAATAGGAAACGGCTATTACCGAGTACGGTAGGACAAGAGAGAACGGGGGGTATAAAAAGGGGAATTACTCAACCTTAATAGTTGTCGAAATCTGTGTACTGTATATCTAAATATGTATCTAATATCAAACACTCTAGGTTGCTTCAAATGGTCGAATCTTCTACGTCGATCACAACACGAAGACCACTCAATGGGATCATCCGAGAACTGGTTCGTTTGAAATAGGAATTTGGAAATTTTTAAAGCATTTTCTTACTATATCTATATTCGTATTAATAAATGTAAAGTACATTCTAATTATCTAGATTAACTATTTAATCTTATCCATTAAATTTCTAGGCTTCATCCGAAGTGTCGGGAAAACCGATGACGAATTGGGACCGTTGCCCGAAGGATGGGAACAAAGGTGAGAAATTGATTGGATAACAATGTTACATAAGAAAAAAAATGTATCCAACGTATAGAATAACAAGAATTTCAGAGTTCACACGGACGGCCGAGTGTTTTTCATCGATCACAACAGTAAACAAACACAATGGGATGATCCGAGATTCGAAAATGAAAGCATTGCCGGTCCGGCGATCCCGTATTCGAGGGATTTTAAGAGAAAGGTTTGTGAAAAGGATTAGAGAGAAGATGTTCTTTGCGCCCACTTATAAACACACCTTTTCTGGCGCATTTACTCGTTTTCAGGTGGAGTATTTACGCCAAAAATTACCCAGAGCGACGTCGAATGGAAAATGTGATCTGATCATTCATCGAGATAGCATTTTTGAGGACAGCTATCGACAAATTATGGACAAAGTGAGATAATAAAAGAAAAAGTGGCTATTTTCTATTTCTATTAGTAAAAAGTGGCTATTTTCTTTGAAAAAAAATGTTAAACTTTCTTTAAAAAGCTTTAAACTTTAAGGTTTTTTTTTTAAGGAAAATTTTTTGCGCATCACACTAAAATGCACTAAACTACCGTAATCCTCCAAATTTTTTTCGCAATTAACCAATTTCATTTTTTTATTTTTCACCATTATTTTTGTGTTTTTTTTTTCATCAACTCGACATCTGGAACTAAATTAAAATTTATTTTTAGCATTTTTTGAAAAGGTTCCTTTGTAAGAAGGATTACAGGATTAATACACGCATTAATCATCCATTGGTCTGTAAAAATCCTTCTAACAAAGCGATCTGTTCAAAAAAATGTCTAAAATAAACTTACCGTAACTACTGTAATAGTACCCCGCCCCCCTCGTACAGTCGCGTAGTCGCAAAAGTTTTTTAGTATTTCATTTTTTTTCAAAGCGTCCGTACTTTCAAAAAATGCGTCTTTAGTATCAAAAAATAGCCCTGAATTTCAGCTATTTTTCGATACCGAAGCGCGCATTCTAGCATAAACCAGTGACGAGAAAAACCCGTTCAAAGCTAGACTATGCAACACTCCGCACCGTCATTATGGGGGTGGGGTACTATTACAGTATTTACGGTAACTTTAGTTCCAGATTCAAAATCTGGAATGATGTTGCTGAAAAAAAAAATAAAAGTAGGGGTGAAAAACAGAAAAAAACAAAGAAATCGGCTAATTGCCAAAAAAGAAAAATTGGAGGGTTACGGTAGTTTAGTGCATTTTAGTGTGATGCGCAAAAATTTTTCTTTGAAAAAGCCTCAAAGTAATCTTTTAAGGCACCGGTTACACGGTTAAAGTACCTAATTTTTTTTAAAGAAACCCGCTTTTTAAGGTACCTACTAATAGGAAAGAGTATATAAAGTAGAAAAATATAAAGTATAAAATATATAAAGTATTGATTTTAGTCGGTTTCTGAGTTGCGTCACAAGCTTTGGATCGAGTTCGCCGGAGAGACGGGACTCGATTATGGTGGAGTGAGTTCATTTCAACACTGGAATTTAAATGAGCATTGAAATCGATAGAGCTTTCGGAGTACGAATACTATGTGCACACTTTAGGTTGCAAGAGAATGGTGCTTTTTGCTCTCCCATGAGATTTTCAATCCATACTATGGACTCTTCGAGTACAGTGCAACGTGCGTGCTCTTGCAAAGTTGTTATTAAATAGTAAACAAGATTTTAGTGACAATTACACTCTTCAAATCAATCCCCATTCCGAAACAGCAAATCCCGAACATCTCAACTATTATCATTTCATTGGAAGAGTGATTGGAATGGCGATTTATCATGGGAAATTATTGGATGGTGAGTAGAAGACACGAGTTTTTGTTATTGACAAGGGAAGGTCAACTGGATGAGCTGGTCAAATGCTATGCTACCATTTGCAGATTTTATGCTGATTCCGAATATATATTTCGTTTTTGCTAAATGACAATCTGTCAAGAGTTATAAGCGTTTAAAGTTTTGTTTGAACTCTGAAAATTGTCATTTGGTTATTTGGTCATTTGGTCAGCTGTCAATCATTTGGTGGCCTCCATGCAGACCTGATTTCATGCAGCTGTGGCCGAGTGGTAAAGCGTTCGGTTGCAGAGCGGGACCTTGCTAGTGGGATCAAAAGTTCGATCCCCACTTCGGATTTTTCTTTTTTTCTTTGGCTTTTTTCAAGAAGTGCAGATTCCGAATATGCATTCTGTTTTTGACATTCTGCTAAATGACAATTTGTCAGAAGTTAGTGTTCTAGTGTTCTTGAAAAAGAGCAAAGCAAAAAAACCAAAGGATCGAGCTCGTGAGGTCTCACTTTGGAAACGAAGGCTGTACCTTTGGCCACGACTGCACCGAAACCGGCCAAGGAAGCCGCTAAGACCCAAATGGCCGCATTTTCAGACAAAACTTTAGACGCTTATAACTTCCGACAGATTGTCATTTAGCAAAAACGGAATACATCATCGGAATCAGCATAAAATTCGGCAAATTGTGTAGCAAATTGTAGCATTTGGCATTTGGCATTTGGCTCAGCTCAACTAGTTGACGTCAGCCAGTTGACGTTAGCCAGCCAGTTGACGTCAGCCAGTTGACGTCAGCCAGTTGACGTTAGCCAGTTGACGTTAGCCAGTTGACGTTAGCCAGCCAGTTGACGTTAGCCAGCCAGTTGACGTTAGCCAGCCAGTTGACGTTAGCCAGCCAGTTGACGTCAGCCAGCCAGTTGACGTCAGCCAGCCAGTTGACGTCAGCCAGCCAGTTGACGTCAGCCAGCCAGTTGACGTCAGCCAGCCAGTTGACGTCAGCCAGCCAGTTGACGTCAGCCAGCCAGTTGACGTCAGCCAGCCAGTTGACGTCAGCCAGTTGACGTCAGCCAGTTGACGTCAGCCAGTTGACGTCAGCCAGTTGACGTCAGCCAGTTGGCAACCTTCCCTTGTGAATCGATTGAATGCCTTAAAGATCAATTACTCTTTAAATTCCCTCAAATTTCAGCTTTCTTCATCCGTCCATTCTACAAAATGATGTTGGGAAAGAAGATCACATTATTCGATATGGAAAGTGTCGACAATGCTTATTACAATTCATTGATTTTTGTGATGGATAACGATCCGAGCGATCTCGATTTAACATTTTCGGTTGATGATCAAGTATATGGAGAGACACAAACCGTTGAATTGATTGAAAATGGGAGAAATGTCGGAGTGACAGAAGAGAACAAAAAGGAGTACATTGAGGTGAGGGGAAATTGGATAATCGACCTTAATCTAGAGTAATCTAGAACTAGAGTAACCTAGAACTAGAGTAATCTAGAACTAGAGGAGACTAGAACTAGAGTAAACTAGAACTAGAGGAGACTAGAACTAGAGTAAACTAGAACAATCAAAGTATCGAACTACAGTAACCCGTGATCTTTAGGCTGTCGTCAATTGGCGTTTCATCAAACGAATCGAGCCACAAATGGGTGAAATTATGAAAGGAGTAAATGAGGTAAAGAATTGAGGAAAAGAATTGAGGAAAATTTCAATATATTGATATATATATTGATCTACAGTACTGGACAATGAAATATCATATTTGAAAAAACGATCGTCACTTTCGCGCGTCTGTAACTCGCTTGTCTTTGAGTTTAAACTATTAGTGTTATACATTTTCTGAAAGCTCTTTTCATGGGCTACACAATGGTAATATTAATATTTAGAAATACGGTAAAGACAAGGGAGTTACAGAGGCGCGAAAGTGACGATCGTTTTTCAAATATGATATTTCATTGTCCAGTAGTGTATATCAATTTAAAAATTGATCTAGATTGTTCCCTCGAATCTCTTGAAGCTCTTCGATGCGAACGAATTGGAATTGCTGATGTGTGGATTGCAGAAAATTGATGTGAAAGATTGGAAAGGAAACACGATTTATAAAGGAGGATATGGGCCAAGTAGTCAGGTGAGAAAATGGGTTCAATTTGTCTTTCTTGTCTTTTAAAATGTCTTTTAAAATGTCTTTTAAAATGTCTTTTAAAATGTCTTAAATTTGTCTTTTTATTGTAATCATTGTTCCTACAGGTGATTCATAACTTTTGGAAGTGCATTCTCTCCTTTGACAACGAGATGCGTGCTCGGGTACTTCAATTTGTGACTGGCACGAGTAGGGTGCCGATGAATGGCTTCAGGTTTGTAAAGAGCTTTAGCTGTAAAAGAAAACTTTAGCGATCAGAGCAAATATCTACTGTATTATATAGCTTTTTACGGCTCTTTTCTACCTTAAAAAAAATCGGGTACTTTAACAGTGTTGCAACAGGTTTATGCAGCGTTTCACCAATCATCTTTTAATCACCGTGAAAGAATGTGGAGAGTACGGAAGATACGAAGATACGAAGAGATGAACATTTTAAATGCGAATTTCGAGCGCACATACGAAAGATATTAAAGTCACTGGCAGTTCCAGACCGAGCATATACCGTAGTGTCTGTCAATCTTTGAATGTTTTCATAGCAAAGACAACTTCTTTCAGTGAATAACATGAAAAGCAAAAGAATATCAAGCAATAAGCAAAACAACGGTCTGGATCCGCAGTTTGGATCCGAACCCACGACCCCCGGATCTAGAGACCGGGACACTATCCCCGCGGCCACACCTGCCCCTCGGCACCTGGAAAAATTTTCGTTCACATAGACGGACGGACAGACAGACAGATAGATGGACGTTTTATTTTTTGTATATAGTAGATTGAGAGCTGTCAATCTACTATATACAAAAAATAAAACCTCCGTCTGGCTGTCTGTCTGTCCGTCTATCTGTCTGTCTGTCCCTCCGTCTGTCCGTCCATCTGTCCGTCCGTTCGGCTGTCTGTCCGTCTGTCCGTCTGTCTGTCCGTCCGTCTATCTGTCTGTCTGTCCGTCCGTCACAACTACGCGACAATACAAATTAAGTTAACCTAAAATTACAAAGAAATGTTACAAAGAAAGCAATGGTATAAAAATGTTCGAAGTTTGAAGGGAACAATGCCACAAAAATGATCAAGCCGTGATCAAGACAAGATTGGAAAAAGTCGGCCAGCCAAGATTAGAAAACAGCACTTTGAAAGAATCGGCTTGAACTTTGTTTGAGCATTCGGATTGTTGGGAGAATTGTTGTGGGAAAGTAAGTTGTGGATTCATTGTTGGGCATCACCACTTCCTTAAGGTTTTCTTAAGGTTTTCTTAACTTTTCTTAAGGTACCCGCTGAAGTACCCGATTTTTTGCCTAGTAATAACCTTTTTTTACCTAGGAAAGAGCCCTTATTACTTAATTGAAATTCTCTTGAGTCTAGTGTCTTTATCCTACATTTTTCAGAGAACTCTATGGATCAAACGGCCCACAGAAGTTCACAATCGAGCGTTGGGGCTCACCCGACATGTTGCCAAGATCGCACACATGGTAAGAGCTGGAGGAAGTCGGGGAAGAAGCTAAGAATGATATATATAGCAATTCTCTAATCTGTATAGCAATACTTTCGACTATCGTACCCATCTCTAGGTTACAATAGCCGATTTCAGAGCGGGTTATCCGGGTGGATGCTCGGAAATTCACAAGTTAGCTAACTTGTGAGCTAACACAAGTTAGCTAAAGGCTAGGTATCAAAGTACAGGCTAGGCATCAACGTACAGGTTAAATATCATTCAATTTCCAGTTTCAATCGTTTGGATCTTCCTCCATATCAAACATTCAACGAATTGAAACAAAAACTGTGCACTGCCATCGAGAATTCCGAGATTTTTAGCGGAGTCGATTAGATTTTATCCAAATTTTGTGAATTTTTTTCATTTTTACTCTTCAATGCTCATCGTTGGCCTTTCTTTACGCGCTTTTTCAAAAAAAAAATATCAATTTGCACCTATTCCCCTATATTTTTACGTGCTCAACGTGTTCAGTTGCCATATAAAAAACAACAGTTCTAGTTTCATTTTTTTGTCATTTGTGTTTTTTTTCGGATTATGTATGTACTATGATTGACAAGGATTCTGTAAAAACTCTTTTTGAAAAAAATATAGTCAAACTTGTTGTCATTCTGAAATTTCTGAAACCTGTGATTGAACTTTACGATGGGAAAATCCGGTTTTTATTGAACAGAATAAATTTTAGTAAAATAACTGCATTTTAGCATTGGGACGAAACGTTACAGTAACACGAGACACTTATCGAGTATTTAGGGAAAATATTTCAGTTAGAAAAAATCCCTTTTTTCGTTCTTTTCCCCTTTTCCATTGGACAATCGATTTTTACGTTCTTTTCCCATCTTTTCGCGGTCATTTCGAAAGTTTATGCTCTCAAATACTTTTTCTCTACAGATTTGGTTCCTTTTCTATGTAGAATTGGTTCCTTATCTCTACAGATTTGGTTCCTTATCTCTACAGATTTTGTTCCTTTCCTCTACCGATTCATGACTATTTTACCTGTGAATTAACATTTGACATATTAATAAATTGTTAAGGTTTGTTAAAATTTGGGGTAGGCTAATTTCCGCCATTTTATTTACGCAACAGGGTCTTTTGCGCAACTCGCCATAACTTTCTTTTGAATGAGCCAATCTTTATGATTTTTGATCATTTTGTTTTAATCATTTTGTTGCAGTTACTGAGATCTACAAAATGACACCAAAAACAGAAAGATTATGGTCCACTTAGAAGAAAGTTATGGCGAGTTGCACAAATGACCCAGTTGCGCAAAAAATTTGGCGCAAAGTAGCCACCCCCAACTTTTCTTTGCACCTCCGAATGTCTTCTCAAAAATCAAAGCAGCTAGCACCCAATTTGTTCCTGGCTTTTACTTTATCTTCCTTTCATTTCGCTAAATTTAAAGTATTGTATACAATTAAAATTCTCCATGGCTTTATTTATAATTTATGGACTTTGTTTTCTTGTTTTTCAAATATAGGACTAATCTTTAAATTACAGGCAGATGGAGGCTACGTGCTCGACATCGACAAACATGGAAACGGAGACGCCAACTTCTGGACCCGATGCCAGTCTTCCTCCTGCTGTTATCGTCCTTGGAATGGCCGGCTCTGGGAAAACTTCTTTTGTGCAACGACTCACTTCTCATCTACACGCCAAGGGGACTCCTCCATATGTGGTGAATCTTGATCCGGCCGTTCACAAGTTGCCCTATCCGGCTAATATCGATATCAGGGACACCGTGAAATACAAGGATGTAATGCGAGAGTACGGACTTGGACCAAATGGAGCAATCATGACGTCGTTGAATCTTTTGTGCACGCGTTTTGACAAGGTGCTCTCGCTGGTTCGTCAACGGGCTCCACAATACTCGATGTGTTTGATGGATACACCTGGACAAATTGAGGCATTTACTTGGTCGGCTTCTGGATCGATTATCACCGATTCGTTGGCAAGCCAACAACCGACCGTGATTGTTTATATTGTCGATTCAGCTCGCGTGGCAAACCCCACAACTTTTATGTCAAACATGTTGTACGCTTGTTCAATTTTGTACCGAAACAAACTTCCGTTTATCATTGTTTTCAACAAGGCTGACATCGTGAAGCCGACTTTTGCGATGAAATGGATGCAAGATTTCGAGGAATTTCTGGCAGCTTTGGATGAAAGTGGGTCGAGTTACACTAGCGATTTGAGCAGATCGTTTGCCCTTGTTTTGGACAGCTTTTATGCAAACTTACGCTCAGTGGCAGTGAGTTCGATGACTGGAGAGGGAATGGTGGATGTAGAAAAAGCTATTGAGGCTAGCATTGAAGAGTACAAGAAAGATTATCTGCCAATTTATGAGAAAACAATGGCCAACAAGAAGCAAATTGATGCGACAGAAATGCAAAAGAAGATTGAAGCTTTAAAAAAGGAGCCCGTTTTGTTGTCAATGTCTGGAGATGTCGTGGAAAATCTTCCAATTGAAAAAATGCAGATCGAGGAAACAAAATAATTTGTCGGTTTTGATATTTGTGTTGAGTTTTTATCTTGTGTTCAATAAATTTTATGTTATTTTTGAGAGAAAACTGCTGTTGTTTGCATCAAAAAAAATATTTCAGAGATTTAACTCGCTTGTATTTTGAAGAAAGTTGGTTATTTTAATTTCACACTACACAATTTGGTTCTCTAATTTTTTGCGTTGTTGGTCACTTACACGACCTTTCCTAACGAGCTCCTATATTGCGCCCTTTCTATCGTACCACAAACTTTGAAGGTGAAAAACCGCGAGGAGTTAGGTTAGGTATTTTAAAGTCGTGTACAGCAACGTGTTAAAGCTTTAATTTTTTTAATGAGAAATAAGGAAATTTGTGTTTGACGTTGTTCTTGCATGAATGCCTTATTAGTAGTGTTATTCACTGTTTATATTCAAGTTGAGCCATTCGATTTGTGCGCCATAATATGAAGTGATGCAGGATCAAATAAAGTGAGTCTTGGGCGTTCGTTAACTTATCTATAATTGATTTTTTAGGTTTGTTATTCCTGATCGTGACGATGATCTGCTTATGGAGCGATCCGGCACCTACATGGTCACCAATGTCGATGATTTGCAAACTTGCATTGAGAATTTTCGAGGTGATTCAATTTCAAGTTTTTGCCACTTTAACATTAAAATAAGTTTAGATATAAATAACTTTGATTTTAGAGTTCGAAGGACGTTACTCGGACGAGGGACCCGAATGCATGCTGAAATTCTTTGACTCGCTCTTTTTCATGGTCAAAAAGCCCACCTCTGCAGACGATGTTGAAGTAAAAGATGCCAATCTCTTACTGAATCTGGCCGAAACGTTAACCGGAGGTAGCTCTATCAAAACGATAGCTATTGATGAAAAAATACAGGAATGGCTGACGTCTTTAACTACTCGCTAGAAGGGCTACCATTTATGATCAGAATGTCTACGGAAAAGCTACAAAAAGAGGTTCATATTAAATTGATTAGAAACACTAGAAAGGTTTAGGAAATTCAAATGGCTTTGAAGTCACGAACAAGTTTGATGATGCATTTGTACTTACTCTGGCGTGTTAATTCAAGAGTGGAATCGCTTTGGATCAAATGGTAAAATTTGTAAAGATAACTAACCGTCCGCAAATGTTGTTTAAGGCATGCTCAGCAACGAATGCAAATGCCAAAGAATCGAACAAAAGGAAAAGGCAAAAAGGGAGTTGTGAGAGAGGAAGAAAATGATGACTTTGACTCAATTCCAATCGATGTTGGAATGGAAGATGTGCAACTTGACGGAATAAGTCGATGGCCACAATTGCGATTGGTAAAAACATAACTACTTTTTTCAATGAAAAAATTCAGAGAATTTGTGAAATTTTGTGCCACATATTGTCCGCTGAGGCCGTTGATGCCGAAAATGGAACCAGGATCAGAAACGCGATTCGATTTTTGTGGTCTTCCGGAATTGTTGATCCATCGTTTATCAAGTAAGAGCACGAAATGCGTTTTTAATTTTTTTTTTAGAACCATTTCTCGCATTTTCCTTGATTGGTTGAACAGTGAAGAACATCGTTTTAAGCAAAGTACTTGGCTTTTGCAAGCCTGTCGTATATTGGTTCCACTTGTGGTCGGTTTTGGACAGTCTGAAGGTATTATATTGAATATTAATACTTTCAGTCTAAAAGTTTTTAGCGCTTGGAGCTCTCATTCTCGAGAAGACGATTCATCTAGAATGGATAAAAGACTCGTTTCCGTTTATTGAGGCTATCCAGAGACAAACATTTGATCAGCGAAAGCCAAATCTAGCAGGAGATGTGCTTGGAAAGAAAAGTTTGTAATGTTGTTATAAAAAGTTTCATGCATGCTTTAGATGCACTTGATGGTGTCCTAGTGAGTATGGTTGTTCAAATGGCTGCTTTTCGTCCACAAGAGCTAACTTCTTCGAATAATAACACAACTCGAGCACTAGTGTGCTTTATTCAAGTATGTTTGAGAATTTATCACTTTTATTTTTACTTTTAGACTATTTCCGCTCGTGCACCTCACGTTATGATTAAATACATGGGTAGTATGGTGAAATTTCTACGAGAAGATGTGAGTTTTTTTAAGTGTTATTGGCTGCACGTGTCTTTGTACGATAGTGATGAATTTAGCCTTATCAATTGAGAGGAGCTGTCTTGACAGCAATGGCTGAATTGATTTTATCAGAAGAAATGACTGACCAGCGCTGCAAAAGTAATCCGTTGATTCGAGATGCAAGAGCTATGTTTTTCGATACTTTGCAGGTCTATTTACGAACTTTATGGCATTAACCATTTACTTATTTAGAAGCACTTGCGTGATCAGGCAACACAGATTAGAGCAAAAGTCGTTTCATTGTGGAGACAATTGGCAGAAGAGAAAAGAATTCCCCGTTCGGTGATTGATGCTGGAATCATTGACTACATTGGTGAAGTTTTCAATCTTTTGTTATTCGAAATGTTTTAGGAGAGCGTCTCGAAGATAAGCAAGTGCTTGTTAGAAAGCCGGCCATTGCATTCATGTCAACCTTTCTTCGTAATAACCCTTATGGCCACGACGTGGGTTTATCGGAACTGGACCCCTGTATTTAATTCGAGCTTTCAGTTTTCTTTTGAAGCCAACAAAGACGCTTTGCAACAAGTTCTGATTGAACGTGATGGACTTCTGGCTGAGAATCCAGGTTAAACCAGGCAATTAATTTCTTTGAACTTTTGCATTTAGAATTCGCTCTTCAGCGACGAATGGTAGAACAATTTGGAGCCGTTAAAAGTGTCATTGCTGAAGAAGTATTTATTTTCTAGAGCTTCAAATGCTATTTTTGTTTAGTTCTTGGCTCAATTGAAACAAGACGCGGAGGAAGTAGAAAACGAAGAAATCGATGACCCAGACGTCTTGAGAGGGTATTTTGATGAGGAATGGTTCTAAAATAACTGCTTTTCAGGATTTTTCCAATGTTGGTAGTGGCTGCTAAAAGTAGAAATCGGGAAAATCTGAACGCAACTGTAACAGCAGTTCTACAATTTGTTCGTCTTGGGAAATATGTTGACAAAGGACTTAATATTGAGTGGGCATAAATGTTATATAGATTTACATTGCCTGTATTTAGACTAGAGAAAGACGTCCTAATCAAGAGGCTCCTAGAAGTTACGCAAGAACGATTCATTCAATGCGAAATGATCAACGCAATTGGAGTATACAATTAACCCAGTGACTAATATTCTTAAATTTGTAGGACGACACAAAACAACTACAAGCCGAAGAGCAGCGTGCAGATTGGATTGACAAAGTAAAGAAAACAAACGCTAACATTGCACATCTAAAGGTAAACTAACAATAAAGAATAGGAAGGGTTTAATGCATAATTTCAGAATAAAATTCATCTCGAGCTGGCATTAGCTGATACGTTGCAATCGGCCCTTCGTGGTAAGTTTTTTGCCGTTGGCCATTTATTTGTCTGTGCTGTTCCTGTGGCAATATGCGTCAAGGACAACAAACACGTTTTGACCGATTTTTTTTTATTATTTTGTTACTTGTTTATAAGGAGAGGAAGGCTGGTTGTTCATTGCCGATTTGTAGATGGCGAAATTAGAAAATTTTAGGTGCATTGCAAGGAGATGCAGCAGAACTTAAAGAAGCTATTAATTTCATCATTGAATGCAAGAATTTCGAGATTAGGTGCAATTTTTCTTTTGTCAACTGTTTAATTAATTTTTAGAAATGTCGATGATGTCATCAAACAAGTATTTGCGTTGATTTGGCGAAACAGTATTGAGATTCAACGAGAAGTTCTGAGTGCAGCTCGGCGAATGCTTCTTTCACAGAATAGGTTGTTTTTAGTTTAACTTACAAATTAACTTACTTTGTTTTTAGTCAAAGAAAAGTTGCCGATGAAGCTACTGCAACTAGAATGATTGATGTCTTAAAAGATACAAATGAGGTAATTCAAAAAGAACTTTTGCAGACTTCTTCGATTTTAGGTCGAGTTTCTTTGCATCAGCGAAGTAATCAAGCGCTTATTTACGGCCGAAGATGGTGCTGAGCTTAGCGGCGGAGTGTTGAATCATTTATTTACTGTCAGTAAATATATTTCTTTTTGTTTCACGCTATATTTAGTCAATTATGTGCGACAGTGAGAAAGCAAAAGAATCAAGATTGCCAGCTTTGAAACTTTTGTCAATTTTTGCGAGGTAATCAATCACTTTAGGAACAAAGTAATAGTATGCAACCTAGAATCGCTCCGGCAGACATTAGACAAAATTTGCGACTTCTCCAAGGCTTGATTACAATGGCATGTGATGATGATGCTAGTGAAGCAACGATCAATAATGCTGTGGCGGCTCTTGGTGTTGTAGCTGAGTGTGGAACTGACACCAAGGTAAAAAGGAAGGGTTATGAAAATGGGGAAACATTTTAGAGAGAAGGTGAAAGCGATGTGACGATGAGACCTCGCCGTCAATTGGTTCGCATTCCAGCTAACGATTCGCTCTTCACTGACATTGATGAACATTTCATATCTCGTATTTTTAAGGCTGCTGCTAATAAATTGAGCTTTTTTAGGGTTTCTCTCCAATGATTGCGAAAATTACGGCCACATCACAAAATTGACTCTGGAGGTTTACTTCAACTTGTGCGGCCAATCGGGTCGTGTCGTATGCGGTCTTATGGCTAAGGTTGGAAAAGTAGCAAACTCATTTAATAAATTTATAGATAATATGGTATTTGCAAAGAGCCACGAGGGTTTTGGCTTTTTATGAGGCTGAATCAAGTAAGGCTTCAAGAAAAGAAGGAGGCACTGGATCCAAAGGGGAATTTTTGGCTGAAGCTTTGTAAGTAGTGTTTGCAAAGTCAAATGAAGTCAGTTCAGGCACCATTGGCGAGTCTACCACGATAAGATCCTAGAACGAACATTGACCTTCTGTGGCGAAGTTGGGATTTTAGCTTTTATATAGAAAATAATACCAAATTTAGCTGGCTCAACAAATCTTCATTTACATTGATGAAGTTATGGTTGGAGAATTGAAGCGAATGCAAGAAATTATAAGCTCCGAAGGAATCGCAAAGAAATCGACAGTGGTATGACATCCTTGATTATTGTTCAAAAAAAGAATTTAGGCTAACTCAAATTCAAAGAAGAAGAATCAAAGCAAGAAAGATGCGACAAAGGATGATTTGGATGATAACCCCACAAACTTTGAGGTATCACACAGACTTGACTGTTACATAGAATTTCAGGTTGTTCCCGAGCTCACTCCACGAGTTCTTACTGCATGGGAAGCAGACAGTGCTTGCTACCGAGGCTTATTTCAAGCACTGCATCCTAAAATTCAATCTTCAAAAGCCGCTGATAATGGTTAGTTGCAGTTAACGACAAAGATGGTTAAACGTGATTAAATTTTTAGCTGGACAAGATGATTCCGGAGCGGTCGATATGGCAGGGGCACAACTTTTTAATCAACTTCTTCCTCCACATGTTTGTTACATTTAAAATTTTTACATTTTTTTTTAGATTCTCGGCCGTATTGCTCCACTTGTGAATTTTTGTGTACGAGCTAACAGCACATCAAAAACAACCCGAGCTGCAGCTGCAACAGCTTTTGCAAAGATGGTCCCATTGGCGTATGATGCTTTACCCAAATAAAAAGTCTTCCTTTTTAGACAACAATACGCCAAACGTGCGTCGTTTATGCTAACTCTCTTGATGACTGCATCGCAAAATCCAATGGTAGAATAGTTTTATTTTCGTTTGATCACCGTTTCAATCTTTAGATCCGCGAGAATCTTCTTATTGCAATGGTGGATATTTACGAGTTTGTGCCAATATCTTTCGATAACTACCAGGCGGAGCTTTTCAATATGTATGTTTAAGTTTTTAGCATTAACATTTTTCTTATTTAGGTGCCGAGATGTTAATGCGTGTGTTCGAGAGACGGCGCTACTCGTGTTGCTGCATGTAACGGCTGATGGACTTGTTCAAGTAACTCTCAAAAGTTTTATTTTATGCTTTGATGCTTAGAATCGAAGTGGTGTTGCCGACATTGCTCGTTGTTTTGTCGATCCGGTCGAGGACATTCAAATCATGGCAAAGATGTTTTTTGCAGAGCTGTCAACGAAGGCAAGAACTCAACCCTAAAAATCTTTAACTTTTATGTTTAGAAAAATATGATCTTCAACGCTATGCCGGATTTTCTTTCACGTTTGACACGAAACAACAATCAAGTTTCTTTCGAGGACTTCAAGAAAATTATGACGTAACTTTTTTGACATTTTTGACATCATGGTTCTTTGTAGGCCCCTGCTTGAATATTTGGAAGCTTTGGAAAGCGAGGATTTGGTTCTGCGTGTTTTGCAACGAATCGAATCGATTGAGTAAGTAAAGTTTGAAGTTGCATTTAAAGCATTCTATTTTAGTTCCGAATCATTGATCAAGAACGAGCAGCTACCACTTTATTTGATTTGGGTGTTAAACATGGTCGCAAAGAATGAGAAGAGTTTTTCAAAGGTGAGTATACTTAAAGAATAAACGTATTGCTAATGACTAAATTTTTTAGATTCGTGATCACCGCAAAGCTATTGAACGACACTTGCACGTCGAAGGAGTCTGGGAGTTATTTAGTGCCACAATAGAAAAATTACGAAAAATTCAATCATCAAATGCTCATTTTACGGTAGTTTTCCTTTCAAAATCAAATGGTGTTTCAACTTTAATCTTTAGGATGATCTTGAACGTCTTTACGAAGAAATGACTAAAATTTATGAGAAAGCCATTGATACAGCCAAGACCATAAAGAAGGCCACAGCTTTTCAAGTAAACTTTCATAATTATGATTTCTACTTAACCAAGTGTATGTTCAACTACGATAATTTAGCGACGAGTCAAACAAGGCGGCGGTTCTCGAGCAACTCCAAAGAAAATCGCGGCGGTGGTGACCAAGCAAAAGCGGGCTTTTCTTGAGGATCTCGAAGAAGAGGATTCAGAAAATTCGGATTAAACTTTAAATATTTTGTTTGATTAAGTAACATATTTTGTGCAGCCATACGGGTATTATATTTTTGCTTATGATCTCTTTTGGATTGTTTCTGGTGTCTCACTCTTGAAAGTGCATCTCGTATTTCTTTACACTCACTTCTCACCCAAGATTACTTCATGTCGATGTTTATTTTCACGCAAATGTATAAAAGTTGATTTATTGCATGTAATTTTGACAAACGGATCATATGGACCAAATTTTTATTGTGTTAAAGGGGTTGCATACGTATTTTAACGTGTTTTTTTGGGGGCTAAATGGTGTCAGAAGACCCTTTGAGCGAGTACGAGCCAAAGTCGTGGTGGGATGATCAGAAAACATCGTGGTCTCATAGAGCGCTCTCCAAGGTTTGTTTTTGGTTTCCAGTTGATCACCGAATGGACGCTGCTGAGTAGACAAAATAGACGATGCAAAAGTTAAATTAAAAACAATGTATGGGAAATTGAAAGAAAAAGATGAAGCAATAAGCAGCTGGCCTCTCTTTTTTAGTTTCTCAAAATCAACGGACCAATCCCAGCACATGTGGCCGTTGTGATGGACGGAAATCGACGTTTTGCACGAGAAAATCGACTAGAATCAATAGTTCGTGGTCATGAACGTGGTTTTGTTCAACTTCAGAAGGTAATCTAATGGGCTTAACCAAGATTAATATTATCCTTTTAGGTCTTGTGCTGGTGCAGTGATCTCGGCATTCGTGAATTGACTGTTTATGCATTCTCGATTGAGAATTTCAAGCGAAGCTCTGAAGAAGTCGAAGGACTGATGAGATTGGCGGAAGAACAGTTTAAAAAACTTCTACAAGAAAAGTTTGTTTGATTGTTAGGAGTTATGGAAACGTCTATTTAGAGAAAAACTCGAAGAGAAGCAAGTGTGTTTTCGTTTTTGGGGACGTCTCGAGCTGTTGCGGCCTCAGTTGAGAAAGCTGATTGTTGAAGTTGAAAGGCTCACGGCCGGATATACAAAGTTTGAAATTTACTTTTGTAAACACAATTCCAGCTTAGGTCTTGCCTAAATATTTGTATGCCGTACACTGCAAAAGACGAAGCAGTACGAGCCGCAGAAGTGATGAGGTTAGCAGCACAAGAAGGTCTCGTAGACGATCAACAAGGTATTTTTAAAAACAGCATTAAGACTACTTTATTTTAGTAAGCTTATCCTTACTTCGAGAATGCATGGATTCAAGACGATCAAAAGATCCCGATCTAATCATCCGAACGAGCGGTGAATACAGATGGTCCGATTTTATGCTAATTCAGGTATTTTTTATTATCTAGATTATTTTAGATCTTTCTGTTTAGGGCTCCTATACCCACGTTTACTTTGTCGATGTGCTGTGGCCAGAATTCGAGCATCGACATCTTTGTCAAGCAATTTTTGATTATCAACGTCATTATAAAAGTATAAAAGTAAGCTTTCTGAGTCTAATGAAAATTAAATTAAAATTTTAAAAAAACAATGCTAGGCACTACCCCGATCTGAGGCACCTGGTGAAGAACTATCGGAGGAATTGAAAACGTTCATTTCAAATTATCATCGACAGCGGTATGAAAATCTAGTCACTATCTAGGCTTTTGAATTTTAAGCTTTTATGATTGTTGAAAATGTGTGTAAGAATTTGTTTGCTATTGATTTGAGCTTTATTTAAACCAAAGTGAGAACGTTTAGGTATTTTTTTTTGGGAATTTTTGTGATAATTTTTGCCTAGGTGTTACTTCTGTTGTTTTCACGCTTGTTTCAGATTTTAATAAACTTTCATCTTGCTTGCTTGAATTGATGCATGAGTGCAAAGTGTGCATTGTTTGTAGGTGTTCGGCATAAGAAGTTATCTTCAAAAGCAGAATGCCTACATGTAGTTCTAGGGTTGTATCTTTTAACAGAAAAAAAACTTATATTACAAAAAAAGATCGACTAAAAGGAGTTCATCTGAGAAACTACAAAATGGGGGAATTTTTGCATAAAAAGGCCAAATAAAACAAACAGAATGTTGTGCACTGTATTGGGAAAGAAAATAACACGAGTGGAAATGCATCGCCAAGAAAAGTTTGAGTCGATCTACCACTGTTTCTTGAAGTCATCATAGGAAACTCCTCCTGGTCCATAAGCGATCACAAGAAGTAAACCTAAACATTAGCATTTTACGGTTTATACGGTAACTTTTAATATTTACTTATAGAATTGCTCAAGTGTATATTTGACTTTTCTATGATGTGTATACTCTCAAAAATTCACCTCCGATCACCGACAAAGCTTGAAAGAAGTCGTATTTCATGAAGTCACGGTAGAAGCGATTGCTATCATTTGGCACTGTCCACCAGGCATTGTCATAAAAGTTGATGACGAAGAAAAAGATTGCCACAACCAGAGCCATCAATCGCGTTCGATAACCAACAATTACACAACTCATAAGGCCAAACGAAATGAAGAGATTCAACATCTAAAATTGAGCGTTTGCATGGCTGAAAAAAAAAATTAAGCGACTCGAAAAACTTACCCGATATAGTGAGAATTCAAATTTAATCATTGTCAAATACATCAACGCAAGGCAGCAACGACCGACAAGCATCAACATGCACCTAAAGTATTGACAAGTTTTATTGATTATTTTTGTAAACGACCTCAAATTGTTCTCATCGCCACCCGATGGCAGTCCAGCAAAGAGTGACTCGGGTTCTTTAAAAGTTTCAGCCGCCTAAAAGCAAAGTGGCACTAAACTCATCGAAATGTCAACATACCAAAAAAATTAGAGCTCCAGCGATGGATACGTTTCTCAGAAGAAATTTCGGTTCCCAGAAGATTCGGTACAAAATCGTTTGACTCAACACCACCGAGCCCAACACAGCCACTGACCAAGGTATCTAAAGAAAGCTTTAAATTTAGTGACATCAATCGATACTCCAACCTTTTTACGAGCAAGTATCATACAAACGGAACCGATTTGTCCGAAAACTCCGTGAATGACGAGAAGGTGGCCGAGAATTGGAGGTATATACCAAGATTCCTAGAAAAGACAATTTAAAGACACCGCCACGTAAATACCCACCTGATAAAAGGCGACTTGATCGCTCCATTGTTGAAACATGCGACATCCATCTTCGAAAAATGTCGAGACAAGGCATAAACGAGCCAATACGGGGAGCACATGTCGAGTGTGTCTAAAATTAGGATACTTCTTTAATATCCGGAAGGGGAGTAACGATTTTAGCAAAATTGCACTGGCAACTGGCAAACTGATTTAGTTATTGTCCAATTTTTTCAATCCAACTTTTCAATTTTGACTTTAAAGCATTATTAGATATTTTAGGCTTTGTAGATTCTAATAGTTTTTGAGTTTTTCAAAATCTATCACAAAAGGGTTTAAATTGTGGGTTAAGGTTGGCAAAATCGTTACTCATACTAAAGAAGTACCAAAATTAGAGATCAGTTTACAGGGTGGCTGAAAAGTTTTGATACCTTATGAAATAGTTCTTTTTGATGGTAAATATTGAGAAACTTTTAGAACTATGTTGTTTTTCAGATTCTTCACATATTTTTACATTATAAACCAACCTTTCAGCTCACTAGCTCTATTCGAAAAAGTTTTACGCTAATTTCTTTCTGATTTGCGCCAATGCTCGTTGGTCGCACCCTCATAGGCAACAAGGGGAAAAGGAACGTCACCAATTTTGTCGCGTGCCATAAAGCATCTTTTTGATTGTCTTTGTTACTTAATTTCACTGTTAATATTAACTGAAAAAAGCTTTTAGTGGGAAAAAGTACTCCAATGTAAGGGAATGGCACGCGACAAAATTGGTGACGTTCCTTTTCCCCTTGTTGCCTATGAGGGTGCGACCAACGAGCATTGGCGCAAATCAGAAAGAAATCAGCGTAAAACTTTTTCGAATAGAGCTAGTGAGCTGAAAGGTTGGTTTATAATGTAAAAATATGTGAAGAATCGGAAAAACAACATAGTTCTAAAAGTTTCTCAATATTTACCATCAAAAAGAACTATTTCATAAGGTATCAAAACTTTTCAGCCACCTTGTAAAGTAAAACGTTAAGAATATGCGTTTAAAATGTATTTCTACCTAACAATTTTAAATTCTAAGCAACTTTAACATTTTCAACAATTTAAACAAACAAAGATTTGAAACAATTTGAAAAAAACCTAACAATTTTAAATTTCTAAGTAAAAAAAGCGCAATGCACTTGTTTGCAATGTGCGCTTAGCTCAAATTCACGCAAATTTAAGTTTTTTTCGATCTAGATTTCGATTTAACAAACACCAAAGCTACCTGATAAAATCGTCGGTTAAATCCTCGGCTTTCGATAGCCATTTTTTCTCGCGTTCATCTAATCGGAAATGATTCATTTTGGTTGCTATTTCTTGACAACTAAATTTAAAGATTTGATAGAAATTGGATAGAAAAGAAATTTATTTAGAAATTTAATTTAAAGGTTGATGAGAAAAAGGATGAGCGGGTTTAAAAATTTAAAATGAAAGGTGATTGAAAAGAACTTCTTAAACTTTTCCGACAAATTTGCGTCATTTTTGTAAATTAGCATTTTAAATTTGCAAAGTCTAGCAAAGTTTACTTCACTTTTTCCTCATTCATTATTCGCGGTTTTACAAGGTTAGTTTTGCGTTTTTATTTAGAAAATTCAGTTTTTTTAGATTCCGTTGTGTGAAACTTTCCGATGGATTCGGCTAGCAAAACAGCAAGCACCATTACTGAAAAGGTTGGGATTTTTGTGTGTGGCAATGCTATTTTAGCCACTACATAGATTAGGATCTAGAAGCGGGGCTATAGCAGTTGGGGGTTAGGCAAATGAGCTGATTTTTTTTGCATCCAGCGCTTTTTGACTATGCTGAATCGATTGGTGATGGTTTTACACAAAATCTCACAACTTTTAACAACGTTTATAACAAATAGCAACAAAAATAACAACAACAATATGTCAACAAGTTACCAATGAGCACTAGACTAGACACTAGACTAGACACTAGACTAGACAACGAGCAATTTTGTGGTCACTTCATCCCAGAATAAGTACATTAGGTTTTCAGTGTTGTGTTGCCACTTCCAAAAGCACTTCAAAGTAATGGTTATCCCAGAGTTCACCCTTGATACCGATTCAGCATAGTCAAAAGCTTCTGGGTGCAAAAAATCAGCTCATTTGGCAAAAAAAATTTGCCTCCTCCCCCAACTACTATAGCACCTTAGAAGCTACAGTCGACTCTCTATAATGGAATGGAAGGGACCGAAAAAATTTTCCGTTATATAGAGCTTTCCGTTAAATAGAGTGCTATTTTTATATAGCTTAGCGTCGGCCGGGATCAAAATTCCATTACGTTATATAGAGTTTTCCACAATATAGAGTTCTGTTATAGAGAGTCAACAGAACGACGAAAGAGTTCTGTTATAGAGAGTCAACAGAACGACGAAAGAGTTCTGTTATAGAGAGTATTTAGAAATCTAGAAATTTTTTCATGTTTTATGCTAGCTTATTAATGATTCATTTTAGCCGGCCACCGCCGTGACGAGCTTCCCGGAGACGGGAATCCTGAAGAGTCCTGGAAGTCAGGTGTTGCTTGAGATTTTTTTAAGTTATGCAACAAATTCTGCTACTTTTAGTTGATTTTGGAGACGACAGATGGTGTGCAGCATTTTATCGATCGCAGTGATGCCTTGCTTCTCGGCACCGTCACTCGCATGTTGCAAGGTTTATTCTCTCATTTGCCAAATTTTAACGATATTATATTAGATCTGAACCTTGAAACTTCGACGATGCCCGTGTTGCGGATGCCGGTTTGCTTCAAGACTGAAACTCTCATCAATGTTCGTTTTATAAATGTATTTGAGCTTCATAAAGTTTAGTTGCTTCAATTGAGCCGAGAGCTGGCCAAGCTAGAGCCAAAGGAGAAAAAGGCTTCAACAAACGGCAAACAGACGAATGGAAAATTTGTGAAAATGGTTTCCTAGTTTTATGAAATCTTTTACAAAAGTTTAGGAAGAATGGAAGAAGAAACTGAAGGCGATTCCCAAACCGCTTCTCTTTGACATGGCTGAAGTAAGTGTTTGCAGCTTCTTGTTTGCAACTTCTTATATGCAACTTCTTGTACTTCTTGTTTGCAAGAGGCGTTGTTACCTAGAAACATTAAAGACTAGGCCATTTCGTGTTATATTCAAATTTTCTGTAGGCTTCAAATTTCCTTGATGCGAAGGGTGTTTATGAAGCTCTGGTTCAGCAAATCGCTGACAATATCAAGGTTTTTTTTTCATAAATTAATAGTGGACAGTCGATCGCATAGTTATCTTAATCTACCGATGTTATCTGCTAATGCTTTAATTATTTTAAATATTTATTCAGAGTATGAGTATCGAGGAGATGCGTGTTTACTTCGATGTGAAATCCGACCTAACTCCGAGCCAACTCAAGAAAATCCAAAAGGAATTTGATTTTTTTCGCGTTTGTGCTTCTTTATTTGATTTTCCTTTGTGATCTAACTATGTACCCTAAAGTCGCGAGTATAAGTTCTGTTTGGTTTTCGCATGCAAATTGACGGCTGTCTCCGGTGCGGTGTGTCGAGGATTCGAACCCCACTGCAGCATAACTTTTTTGCTTTTTAAGAACAATAATAGAAGTAAATTTATTGAGGGTTATAGCAATTTTATGCTGTTATTTGTTGCTCCGGGCGTGGCTCGGCGCGTCCGCCCTGCTCCTCTCCAGTGCTCAGTCTTATGGATCCCTCCCTGGCCTCTTTATCCGGCCAAAGTCCACGTCGACGGTCGAAAGAGATGCTTTCCAGCGTCTTCTTCAACACTATCGTCTGGATGTATCCATGCACATAACAAATAGCAATGGTGATAGGCTGTCACCCTGTAGTATTCCAAGAACAATAATAAAAGTTTATATAACAATAAAAATGTATAAAAACCCAACAAAATGAATTCAAAGCAATTAAAGCGAATGTAAATTAAGGCAGAACTTATACTCGAGACTTTAGGGTAAGTCGGAATTTTCTTTAAAAGGACATTTGAGTTACTTTCGGTTGCTTTTAGTATGCTAAATGTTTATACGAGGTGAAACAAAAATTTGATCAGTTTTCAAAAATATATTTTGTGGATGATGGGGCGGTGGGGCAATTGCGACCTTTTTTTTGCGCAACCGATCAAAAGCGCGTTCGGAGTTTTAAAAAAGCTCCCTAAAACTAAATATTAAACACTTTTTTTAAAAAGTTGATTTTCTGGGTGATTTGGGGGCATGGAGTTTTTTTATTATTACAAAGCCAGATAAAGTAGAAACATCAGGGAGTGTCTGTCATATCATGATCACCATTCACATTTTCTTTTCTTTTCTTTTCTATAATTTCTTTGACTCATACGTTGATGATATACGAAATTCAATGCTTATTGTTGTCAAATAAAGCGTTAGTGCTCTATGACAGATTAAAAGAATCTTCCATCCCTTTCGCGAGAGATCTATTTTGATTGAGATAAATGAGGAGTAACAGAAGAGCTCCGAGGATTAGAGATTGAAAAATCTAAAGCCGCGTCACAAAACAATCAACACCGTATGCCAAAAATCTCAAATAAGATTTGGTAAAAAAATGGTCCCAGCGCTAAGGCATTGTCAAGTCCTAACCTTTTGTCCTACTACAGTATATTGCTTGATTATTAAGATCGGGTATTTTGACGTGTACAGAATATTTATCACCGTAAACTTTAAAAATCACAGAAAAAAAGGCACTACTTGGAGATTCTAGAAGAAATCACATCAAAAACAAATATCAATAATCAAGATTTGTTGCTGTCCGGAGAAGTGGCCGGAAATTCGTCTTCAAATTTGATGTCCATTCTGGATTTTGATTCGACCATTCCAAAGAAATTTCATTTTGCGTTTCTTTTCCCAAATTGGGATACATTTCTGCGTAGAGATTCTCGATCTAAAAAAAGGTTTTAAAAAGTCGTATTTTTCAATATTTTAAACCTCTAAAGCATTTAAAATTGCGTATTTATACCTCTATTCTAGCAGCTTCTCGATCAGCTTCGGTTTCGCGTCGAATTTGTCCGCCACCATTACCACATCCTGATCGAAATGAAATGTAAATACAAAAGATTAAAGCCAAACAAATGTACCTCCAGGACAGGCCATCACTTCCACGTAATTATACTCACATTTGCCCGTTTTGATTTTTCTAACCTAAATTAAAGGAATAATGGCTACTAATAGATTCTTGACTTGCATAACATTTTAAAAAAATACCATATTCTGAATATTCTTAAATCCATAGACTTTTGCGACAACGATCGGACAACGATTTTCTTCACCATCAAAAAGGCGCGTCACTTCGAGATTCTTTTGACTAAAATACTATCTATTTGGACTGAAAAATACTAACACTTACGGGTTATTGACTTCTTTTCGTAGGTTCGGGTGTTTTCGCGTAAGATTCATTATGACAGCTTCAGCATATCCACCAGAGGAACCGCCAGATCCGCTGATTAACTTTCCTAAAGAGAAACATTATGTTTTTAAAAACTACTAAATAACCGGGTGGAGTTTATAAAAAAACCTCTTCCAAAATCTCCAAGCCATCCAGCTTCGACGCTCTCTATAAAATTATCGATTCCATCCAAAGCAGAGTCGAGTTCGCCTAAAAACTTGAATCGGTCGCATTAAAAAAAAATTTACCCGAACTAATAACACAGTCAACCTCTTTGGTACTTTCTTCAATCTCAAAGTCACTTCGAGACGCTTCCAACTTTTTGTCGTAACAAGGCATTACCTAAAGTATGGATAGATTGCACACAAAAATCCAAATCTACTGTAGCATGAAATATTTCTTTTGGCGAAAGCGAGAACTTCGATGACAAGAAACGCTTCACGATTGCACCCATAATCGCCTGAAATTTGCTAATTATAAAATCGAAATGTTCCGTAGTACCTGCGGAGATCGAACTTTGCTCAGTAATGGTACAAGGAGTTCTCCGTGTGATTTTTCGGCATAACAAACGAATCCCGGACATATCGAGGAGAGTATCGGTGGTCTGAATAAACAAAATTTAATTGATCAGACAAAAACAACAACATGCATTAAATCTAGTAATAAAAATTATTACTTACTTATTAGATTGTCGTCGCTCCAATTCTTCACATTCCTGTTCGAGAGCAAAAAGTCGGCCCACTGACGAGTCAAGCACAAAGCGGACACCCTAAACTATTTGATAAAACCAAACTTCAACTGAAGCTGGACTAACCTTAGAAAAGAAATATGAGGCAATTAGTCGAGCAGCTTCGGGAACGGATATTCTTCTTTGAGCTGCGATTGAGCATACGGATTGTGGAGAAACGGAGACCACGGATAGAGAACTCTAAACAAAATAGGTCAAAGAGAGAAAACTAGAGCAGAAAAAGGCTACAATAAGAAATATACGACACATTCTATAACATGATCTGATAAACAACCTTTGCAATGCCATTTAAAAGCGATGTGAGTGACTGGGCATCGATGAGAACCGTCTCTGCCGATGTGATACACCCGGAACAAGCAAGGCAATCGTTTAGCGTCACTTTCACAGCCCAAAAAGAGTTGACTTTACAAACGAATTCAATGGTTGTTTGAAGTGCTTTTGCAAAATACGGCACTATGTTTAGAGACACGTGACTCGCTTTAAACTTGCCTACCTTTTTGCCCAAAGCTCCACTCTCCTCATTCCTCTTCCTTTTTCCAATCGCAACTAACGGTTCCTCAATTGGCACACTTTTCGTATTTTCATTCAGCGGAATTATACAATTCTAAAAGGAAAATAGGTTTATTTAATGACGTCAAAAAAAGGAACTTTAGATGGGGCGATGAAGTCACTGACGTTTGATATCCTCACCACTCCACTGAAACCACCACCGTCACCGGATTCCATCACTAAAATTGCAAACTGAATATGCAACCTGGAAAAGGCAAATTTTGTTCTTTCATTGCTTGCCAGATAAAATATTGTTCAATGACTTCAATTTGCAGATTTCTAATACCAAGGAACTATTTATTTACCCGTCAAAGTGGAAAATGAAAAAGAATACCAAAAGTATTGGGTTGGTGAGTTGGAAACTGCCGGACTTTGAACTAAAATTTATTCAACATAAAATCATCAATTCATTCCAAATAATTTCCATTATTATTGACGACTTCTGCCATTTTACAGGCAATTTGTGGATTCCTCTTTCGTAGTAGGATTTTGGTTTGTGTGTGAGACAAGTGTGAGACTCAAAAATGGAGGACTGGAGATGTCCCAGTCTGGGCACTTTCTTCAAAAGAAACCCATTTTGGTGTCAATGGAAAAGTTGTAGAGAATCAAAAATGAGGCTTATAGTCAAATTTCCAAAAAGATACACTTAGTAGTTTCGCTTAAAATGCAAGTTTTGTGAAAATTCGTAAATTTGGCATTTCTTGAAAACCAGTTTTTGAATCGTTCTGAAAATTTGGCTATAAGCCTAATTTTTGATTCTCTACAACTTTTCCATTGACAACAAAATGGGTTTCTTTTGAAGAAAGTGCTCAAACTGTCACATATGACAATAGCCGGCAGTTTTCAATTCACCAACCCAATAGTTAGAAAATTTCGTGTTTTATTGTGCGAAGATTTGTTTGGCCGCCTCGGTGAGATGTCTAAAAATAGGTTCTTTAAGTTTAAGTTTAAGACTTTCAAAAGTCCTTGTTAATTTAGTGGCTTTGATATCTTAAGAGTTTAAATGCTAGTGAGCAAGAACTTACTTCGATTTAATTGGCTGTCCAACCACGTAAAACGGATTGCTGATTGCATTGCAGTAGGCGTGATGGAGTTTCTTGAAGATCGCCCTCATTTCACTGTCCTAAAATATAAAGTTTAAGAAAAGAATAGAAAATACAGAAAATGTATTTTAATTTAGATATATTAATTAGAAAGGTGACATAATTAAAAGACTTAAAATTAGAAATACATTAAAGCAAAAGGCATTTGTGTCTTTATTGACCATAAAGTACATCACATCGCATCTTTACTAAATTTTTTACTATTTTCCTCTACGGCTGATGTTAATCACAAATAAACTACTCAAAACTCACCCGTAATCCTTGTGATTTTGAATCGGTAACTAGAACAAATTTCACTCCAGTACTGCTCACGTAAGCAAAACACTAAAATAAACTTTTGAAAACTTAAAAGGAAACCAAACCTTGTACAAATGATCGCTGTAGACTTGTCCCAAATAGTTCTCGGTGGCCTTTGTCGCCTAAATTGAAGTCAATTTTGATAGCACACGTCCTTGATATCGATGATTAACAAATATGCCGCAAAATTTTGACATTTCAAATATTTCAAAATCAAAATTACTCTTTCATCGACGATATCGAGTGAAACGTGGGCGAAGAGCTCGACTTCACAAACGACCCGGCTCGCGTCATCCGACAATCCAGACCATAAACGAGCGTTCTAAACAATAAACTTTAATTTTGTTTATTCAGAATTTGCTCGTCATAGCATATGAAGAAATAAAGCTTAATAGAAAATCGGTGCACAACCACGGACGGCCTCAATATCTAATTAACCACTTTTGAGGAAAACGGATTTCCTAGATTCAGAGCTAGATTCTAGCTTTTAACGAAACATTTATACTTTCATCGCTTAAAAAAGCGGTACAATTCCGGTAAGGGGATCTTAGCAGCCTAAAACCATGCATTTTTGCTAATAATAAGGCTAGACCATGGCTCCACATGTGCTAGGATATTGACCAAGCACAGGCTATACGCTTCGATACGATAGAGAAAGTGCCTAAGTTTTAGAATTTTAGCATTTTTTGATTAGTAAAAGAAAAATGGCAAAACGCGCCTCTTTTCCGACAATCGAAATGCACAATGCTCCGTTTCCCGGGTTGATCATCAAATTTGGATCGGTACCTAAATGAAAAAGATATAAATGAAAGGAAAGTAAAACAAAAAAGCAAAGAAAATCGAAAAGTTTTAACAATAAGTTGAAGTGGGAAAAGAAGAAATGAAATCATGGACTACAGCACTAAATAAAAAATAACAGCCTCATAAAATATCCAATCTTTTGATTGAACATCTTTTACAACATTTGTTAACGTATAAACAATCTTTTTCCTTTCTCTCTTTCATTTCTTCTCCATTACGTCGTGTTACTCAAATTGTGAAATAGCGCGTATCGATTCGTAGCCTGTTAAGTAAAAGAAACACAAAATTTTTGTGACAAAACGCTCATTCCGGTGGCCACATTTTATTTGACTCGATTATTTTCTTGTTGTCGTTCTTTTATTTCTACTTTGCGAGATTCCACCCGTTTTAGGAATGTTTGACAACTTTCGTCGACAACCAAGCGAACAGGAAAACGATGCGGAAACGCCGGCAACCGATCCTGCCTATAACGTAAGGTGTTTTAATGTTTGAAACAAAACTTGTTAGGCTTTGCGTAAACCTTAGCGATAGGCAATACCCGTTTTACGCATTTCACGAGTGCAATGAGCCACAAATTTAAAATGATACCAATGATTGCCACACTAACGCTTTAACTTTAGGTTCAAGAAAGCAGTTGGGGCCTCAGTTGGGACACTCGAGTCCAGTGCTTTGCCGGTTGCTTCATTCTTTCGTGCGTCTCCTCACTATGCGTAAGCTTTTAACCCTAATGAGTCTTAAAATGTTGAGTTTAGGCAAGCGCATTGCTGGTGATTGGACGTTTCACCGGCTTTTGCGTCTTGACCTCAGTTGGCAGTTTATTGTCGTTAGGAGGGTACGTTTGATCTGCGTTGAATTCCTACAAGGACTTCATGTTTCATTAATTTTGAACTTTAGGACATGTTTCTTATCCGGTCCAATCAAACAATGCAAGAGCATGTTCGCGGCGAATCGTTGGGTGGCCAGTCTGGCCTATATCGGATTCATTTTAGCGGCATTGGTACGTTTCATTGGTTTAATAACTCTAAAAGATAACAACAAATAGTGGCTTTGATTGCCTTTTAGATATCTGGAATGGTGCTCAACAATGCTCCGCTTGCAATCATTTTCACCGTGCTACAATATTTGGCAATGGCCTATTATTCGCTCACCTATATTCCGTTTGCCAGGTAAATGTTGGGGGAAATATTTTAAGTCTTTGGTTAAATTTAGGCGTTGGATAGATCATGTGTTGTGCTCATGCCTCGGCTAAATAAAAAAATAGCTTCATTTACCGCATTTGTGTATTTCTACCGTTTAATTGGTGCTTTTCCCCCTTCGAATCTGTGCACATCGATATTGTCCATTTCAATATTTCTTCCAAAACTGGTCTCTTTGTGATATGCGTGACTATTTATGGTTCATATTTATCTAGTGATTGTCATTTTCTGTATAATTTATTGTGTAATTTGTCTAAGAATACATTTCAGAGATTAAATTACCTGTACACAATACAATCACAAAAATACTACGAAAAATCACGCTAATAAATGCCATTTGACGCTTCTAAGATAGGGCTTTAGTCATTTCAGGCACTGCATTGAAGAGGTCCGCTTTCAAACCAATGTCAGCCACCTAAAAATAAAGATAGAAACTTCTAAAGCTGGGGGTATGACTTGAAAGATTGGAGCATCAGGATCCTTGTTGATAGCGACAATCGTTTTACTGTCCTTCATACCAGCGAGATGTTGAATGGCACCAGAAATTCCGACGGCAATGTAGAGCTCCTAAAAAGGAGTAAAATATTGAACGGAGATGACGTAGCCTTCAAGAGTAACATTGTAAAACTTACAGGAGCAACGATCTTTCCCGTTTGTCCAACTTGCATATCGTTTGGACAATAGCCAGCATCAACTGCGGCTCTCGATGCACCAACGCCGGCGCCCAACTAAAGGAATATTTGCTAAAAATTTTTGAAATGCCCTACCTTGTCAGCGAGATCATAAATAAGTTTGAAATTATCGGCGCTCTTCAACCCACGGCCACCCGAAACGACAATCTAAACTGATCGTTGTTTGATTTTTTCCCAACTTAAGTACTTACTTTAGCCGTTCCAAGGTCGGGTCTTTCGCTTTTTGACAGCTCTTGGCCCAGAAATTCGGAGAGATCCGTTTTCACATCATCCACTTTCACTAAAATTACAAGTTGAAACTAGGTTCACGGGTAGGTATTTTTCTCTACCTTCTTCAACCGACGCACTTCCACCATCTTTCGCGGCAGGGAATGCCGTTCCACGCACAGTCAACACTTTGACGGCAGCAGAAGATTGGATCTATAAAAACTGATCGAACTTGTAGTATACACATTTTAGAGAGATTACTAGACATTTTATATTAATATTTACTCTTTATAACTCATACTCTTCTACCTTGGCGACAGCGTTTCCGGCATACATCGTTCGAGTGAAAGTATCGGCCGAATGCACCTTTGTGATGTCCGAGATAGGAGAAACACCTAATTTGGCGGCGACACGAGGAATGAGGCCTCGTCCGAAAGCTGATGAGCCCGCAACGATCGATGAGAAATTGTGTGATTTGTGGACTGCCAGCACTGCTGATGCAACTCGTTCTAAAAATAAACGATAGACGTTGTTTAAACTTAAACGCACGATTTGAAAAACAAACCCTACCTGGTAAAGAGTTCTTGAACTTATCGTCTTGCACGAGGAACACTTTTTTCACAGAAGAGATCTAGTTTCCAAATTAATTAACACCGAGTTTCCCAAATTTTACCTTGGCTGCTTGGTCTGCAATTGCTTTAGCATTCGAACTGGCCACTAGCACCGTGACATCGCCGCCAAGCTATAAAAAGAGAAATTTTATAGAATCACTGGGCCAAAATTCTACTTGAGAAGCAGCGGTGACGGCATTGAGCGTAATCGGCGATAGTTTTGATCCATCGTGTTCAGCGATCACTAGCGTCGATCCGTGTCGAGAAGCCTAAAAAGTAGGACATTGGTAGGACAACAAAAAAAAATTCGAAACCCAAGCCCACCAAGACAGCGCTGGAGAGGTTCTTCGAGAAGAGATTTCGCGCCGCAATCATTCCTGAAAACAAAAAGAATAATCCTGGGTTTAAAAAAAGCAATTTTAAAAAACAGCAAAACAAGTGATAAGATCCAAAGCTCCAAGTCTATCTCCGATCAAAGTTTCTGACAAGAAAAGGAGCAGAAAGAAAAACAAGACTCCTGTCGAAAAAGCAGCAAATAGAAAAGAACGATGGATCTGTGAGATGAAATAAACAGAGACAACGAAGGGAAGCGGATGCAAAATTGTGACAAGATTTCAGAACAGAAGCAATTTTTAAGAACTCGCTTTCTTACAAGTCTTTTAACTTGTTAGCAATAATGGCAAGCTTTAATTTTTAGACAGGGGCAGGATCATAAAAGTTAAATGCACCATGATAAAAATCAAGATGTGTATGTATTACCCTTCCACCTAGCTCTAAAACATTAGACAAAATGCTTTTGGCAAAATAAAAACCCCTTCATACAATTCACGAACTGCGTCAGATGTTTAAAGTTTATTTCAATTGCTAAAATCTTTGCATACGCCCGCAATGTAATTTACAAGAAATGCGAACAATCTTGACTTGACTAATACATGACAGGGAAATATTTAAATGATTGCAACGATAACCCATAAAGAAGTAAAAGAGGACCAGATTTAACAATGTGACACGTATACGCATATAAGTACAAATAAAGATCACGTAAAACACAGTATACAATACAATTCGCGAGCTGCGTCAGATGTTTAAAGTTTATTTCAACCGCTAAAATCTTTGCATACGCCGGCAATGTACAAGAAATGCGAACAATCTTGACTTGACTAATACATGACAAGGAAATATTTAAATGATTGCAACCTATAAAAAATAACTCATAAAGAAGTAAAAGAGGACAAAATTTTAAAATCCGACACGTACACGTATACAAGTACAAATAAAGATAACGTAAAACACCGGGAAAATGTTAATGAGTGAAGAAGATAAACAGTTATTTCCCAAAGTGAAAAAGATTGTTTTTTTAAACATTGAATAGCTATTTCTCAAAGAGGCAAAGAGGCATGTTGAGCCGTTGGATGGCCTTGTCCATGAAAAATTTCTTTCTCAAATCTTCGTTATTATTGATTGAGATATCGACGATGAAACGACCATCATCCTAAAATTTTTAGTAATTTGATATCGTAAGCTATAACTTATTACACTTACTCAAAACCCACCGTGAACGTTTGAATTTTTGAGAGCGTCAACGAGTAATCAGGAAGCGCTTGCATCTCTTCCACCTCTTTCATAATAGAGCGATATCTGTCCTAAAAAGTGAAAGAATAGAACGATGCAGTTATTAAAGAATTTTACCGGATCGGTGATGCTGAACGGTAGGACTCCACACCGTAAAGCAATCGCCGGTTGAATGCTGAGATCCCTGGGTAGTGGAGTGATGTCTCTGAGTGGGACGAATTTGCGGCCACCGGCATCAACCAATTCAATTTCCACCTGCAAAGATTTGCCCTATAGTAATAGAAGTTTCGACAAAGTAGGGATTGTCGTTAACTTCTCCTAATTTCTAGAATTTCAACATTTAAAATTATTACCCCTTCCCTATTTGGAGTCTTGCGAAGATTTGCCCTGTGGTACCCTGTAGATTTGCCCCGACCGTCGGCACGGTAGATCGCCGCATCATTCTCTCGCCACAGGCTGTAGAGCGACGGCACCGGCTTTTTCCACGCCGCTCTAAAAAGAACATATTAACAAACGGCGCTTTTATGATCCAACTTTCCCACGCATCTATTGCGCAACAAAACAAGACTCACTCAACATCCTCTCGCATCGTTGCGTACGTATCCTCATCATCTTCGAAAATGACCCAAAACTCGTCTAGACTTGTTAGAGGGCCCATAATACGAATCTAACAATCAAACATTATTTGTATTTTAAAAAACTCAACCTTTTTTCCTTCATACTGGTTGAATTTGGCCTCATCGTTTCCCGGAACGAGTTCATGGCGTATCCGCTCATTGATAATCTAAACGAACGGTTGAATAGTGAATAGTGTATAAACGTTACTTATATTTTATTTAGTTTTTATTAGCATTCAAGGCTCAACTTTTAGTTAAGAACTTATGGTTGGACTCACAGGGGGCAGTTCATCGTTTTGTTGAAGAGGTGGGATGGCTTTCTTAAATTAGAGCTTTAATTCGAATTGGGGATTTCTAATTTCAAAAAGATCCAGTCAGCAAAAAAAGTCTTGCACCATTGTCTCCCAAAGGCTTACAACAAACAAATTTTCGCAAAAATAAGCGTTTCAGAGAAAACTTGTTGGCAACTAATTCTACCATTGTAGTCTAGTTTCCGAATATATTATTCATTTTTATTGAAAGTTATTTCTTTTGACGTAAAAAATAAGTTTTATTAGCGACACCCGGTTTAGAGCGCAAAAAAAGATGCAAGATGGAGACCTGAAGCACACAAGTCAACTTATGATGGGACGTCGATTGAAGATTCGAAGGGGTTTTTTGTAAAGATGCCCGGCTGGTTTCATCAAAATGGAGTGGAATTGCTTCGAACACCACCGTACAGCCCCGACATCAACCCGATTGAACATTTGTGGTCGATTGTTAAACGGAAACTCAAAGGACAAAAATTTCGAAACAAGGCTGAACTATGGGGCCATGTGGAACAAGTAAAATAGAAAAAATAACAAAAGAGTTAACGACCAACAAAAAAGAAAGCAAAAAAAGTCTTGCACCATCAAACAAATTCAACAAGTTTAATACTTTGGAAGTATGGAAGACGATCTCTCAACATGTGTTGCACAAATTGGTCTCATCGATGCCCAGAAGACTACAAAAGATCATTCAAGCCAAAGGAGCTGCTACAAAGTATTAAACTTGTTGAATTTGTTTGATGGTGCAAGACTTTTTTTGCTTTCTTTTTTGTTGGTCGTTAACTCTTTTGTTATTTTTTCTATTTTACTGTTACGAATAAATTTTTCACTTGTTCATTCGGAAACTAGACCACAATGGTAGAATTAGTTGCCAATAAGTTTTCTCTAAAGCGCTTATTTTTGCGAAAAATTTTTTGTTTTAAGCCTTTGGGAGACAATGGTGCAAGACTTTTTTTTGCTGACTTTACTAAAAGAAACAATAAAGTTATATCTTTGCCTCATAATCTTGCATTTGTTCAATCGTCGGAGAAGTAATAGCTGAGCAATACGAGGGAGTACCACTTTTCACTGATGGAGCTGGATCCACCGGAGTTCGATCGGCCGATCTCCTAAACGACATCAATGATTAAAAATTTTTGAGTTAGCATCAAGATAACGGTAAAACCTACAGAAATTGGAGGGCTGGTCGATCCTCGGGTAACAACTCCGGCATGAACATCACAGCTGGAATGATAAAGTTGGCTGGTTTTAATTGGTTATACACTATTATACACTTGGTTGCTTTTTCTTTCTATTTATGCATTAAGTTATTTTATACAAAACAAGAATCTACCGACTTTCTCGGTAGATATCCTCATTTGGTGCTTCTCCGAGAGCTTGAATCACAACAGGTTTTTTCTCGACCGTAAAGTAAAACGACCGACAAAGACCCTAAAAACTCAAACTAAATTTGACCGATAACAGTATATTTTCTTTAATTAGCCAGACTGACCTTTGACAATAAATCCGGTCTCATGTACACCTTGATCAGCGCAATTTTGAACTTTTGTTGTTGATCGGCATGATTTGACAAATTCGCCAACAAAGATGCCATTAGCACTGGTTCAGTTCCCAGGTATTCATGAAGCTAAGTCGATTCACCATTGATAGTATATTTTATGTTACCTGAACGTAGAAGTTCCACCAATCTTGCCGATAGTTCGGGTGAATGATAGATTCGGGTTCGGGTGAATGATGGATTTTGAGTGAATATAGAAAGTCTCCCTCGATGCGTAGTTTGTCTTCGGCTTTGTGAATGAACTAAAACTTACTAAATAAACTATTAAGACTCATAAAATTTTCTAGCTAGAACAAAGCTGTTGTGGTAGGGCTGAGTCATGACTAAACAAGCGTTAGAAGTTACGCCTAAAAGCACTTAGAATGCAAATATTGCTGTGTATATAGTGGCAGATTTAAAATCACAAGTGCCATTTTTTAAAACACTTGTAAAGCTTCAAAACCCAAACCTTTTTCACGAAGAGCTCCAGAGTAGGAGCTTCTTTGTAAGCAGCAATGCTTTTGGCAATTGAATTGTTTTTCCTCAAAATCATCTCTTTAAAATAATAATCAAAATTGATACTGTTCAAAGAGCGCATCCAATTCGGCGAAGCTCAACCTTTTCGAACGTCCCTTGAACAAATCAACTATGAGATTAAGGACCATTGATGGAGTGATTGATGGAGTCTCAATAGATAAATAAACAAGCTTTACTATGAAAATTACCTGTGATGTCGTTTCGCTGCTCGCACGAGATCGTTCGTATTGTCTCCCTTCTTGTCCGTTTGGTTCAAATCCTGGTGGAGGTCGGACCTTAAATAGCATTTTACATAATAAAAAACCCTAAAATTCTTTATCGTTTTTAGAATGTAACAAATACATGTTTAATGTACGAACAAGTTTCGTTATCAGATACATGCATCACAATAAAATCAGATGAAATGCTAATTATTTCAAACGATACCGCCGCTAAACCAGGTGGCGGGACGGCTGATTGTTGTTGGTGATTTTGTGGCGCATAATCATTGTAGTACTCGCGTCTGTCATCGGATTCCCAATGGTCTTGCGAACGATCATCCCGATAATCCTCAAGAAAAAAAAATTAGATTAGTGACAGAAATCTTTAATATGGGGAATTCTAGGTAGTTTTTGGCCTCAAAAACATGCAAATGATTTAGTAAACACAACATTCGTTTCTCATTGATTATAGCATTTTGAACGCAATGCGCTTTTATGCTTCTGTTCTTTGTACGTGGTTGCACTCTCACAACAAGAGTACGATCTAGTTCAGCTACTTATCAACTTTTAAAAAAACCTTTGATGAGCTGGCTTCATTGTAGTAAGTGGTGTCTCGAGACTGATAATCATTTTGACCATGGCTCTGGGGATAATCATCATAGTCACGATGTCTATTATAGTCTCGGTGTCCATCATAGTCTTGAGTTTCATCAAAGTCTCGACGTTCATAATCCCGATAATTGTCGCTTTGATTTCCGTAGTTGCGAGCATCATCTCGGTAACTTCTCCGATCATCGTGATATCGGTTATTGTGTTGATCAGTATCTAAAAACAAAGATTTGGAAATAACATTCAAACATTCAAAGTTTTGTAAGCCAATGGAAGCATACAAACATTAGCTATACTAATAAAAATTTTTTCTAAAATTTCTAACATTTTCTAAAAACATCGGTTTAAAAATAAAGATGGCCAAATACTGACAATTGCTCTGTCGTCGATAGTCATTCTCCCTATTCTCGGGACTTCTTGAATAGTCCTCTCGGTCATTTGCTCGATTGTAGTTCCTCGAATTGTATTCATTGCGATCGTGATTGCGGTAATCACTGTCATAGCGATCACTAAAAAGAAATTTACGTATTTCAACTGTTTTAAGCTTTAGCCATATCCATTTCACAACTGCTCTAAAACTCACTTTTTAGTCGACGAATAATTGTAATCGTGGAAAGATGATGTCAAGGATCGTTGGGATGCTAAAATCGAAAAATTATTTAATTTAAAAAATGAAACCAACTTTTCCAGTCATTCGATGTGTTGTCAGCGTCACCGCCGCGGTATGTAGAATTCTTCGAAAATGTCTTAAAAAACAATAAACTTATTTATGCAGGCTAATAAAGTTAAATAAAACCTCGTCAAAAGGGTAGACCTAATTTTTAACTTCAAGTTTGCATATTGTACCTGGGGGATGTTTGGAGCAGTTTGGGGCACTCTAGCAAACGATGCTCCGTGAAAACTGGCACCTCCACCACGACTACCACCCCGATATCCGCCTCCACCTACTCTGTTGCCTCTTCCTCCACCCCCACCACCATTTCGTCCCCCAACGCCTCCACCACCACTTCGTTCGCCTCCACGACCTCCCTAAAAACATCGTGTTTTTGGCTAAGTAAAAAACTCGAGTACAACCACAGCATTAATCCCATTGGGAAAACCCGTTTATCTCTTATCTTAACACTCGTCTTGCAAGCTCAAATTTCAATTTACACCACTCAATCCTAAACCAAACGCCTAACTTAAACACAGAATACCCACATCAAACAACCTACTCGTTGAGAAAGATCGATCTCTTTGGCCAGCCTTGCTGTTGAACTTGTTGGTATTGCATGCCAGTTTAACCCTCTCAGCTCGAACTAAAATTTAAATTTTTAAACATTAATAGTCTGCAATCTCTCACCAGATCCGTTCGTGATCGTAGAGCGTCCTCTACTTGTCTAAATCCTCCTTTGTCTAAAGGTACTGAGAAGCCAAACATCTTTTCGAATTCCTAGAATTAACTCTATTTTAAGGTACATTTTACAGGTTAAATCAGTTAAAAGCATACGCCCCAATCATTTTTTAACAAGTTAGCAACCTACTGAGTCTTTTAAATTAAAAACACTTCGAACCTTCATGATCTTATGCGTGGGCACCGTTCCGCCCATCAACATAGAGTTGAGTTTGTCCAGCGCGTCTTCCATCCCGGCAATCATTAGATAGCTCTAAATTATTTGTGAAACCTATGCAATAATGGCTCAAAACTAACGCTTTCAAAAATAGCAAGCCACGTGTTATAAACTAAAGCTTTGTTAAAAGGTTCAGATTAAAAGTTTCCACGTCTTCTATGGCGCAGCAGTTTTAAAATTTGCAAAGATAAGAGGGAGACTTTTGAATCCAATATAAATCGACAAACGTCCAAAAATATTTCAATGTTTATTAGACCAAAAAACCAATGTACAGTATTATCACACAAAATATAAACAGAGAAAAAGAGAAAAGAACATTTGAATATTCTAGCGTAAGCAAGCAAATGAAGAAAAAACAGAGATCATGTGTTTTTCTTTTCACTCTGCTTCTCCGTTGATTCTCTGTTGTATCGATGTTGTATCATCTTCTAGTTGTGTGCTCTCGGCTTCTTTCTTTCGGGCACGCAAAATTTCGGTCTGGAAATCAAAACTGCAAATGTTGTTGAAAAAATTGTAAACCTTTCAAAATCTCTCAAAAGAGTTTTCATATTTTGCTGTTTATCATATTTTTATTAGAATAATTTATTTATTAGAATTTATTAGAATAAATTCCACATTATAACACCCGATTTTATTTCAAAGCAGATAAGCTTACATTTTTGGCCACGCACATTAGAACTACACAGACCTTACATGAAAATTTGTCTGTAACTCGGAATAATAGTACAAGTGCCTCAAAAACTACCTCTTTACAAAGCCGTTGATTCAGCTCTCGTAACTCGGCTATCCGCGCTTGCTTCTCGCTGTACTTGTCACTCTTTTGCGTGATTGTTTCGATGGATCCAAAATTAGGTATTCAGAAGTCAGATTAGACAAAGTTACCTTTTCAAAATCGCGGCTCGTGAAAGCTTTTCGCCGCCTTTTGCCACTTTTCCCTCTAGACACCCGTACATCGCCTAAAAACAAGCATACGATATCTTTTGTGTTGAACTTAATCACCCAACTCACCTTGATATTATCTCGTCGCCTTCTCTCCAGCGCATTGTGTTGTGCCCGTGCGTGTTTCCTCGCATCATCGTCTCCTTTCATACCGCTTGAGGCGGGCAGGCCGTCCATCGAATCATCCACATCTGAGCTGTCGTCCATTTCTCTAAACAAAGAACTAGAATTGTACAGCAATAATTTCGCATGAAAATTTCCAGCAAATCAAGAAATTCATTGGTATATTTTCAACCAAATAAAAACAACTCAAACATATTTTGCTATTTGTTTATTCACTTAATATCGTTACTAATTTAGACTAGAAACAGTTTACACACATTGAGATCATTGGTTACAAACAACAAAACGAAAATAGAAATGATCAATAACCCGATACAAGACATTAAAGAAAATATAAAAGTCAATAAAACAAACATTTTTTATTTAATGCCGTAAAATATTCTCTCTGACAAAAAAATAAAAAGCAACGAATTTAATCACCATTATCCATCTGCTCGCGTATCTCCGACAATCAATCGTTGATGTATTTCCAAGGCGGCTCTCTGCCATTCCGTTTCACCACCTTTCGCCATTGTTCCACTTCCTTGCCATTGTGTATCCGAAAGAAGACCAATTAACTGCAAAAGTTTTTTATATAGCTGAAACTCCATGTCTTACCTCGTCATCCACAATTTCCATTGTGCAAAGGGCTTCGGTTAGTGTTTCCGCGGAGGCACACCTTACTGCCGGATATGGACACGAGAGGCAACTTACAATCTGATGCGTCTATTTTACAACAAAACAAATAGGTAAAACTTACAATTGTCATCGTAAACTTCCAAGTGCTGCTCCGTGGCTCCGAGAGCAATAGTGGTGAAATCGCGTTGAGGCATAAGCGAGCATTCACCGGCGAGACACGAGGATTCGATAACACCTAAATCAAGTTTACTTCAACAAGCTTTAAATGCAAATTTACCTTGCGACAATATGTAAGTATGTTCAGAATCTCCGTGGAACGATCGGGATGGGTGAGTAAATGGGGTATTCGTGGGAGGATCGTTGAAAGAACGCGAAGAAGTGGAAGAGACAGCCGTGGAGAGGCTGGTGATTGAATGAATTTCACTAAAATCGCCATCGCTTCTTCAGCTTCACTTTCTGTAGCCGAGTCGAGATATTCATGCAAGGCTTGTAAGGCGAACTGAGCAGTCACTTCCGAGATCCCACCTAGAAATGTTTTTGATAACTTAAAAAAATATTAACCGACCAGCTGATAATACGAGTCCATGTAAAATAGAAGCTGAATAAGGCTTGATGGAGAGCAACGGACGAAGCGAATACAATTGTTTGTCGCTAAAAGTAAAGTATGTTAGCTAAATGCTCATTTCAGAATTAAAATCCTCAAAGTTTTGGAACTACAAAACTTACTATATAAACAAATCTGGGCACGCATAAAGCTCTCTTAACAAGTCAACATTATTCAGCCCTGGCAGCGTTGTCGAAACAAGAATTGTTTTTATGCAAGTTGCTGCCGTCTAAATAAAAATCGATCACGTTCAGAAAAAAAGGGGAAACCTCTCGCAATCGTCCAATCTTTTCCGCAGATTGTTGTATAATCTGGCAAAGAACTTGAGTGACTTCGTCCTAAAAAAATAATTGTTCCTCCGAATTAGGTACGTGCTATTTCTTCTCAAAAATTACCTTTGTGATGGTCTCTTTTTCATCGCAAAGCATCGTTGTCATGGCTTTCATCGCTTCACAACGCACAAATCTTCCAATGTCCCCGCGAGCGTCCTCCGTATAATCATCTGAAATGATCGTTGTAAAATGGTGGTACACTAGCATTAGAGTTTGAAAAATTCTTACCGAGTGCAACCATAAAAACGTTGAATATTTTTTTCTTGATCATCGCCCATTCTTCAGAATTGAATCGTTGTCGTTTGCAAATTTGCGACAAAGATTTTACCGCACAAGCCCTTGCAAATGCCCATTTCTCCTCAGCCTTGACTGATCTAAAGCAAACTTCTGAAGGATGACAATATTGTTAAGTACCTGGTAATGATTGTACAAAAAAGATCGATTAAATCGCTGTGAATCGGGACAGAAATCGGCAAGTTTTCTAGAATCTGGCAAGCTCCGCCACGTTGCCACTCACGGGACGGCTCTTTGAGCTAGAGAAATGAGCGTCTTCAATAAAACAAGTAGATTTACCACTCTTATCAAATTGTTGATGACAATTGGGGCACAATTCGGGATATTTCGCAGTAATCCGACCACTTTTTCTGCCGCCTCGTTGCCCGCCAAGCGTATTGCTTCCTTTTCATCGCAGCAGCATGACTCAACAATGTACATCCAGGAGTTAAACTAAATGCAGTAAATTCAATTTGCTTTTAAGGTGCAATAGTTTTTATATTAGTTCTTACCTCTTCAGCATCGATCGGGAAATTACATTCACTCAACAGGGCCACATAGTGAGACAAAGCAAGACGCAAAAGTTCTCCTTGCAAGTTTTTGTTCGAATTGACTTGAGGTTGAAGTGCACGAGGTAAAATGATGAGCTCTTTCACAATGTGAGATTCGATTTGGAAATTGACGCTGGACAATCCTCGAAGTGTATGAGCAAGAGTGAAAAGAGCACCGTGCATAACTGGCTAAATAAAGTGATCTCAGTCAAAATAAAAAAAACACAGTACCACATGAGCCTTTTTTAAGAGCGGAAACACGGTGCGAAGTATTCTAGCCCAAGTTTCTCGAGGGTACCTAAAATAAGTTGATCAAACTTTTTAAAAATGTAACTGTACCTTGTTGCCAGCGATTCGAAAGCCAATCCACACATCACTCGCATCTTTTCATCCCAATGACATACCTGATCAAAACTTCAAAACATAACTCACATAAAAACTACTTTAAATTCGATAAGGTGATCCAGTAGGGCTGGAAGATATTCGTAAAACTCGGAAACAGCTACACACAGTAAAGAGAAACATCTGTAACTTTTGGAAAATAAAAAAAAAGGCAAAGTCTCACTTTCGCCGATTGCTGACAGCAAAGTAGTCGACCAACGTGAGCAACTCAATTCCATGAGAAATTCCACCAACACGGCCGACCAGTTCCTAAACAATCAAATATTATTAAATGAATCAATTACGTTTAAAAGCATTGATTGCTCAAATAGTTTTTGTGTTTTACAAGCTTAAAGTGCTGCTAACTTACTTGGAAAGTAGCAGAAGCAGCCCGACGAACCGATATTTCTCGATCAAAGAGAGCGCAACAAATCTAAAAATCTGCCATCTAACAATCGCCAACAATTTTTTACAAGTCCTGTCGCCGTTTTTTCCAAGTATTGTTGCAGATCTTCTCGACGATAAGCACGGGCCCACGACCAAAGTACAAAGCAGGCAGCATCTCGTACACAAGACCCCCACGCAAATCGGCCAACCTTTTCCTAAAATTCTAATAATTAAACTAAAAAAGCAAATTTTACTTCAAAAGTTAGAGCATTCTGTATGACGCTGAAGGCCGCAGTCAAATGTTCAGGTAGTAGTGCACCCCTCCATGAGAGTTCTGCCAGCGCCAAGCACCCACCATGCCAAGAAGCATATCCTGAAAAACCCATAACATCAATCTAATGTGAGTTCAAACCATTTGTGCTTAGGAAATTGTTCTTCAACAAGGTAGAAACAATTTGAGCGGCCAATTCACTAAAATATAAATTTTGACAATCATTTTTAAAATTGAGCCAGATTGTTTTTGCTTTTACCCACCGATGTAATCTTTCTGTTATCCGTCCAATCCCCTTTGCAGCTGACCAACGCACTGCCGTATCGTTATCATTTAAGAATTGCATTAATAATCCAATGCACCGTTGAACCTAAAAATAACTTAAAATTGTACCGAAACCAAAAGTACCAAAGAATCGGGAGCAGCTTCGCCTTGTTCAGGCCCTTCTTGAGTCATATTTGCTTCCAACTCGCTAATCCTCGACATATCGTTGTTTGTGATGTTCTCTTCGAGTTTTCTGCGACCCCTAAAATTTCATTGCTCACTTTTAAAAGTAGCATAAAATACCTTTGATATCTCCACTGGCATAAAGTTGGTGATAACATTACAAGTGATATCCGTCGAGCTGCTTTCGACAAATATTTTCTGATCTAAAACGATGACCTTAAAAAACAATGCAAGCAATAAGACTGACTAAAGGATTGCTCTTCTGTTTTTCAAACAAAAGAGAGACGATTGAAGAGATTTCGTTAACGAATGGTGCGATCACTTGTCGAGGAACATGTTTTAGAAGATTTAAGATCAGTATCAGTTCACCAAAGCTTTCCTTCTGGCCATTGGTGCATATTTTAGCAATACAATCATCGATGACCTGTACTTCACATTAAAATGGATTTCCAGAAATGATCGCACCTCTTTACACAAATGTTGACCTTCCGCTCTTGCTATACATTCGGCAATTAATCGAGCCGCAGCAAACTAAAAATGTAATAGACATACAAAATTTTGTTAGTAAAATAGCTCCAAAAGTCTCAGTCCGTTTATAAAGATAAATAAATGAATTAAACTCACATGTATTGTGCTATGCGTCACGCTGAGAAGTGGCTTCACCATAATCAAGATCCTCTTCAGTGTTGACGTTTCTTGGTCGTTTGCATCGAGTCGTCTGAATTTACTCCATATTTAGCTTTGAAAATTTTCGAAACCTCAAGTCAAATGGATTCATGCAGACAATGGTTAACCAATAAAGGAGAGTCGTGCGTTCACAAATTCGACACGATTGCAACGCTGGTGAAGCATTACCATATTGCTCGAGACAAGAAACTATCGGCTTGAGATGGTGAATCTAAAAAAATGATCGATTTTGTTCAACAATATCAAAAAAGTTTGCAAGCTTTTGGGCCAGCCTACAACCTTTTTCGATAAAGGCACTACAAGTTAGTCCCAAAACAAATTGATTAAACTATTAAATGTATACCTCTCTTGGGAGAAATTTCATAATAGTTTTATAGCCTCGGATCTTAATAAGCGTGAACAAAAGCATGAGCGCGAGAGCCGATCGTTCATCCAGACTAAATCTTGCACAATTATAGATCGTGAAAAGTCACAAACATTTTCGGGTGCCCATCATTTGCTGTCAAATTCACGACGGAAGACAAATTGAAGACAGTCTCAGGTATTAATGGGTCCAGAAGTGATGGTTGTTCGGCATAAATTTCGAGAAGTTTTTTGAAGCGTTCTTGTACTTTCTAAAAATGTCTCTTTTCTCAGATGAAGCAGATTTTTACCTCGAAATTTTTCTCATCTTCGAATCGGACATTAGTGGAGATATTTTGGATCTCGATACGATGAGATGTTTGTAAATGAGAGGGAAGACATCCAATCACGCCATCTTCATCTAAAGTTAATATTAAATGATTGACTTTATTTGCTAAAAAATCAATTTGAGTTTAGAGGTTTTTAAATTAAAATTCAGTAAGGTCATGCTTAGATTGTGTTTTGATGCAAAACTCTTTAAGACTGCTTTGCGAGAAACACTTCCCGACTTCACGCTCAATATTTAGTAGTTGACTCACCTTCATCCATTTGTTGGGGGCTTTCGATCTTCTCCTCGAAACCATTTGGGCCCGGTTCAATCAACAAAAGTTCACGCATCAAAACTGTGGCTAAATTAGGCTGCAATGACATCAGTTTAGCTTTTTATAATATTAGGCAGTAGGAAGCCAACCCTCATTTACGATAAACAGCACCGAAACGAAATCTTTATTCTAGATCGCAACTACTAAATCAATGAGATCAAAAGAATTTAACGGTAACGGATAAAATACGTGTTGCACAAAAATGACGCCCAATCGATGCAAACATGGAAAATCGCTAATAAAAAAACCGGTATAAATTGGATAGGTTTTGATAACAATCGAAAAACAGACAATAAATAGGTAATAACAAATCATCAGAAGATCATTCAGCGGCAATGCGCATTCTCTTGGCTTGTGATTCTTCGTCGTGTCCCTCCGATGCTGATGGCTCTCCTTCGGACTTGCGCTTTCTCTTTGCTTCGGAAGCCTCTTCTTCTGTCGGGCTCTCCCCTGGCTTGGCACCCGTATCCTGTTCGACCTAGAAAGATGTTTCAGATTAGAATCAAATTAGTTTTTGCAAAAAAAGATTGATTTCAATTATTCATAGTAGTTATAAACCAACCACAAATGAATCTTTTTGATTCTCATCATGAAATAGCACCGCGCTGAACTTGAGATCCTGTAGATAATCGTCAACTTCAAGCACAGCTCCATCGGCAATATTGTTTTCTTGGAAAGTGCGATTCTCCAATTCTAAAGCACAAGATTACCGAATTTAAAAGATTCAAAATTCGATTTCAACCTGAGAAGTCATCGTCCGGATCAGAGCTGATAATTATATTTCCGGTGGTGGCCACCAAAACATCGGGGCTTTGCACAGAGAAATGACCAGTGAGAACCTAAAAGAAATATTTTTCCCGTAGATTAGATAATAAAAACTTTGTCTTTAAACATCTTCAATGTCATCACGTTAAGATTGACTTTCACGAAGACTTCTCGTTTATCCGATGAGCAAACAAAGCATTCTTTGCGTGGTGGATATGGATCGTCATCCATCTCAAGCATGATGTAAATTGATATCACGAGAGACATACCAAAAGTTGACCACGTGGATTTGGCTGTCTATTGATGTAGACGGTACGAATAAGATCCTTTCGACCACGAAGTACCTTGATCGCTTCAACCACCACCATCCCTGCCACAATGGCATTCGTGGTTGCAATTGCAGGAATGATATTGCCAGCCATAGCTAAAAAGAATTAGGTAAGTGATAATGTAAAGTCACTCACATTTTATCTCAAAAAGACTCTTTCCGGGAATGCTGAAGATGTGGGCTCGTAAGTTTGCAACAGCCGCAACAAATCGCATAGCGTCATCGTCATCCTAAAATTGTTTTATTTAATCAATTCAAATGCCCCGTCTAAATTAATAATACTGACTTTATCCCAGGATAGAAGTTGTCCCTCAGGAAGACCACTTTTTCGAGTCTTCAAAGCATCGACCGATTCGACGAAAACACGTGCGCAAGCTTTGAGAGTCCATTGCTAAAGGTAAAATTAATAAAACCCTTTATGTCTAAGTAGGGGTTAAGCCTGGTTATGTAGTTAGAAACCAACCTTCATAATATCGTTGACATCATCGGTCATCTCGGTACTTCCACCTCCTTGCGCTTCGTCGGTAACATTTGCAAACCTTAATGCGCCTTTGTAAGCCAATTACCCTCGCGATCTTACGTGATTGGTGTTGGAGGTTTGCGTGATTTCCAAAGATCCTTCATTGTCAACAAATACTCGATATCATCATGGAAAAGCTGAAACACTATTCTAAACAAAAAAGGAACTCTTTACAAACCTTGTCGAAGATCAATTTAGCGTTGTAGCCAGATTCTTCAGCCCATTTCCTGGTGCTTGGAACAACCGTATTCTTCTAAAATAGCTTTCCGTCAAACAACTTTTTTCGAGAAAGTTTACATTTGATTCTTCAGCGGCGACTCCATTTGTGTGAAAACCATTTGTATTTCCTTCTTCCTAAATCTCGATGTTATAATAGAACGGATTCTTTGATAAAGTCTTTTAGAACTTTATGCAAAAAATGCTACCAACCATTGCTGTATGACCATTTCCATTCATCATGGTCTCCGTAGCCTCCTCCGCGGTCTTATTTTCTGGATCGTTGAGATCAGGTGAGACATCGTCATCGATTGCCACTTCCCCGAAGAGTTGACTAGAGAGTTTCACAGTTGAGCCTCAAGAACAACACCTACTTGAAACAATGTTTGCTCCAAACCGTGCAGTGAATATGCTCACTTGGGGTATTTCGAATAGTGCATCTAAATCTCGTGAAGACTTTTTCTATAAAAATCTCTATACCCAGGATAAGTTTTCGGCGCTGGTTTAGAAGTGCATTCATAGCATTGGGTTTGCCCTTTGATAATGACGGAAACCTAAATTTAGATTTTTAAAATACCTGTCCAATACCTGTGTTAATAAAAATACCTGTCCAATATAACCAGCTGATCCACTTTCAATTAAAGGCACTCCAGCCGAGAGACAAAGACGATTCACGTGGTTTCGAGCGGCTAAAACATTTAAAATTATTATTTTCACCATTTCAAGCAAAAACAACTTCCTTACATCTATTATCGAGAGCGTTCATCACCAAGTTGAATTCTTTGAAAAAAGAGATGCCAAATTTATCGCCACTAAAAAATCATACACTTTTTTTTATGATTAAAAAGTCTACTTGAAGATTGAATCGTGATCGAATGTGATATTGACGTTTGGTTGAAGCTTTTGAACAGCGGCTGAAGCGACTTCGGCTTTACTCTTGTTGACGTGCTCTCGGCGAAAGAGGAACTGACGATTCAAATTTGATACGTCGATCGTGTCCAAATCAACCTAAAAACAAAAAATAAACTAAAAAGACAGATAGAGTTAGCCTAACTAAACGTTTTCATTTATTTAATTAAACTAAAGCTGAACTTACCACGTGAATCTTTTTGAAGCCGGTCAGCACCAAGTTCTTCAAAAGTTCGCAGCCAATACCACCTAAAACAATGTAGTAGAGAAAGATACAAAAGTCAAATTTTTTGCAAAATAGCTTACCTGCACCAACGACAAGCACTCGTTTATCTTCAAGAAGCGTTTCCAGACGATTTCGAATGCCCATCTTTGCAACAGGCCAAAAAAAACTGGATAAGAGGCTAATCAAAGTTAACAAAATCGAAAGTAATTACAGATTGAAAGACTGAGATTAAACAGTAGCTAAAGTTTTAAGAGGTAGCTCAAAAAAACTCTGGAATTTTTTTTTACGGCCAAAATGTAATCCAAATTTTAATTTTACTTTTGAAATTGGTTACCCCCGTTATTTTATTGAAATTCAGAGCAACGGCAGGAAATACGGCACAGATATCGCACGAAATGCACGTCATTTGTAGCGTTTCATTCTGCCTGATGATTGACTCAATCATTTTTTTTTTCTGTTTTTGTCGTCTGAAGTTAAAAAACAGTGACATTTTCTCTAAATGTAACATTCTCTTTTCAATTTCTCAATTTTTCAAAAAAAATTAGAGAGATCGATATCGGTTTCCCTTTTATCGTTGTTGCGGATCTAATGAAATGAAAAATTTTCGGATCGTTTCAATATTATCCCGAGCTATTTAGCTAATCAATTGAATATTTTAATTTTGCAAAAAGATTATACAGCCCTCAAAAAATCTTGGCCAGCCAATGTTATCATTTTTTCCCGTTAGACCACATTCAAATACCGTATTCTATCTAATAGTAGTGCACCCTGAGCGTTACCTAAATTGCTCGAAATCTCGAAAAGCGCTTATCAGAACCTATCGATGTGGGGTCGGAAAATGTAGCTGACGATGAGATCTTGTGGGGGATTAGAGTGTTGAGCTTCTGCGAAAACTTAGAAACCGTAAAATAGTCATCAACTCGGCCCGGCGGAGTGCACTACTATTAGAGAGAATATGGTAAGTCGATTCCAATTAGTTTTTTGTAGTATTTTATGAGAGCTTTAAAATGGTATTCGTAGATTTTTGATGGAATTTGGAATTTTTCAAGCTACTTTTGCATAAAAAGGGTAAGGTCCTTTTTCTCAGATTTTGTTCAAGCCTTCAAAACTGCCAGAAGCCTTTCATTTTCGCCAGAACAAAATTAATAAATAAGTCAATAGACAATCCAATGTCATTATAATTGGAACCATTTTCAATGGGATCCATTCATTCTTGAAATACAGATTTTTAAAAATCATACTCAAATACGGTTTTTCGATCACAAAACTCTTAGTTCAAAAGATATCGAAAAGCTAAATGGTTCATTTTAACAACTTATGAAAATGCTACATAAAACTACTTGTGGTCTATATATTTTGATGTAATCTATAGACCAAGTGAACACTGACCGGCCAGGAATTTTTTGACGACTCTATACCTTCTAAATAAGGCTAAATTTTATTCATTTTAGTCCAGTAACTTTGAACTTTCTCATCCAGTAACTTTCTCATCTTTGACCAACTAATCTTATTTTTTAGGTGTCCAATGGACGACATCATTGGTACGCCGATCGAAATAGAAACAACCTACAGAAAATCGACTCGTTTTGAGAGAATTGATCGATCGGATCCCCGGTGGGAGGGCTACAGGAAGGTACGAACCGTCGTTTTTGTCGAAGAGCAAGGTGTTGCGCTGAATGAGGAATTCGATGCACAGGACAGCGATGAAATTACGCAACACTTTGTCTTGGAAGTGATCGAGAAAGGAACGGATTTCCACAATCAACAAGTTGTCGGCGTGCTTCGATTTCAGCTTTGTGGCACCTACGTGAAGTTGGAACGTGTAGCACTGCTGAAGGAATTCCGTGGAGGCGTTCTAGGACAATGTTTAGTGAATGAGGGAGTAAATTATTTTCTGAAAAATTTCCAAGGGAAAATTCTTGTCGCTCACGCTCAAACGGCTAAGTTGCGATTCTACGAACGACTCGGATTCATACCGATTTCCCTAGAATTTTTCGAAAAGCTTAACGATGTCGTGATTCCGCATAAGACGATGGTTTTGCCGGCATTTGGAAATTCAACAATGTCGATACATTTTGTTCAGCATTCGGAGTATGAGGGGGATTGCTTTGATCAGAAAACGGTTGCTCGAATCGAGAGAGTGCTGGGATCAATTTCATTTATTCCATTGTGTGCTTTAGCTCAACGAATACCGGACGGATGTGGATTAGAAAGGAATAAACTTATTCAGCTTGCTTTTCAAATGCAAAATCATCTTCTAAAGCAATCTGGACTCTTGAAAGACATAAACTATCCCAACGAAGATATCATCGAAAACCAATCAGTTTCAACGGAACTGGAAAATTTATCAAAGTCTGGCTGGAAAATGTTAAACATTGGGTTCTACTCGTCAGTGCCAGAATGTTGGAGAATATTTTATACGATTACAAAATTTTGCGACGGTGTTTGGAAAGCTTTTGTGGAAAGTGATTATGAAACAGCTTTACGGGCAATCGATGATGGCCTTTTGATGGGAAGACGAGAGAATTTACCTTATGAAGGCCTACTGTTAACAAAGATTGCAGATCATATACACAATCGCTTGCAAAGGCTAGAGTTGAGATGGGATTCTCTAAGAAACAACAACGTTGAAGCACCAAAGGAGAGAACATTTGTGAAACCGTGGTGGAATATTAAGGAAATGCCTAAATTTGAATTGTCTTCAGTGCTGCAATGCTTGGACTCGGGAATGCCTTGTGTTATTCGAAAGTTTGCAAAGAATATGACTGCATTTGAGAAATGGAGTTTCTCATATCTGTCGTCGATTGCTGGAGGAAGGACAGTACCGGTAGAAATCGGAAGTCGCTATGATGATGAGGATTGGAGTCAAACCCTGATGACTATTGACGAATTTTTGGAGGATTTTGTGTTGTCATCCGATCAACTACTCCCAGGTAGCGCTTTTAAAAACTATCTTACTTAATATGATTTTTCTCTAGGGTACTTGGCTCAACATCGACTCTTCACACAAATCCCACAGTTGTTTGATGATATCGATACAAAAGAAGTGGAAATGATAGGAAAAGACATTGATTGGAATGTCTGGTTTGGGCCGGCTGGAACGATTTCTTCATTTCACCACGATCCACGTGATAATCTCTTCATTCAAATTGTCGGCAGCAAATTCCTTCGATTAGCCCATCCATCGGACACCAATAAGCTTTATCCGAGGGACGATATTCTTAAGAATACGAGTCAAATAGATGGAGAGAATCCAGATTTGAATTCTTATCCACTATTCTCCGAAGCGCAAACAGTTGATGTCATTGTGAATCCAGGAGATGCCGTTTTAATTCCAAAATCTTATTGGCATTTTGTGAAATCTCTTACTCCATCAATGTCTGTCTCGGCTTGGTTTGATCCGCTTGATTAATTTGTGATTTTTCTTTTGTTGTGATATTTTTCATCTATTTTGCGGGGTTTTAATACGAGTTATATTTAGATGTCCTCCGACGTGAACGCCGCGCAAACAGCCGACAATTATTCGATGGTTGACAACGAAAGTGATGACTTGGTTGAGGTCTGCGCTTCAATAGTTATGTTACGAGTAGAATGTGTACTTTATGGTTAATATGATAAACCAACAATTTAAATTTGATCTAGGTTTTTCCGTCGGCTCGTGCTTGTGTCTCCTCTGGTGAGCCGTCGTTAGATGGATCGATTGATGATGAAAGAGGAGCCCTCTCCGATAGCGACATTACTCACGCTGCTCGGACTCAGGTTTGTATTTAAACTAATTGGACGTTACTAATAATTTTCTTTTAGACTATCGCTACTCAAGTGAAGGGTCCGTCCAGTGATTACCTCGAGAGCAGTTGTCGACTGGAGCACGAGGTACAGTAAAAGTTTTTACAAAATATAAAGAGAATTAGGCACGCGAACGAGGCGATGACTGGGAAGACATGCTTGGAAGTGGTGAGCTGTACAAAAAGACATTGAAGGTGAGTAGGGTCAATTTGCAAATCTGAAACAATTTAATTTTAGAACGGGACAGGCCATCACAAAGTCCGAGATGGACAATGGATTACCGTTAAGGTTGATTTAAAGAGAGCCAATATTCGATAAACCTTTTTTTAGGTAGTAGACACATTGCGGGGAGTCGACTCGCATGATTTGCTCACGTTCATCACTGGATTTTCAATGGTGGTAGATGGTTAGTAGTTTCAGACTTTCTTGTTTTCATTGCTTACACTGGATTAACAATATTTCTTTTAGCCTGGGAATTGGCCGCAAAACTGATGGTGGAAGGAGAAATTTGTGCCCTTCGAACGTCGTCTCGATTCGCGTATGGAGAGAATGGACTGAATAAGACAATCGGACCCAATCAGCAAATGGAATATACGGTGAGTAGACGCAATCGGTTATCGATTTTTGATTGATTAAATCTTGCTTTTTTAGATTGAAATTCTGAAAATTGGTGACTCCCCAAAATACATGCAAATGGCCGAAGATGAGCTCTGCGATTTTGTGTTGATGCTGAAAGATCGAGGAAATTTCTACTTTTCGCGAAAGGAATATGAGAAAGCAATCTTTGTTTATAAAAGGCTGGTCATTCTTTTTCTATAATTGTAACCCTTAAGATTTAGAGCGCTTACAATTGTTGATACACCAGAAGAAAGTGAGGGTTTAAGAAAATTATTCTCGTCAATCAACTCGAATCTTGCTGTTTGTTACTCAAAGGTAAGAAAATTGTTTTATGTCTCAAGAGGGGTTAAAGTTGTTGTCAATAGATCATCTTTAGATAGATGAATGGACGTTGGTTGAAGAACACGCATCGACAGCTATCTCTCTTCACGCACTCAACACAAAAGCATATTTTCACAGGTTTTCACAAGGTTTTTGCTTTTTATAATGATTTTTTCAGAGCACTTGCTTATGGTCAACGCGGTGAGATTGATCGAGCGCTGGCCGACTTGCGAGCAGCTTTAAGTATTGAGCCAAATGAAAAGGTTGGTAAATTTGAATCTTTGTGATACCCTTAACCTTACTTTTTAGTCTCTGCAACGGGAGATCGAACGGGTAATGTCGAAGAAGAAAGAGGCTCGTGAAAAAGAAAAACTTATTTTCAAGTAAGTAACATTTTTTTTGCATTTTGGACTTGAGAAAAATATAAACCGCTTTCTTTCAGGAAAATGGTGGCCGGTTTATCGACAGAAGACTATGCAACTCCATCAAGATCCCTTCTCGCATCAGCTCGTCTGTTTCTCTCATCTCGTCTCCATCTAGCCGTCCTATCGTTCTTCATCGTCATGTTGGCCTTATTTCTTCACTTTCTTCTTCAACTTTGGTAGAGCGATTTTATTTTTTACGTTGACGTTCTCTGAATGGTAAAATTTAACGAATCCAAACGTTTGACCTTACGCTATCCAGAGAGTTCATTGAGATTGTTTCCATGTTAGATTTGTATGATCTATGTTCACTAGAGAATGCTCAAAACCAAATGAATGTGCACTTTGTTTTTTGATACATCTATTAGATTGGCAACTTGAAAATTAGTACACTTATTCATTGGACTTTTTAGAAATAACTAGTGCACCAATTAATCTACAGTTTTTACCAATAAGAAATACGATAAGAAAGCCCATTTATTCTCTAAAACAGGCTTTTGACAGATTGAGAAAAGCTTCGGTTTTGTAGGTTTCTAGGGCGCAAGAAGTTGAGGAACCAAAAGATGATGAACGCTTGATGAAACGATTTGAGCACTTTCTTCCACATAAACCTATTTTAGTGTCAATAAAAAAGAGAGAGCATAACAAGTTAGTTAAATAGCTAAATTTTCAACTAGATATAATCAATCGTTTTTGTTATAGTTCCATTTGAAGAATTTTCAGAAAAACTTGAATTTCTGCTCAAATTCGTTTCAAAATTTATCCAAATTTGCTTAAGCTTTTCTTAAATTAGATAATATATAACTTTTATTTAGAGAAATCTAATTAAATTGGCGTATTAACGAATATGTTTTATGGAAAATACGAAAAAGTGTACCAACTTTTAAGTTGCCAATAGTTTACCCATTTTATGCTCTGATATTTTCCTCTTCTCTTGTAGAAAATTAAAGCGAACCGTGATTCTTTTGATTATTGTGAGCCAATCATAATGTGATTATTGTTTCGTCTAGTTGTTTTGTTTAGTTTTGATTTGTCTTCCCATGTAGATCTTATTTTTCCTATGTACATGAGTTTATTCTTTTCTTTCGTCGATTCTTTTGATTCGTTATAAAATGCTTTAAATATGTTTAGTGTTTGAGACAGGTTCCATTGAAGAAAGGAGCACGAATTGAGCGACTCTCGCCACAACAAAATGCACCACTGAAGACTGGGGTCGAGTATGAATCGGGTAGATGTCTGGAAAGATTTATTTGGCAAGTCTTTTTCGTAGTCTTTTTTTGTCGTAGTCTTTTTTTAAAGTTAGCTCCCAGTTTACTTACATAAATGGTCTCATATAGCAAGGAGTGGCGACATCTAGTGAGAAAATCGAACGCAACGCTGACGTTGTTGCGGCAACACCGCTCAACACTCCAATACCTGCGGTGTTTTTGTCTAGACTAGCTTTTTGGGGTAAAGACACTTACAAATGCAAATCGTGTTCAATAACAGTTTGTGTTTTGGAGTGCATTGAAGAACACTGAAATCATTTTGATCAGAGTTCAGAGTTCAACCAACTCATAAACGCTTGCAATGATCGTTTCATTCTCTTCTCGATCATCAGTCATTTGTCTCTTTTTCTCGGCTGCTCCCAAAAACATGTTGAATAGAGGAGGGAAAACGAGGGAAAGAAGCGCCATTGTTGAACCACCGACCTGTTGTTATTGTAAAGATACTGGAATCCCCAAATCTTTTACCAAATCGAGAAAAACGCCGAATTTAGGCACAGAGAGCGCCATGAACAATACGGCAGCCCAGAGAAGCGACCGAACGATGAGCCGGCGCGCGCAGAAACCTTTAAATGTTGAAATGTTTTAGTTTCTCTTTTTTTTCTTTCAGATTTTGCACTCACGATTCGGCACATTGCAGAGCTTCTCGAAGGAATGCGAAACGGGAGCAATGACAATGACAAGCGCCGCTGTGACATGAAGAGTGATCAAAAGGGTCACCCCGTGGCGTATCCATTCACTTTGGATCGACTTCGAGGCATCGTCCTGAGATTTTCGTGAATTTGAGGCGTTTCCTCAGCCGTTTCCCTAAGCCTAAGCCTCAAATAGCTACCGTATCCCCAAATCTACTCACCCACTCACCGATAGTGAGTTTCCGTAGGTCAAAAAGGCAAACACCGAAACCGGGACATACATCAAAATGATTACTAAAAGCTGAATCTTTTAGAGAACTGTAATGTAAAGATAGGCTATTGATAAGTGTACTGTAGTGTACTGTAGTGTACTATAGTGTACTGCAGTGTACTGCAGTGTACTGTAGTGTAGTGTAGTGTACTATGTGTAGTGTACTGTAGTGTACTATGTGTGTACTGTAGTGTACTATGTACTGTAGTGTGCTATGTACTGTAGTGTGCTATGTACTGTAGTGTACTATGTACTGTAGCTATGGATACGTAGATAAACAAATCCGAACCTAAATAAGCCGTGATGATAACCCTCGAGAATTGCTTGGGATTCTTCATGTCGTTTTGAAAAGTGGGAAAACAAGAATGACCGCCGAAAGCGAAAAGAGCCGTGCCGAATGAGAGAAAAATTCCCTGGAATCGTTGAAATTGTCGAAATCGTTGAAATTCGATTCGATGCACTATCTCAAAAAAAAACTACCATAATTTCCGGATCTTTATATGCGATAACGGGGCCACACGTCGGACGATCGATGGCGATTCCGTAAAAGAGAAGTCCAATTGCGCACATTGTACAAAGCGCTGCGCAAACGGCTGCTTGCCTAAAGAACTGATAAGAGAGATAACGAAGATAAGGAAGATAAGGAAGCCTAACTACCGTTTAATGAAAGTAGACTTTTAAACGATGAGAGATTTGTTTATGCAGATTTATTCAATTAAAGATTTAATTATGAGGAACACTTTGTAATCTGGCCTCACTACAATTCGCCATATTACATTACATATCGTAAATACTGTAAAAGTACCGCACCCCCCATAATGACGGTGCGGAATGTTGCGTAGTCTAGCTTTGAACGAGTTTTTCTCGACACTGGTTTGTGCTATAATGCTCGCGTAGGTATCAAAAAAATAGCTGAAATTCAGGGCTATTTTTTTGATACCAAAGCGCGCATTCTAGCATAAACCAGTGTCGAGAAAAACTCGTTCAAAGCTAGACTACGCAACGCTCCGCACGGTCATTATGGGGCTGGGGTGCTTTTACAGTATTTACGGTACATACATGCATATCTTTTTTCAGCTCACCAAAAATCCTTTGGACTTTCAAGCATGACGAGTGGCCAAAGAAACAATGAAATCGCGGGAAGTGACATGCAGAAGCCGATGTGGATTTTCGCCATTTCGAGGAGGCTAAAAGAGGCTTTAGCTGTTCAGGCTGCTCATTTAGCTTTGTCTTTAGCTTTGTGCTGACCTCTTTGATCTGATGGTGAGGCTCTGATCTGATGGTGGGGAATTGAAAATACTCAAAAACTAATAACGGTTTCAAATTCTCCATCCCAGAATGGCTCTGGTTACAAATTTTCAGATCTACAGCTAATATAGATGCTCTAATAGAACGCCACTGCCTCGTACAGTCGCGTGGTCTAGCTACTTTTTCGAAAAACATTTTTTTCTCAGCCTCTAGACTTTTTCCCAACTATGATTTTGGTATCAAAAGATAGTTGAATTCAAGGGCTATCATTTGACACCCAAGCGCACACTGTAGCTTAAAGCAGCGCGGAGAAGGGAGCGTTCAAAGTTCGACTACGCGACTGTACCCCCGTCATTGTCGGGATGGCGGTCTGTTAGAGTATTTACGGTATTCTACTTTCTGGAAAGAGTGAACTTGTACAATATTTGATCAGTTAAATGAGTGATGAAGAAAATGAAAGAAAATGAAAGAAAATGAAAGAAAATGAAAGAAAATTAAAGAAAATTGAAGAACTTGTTGATGAAATTGTGACGAAAATCCTCATAGAGACAACAAAATACGAGCTTAAATAGGCTTGAGCTACAGTATGCTCAGATTTGTCTGTCTTTTAGTTTAGTGCGTTTTAACTTGTACAACTTGTACATAAAACAGCTTTCTCATTTTAACTTGTACTTACAAAAGTTTCTTGAAGGGTTTCTGAAGGGTTTCTTGAAGAAAGTGTTGAAATATTGGACACAAGCTCGTTGCCTACAATACCTTGAGATGTTCATCGAGGCAAGAATCAGAAAAACGACTGCCACGCCGAATTGCGAGATGCAAAGGACGAGACGGACGAAAATTCTGAAGATTTTGAGATTTGTCAGCTCCGAGCCAAACTGATATTTTCGTTACTATTGTTATTATTGAATGATTTGTCTATTCTTATGCAAATGGGTTCTCCCCTGTGCTTATCCCTTTTATTGCCGAGAAGGGGCGGTCCTTGGGATTGCCTAGGAGGACAGTGAGGAGCCTAGGAGGACAGTGAGGAGCCTAGAAGGACAAGTGAGGAGCCTAGGAGGACAAGTGAGGAGCCTAGAAGGACAGTGAGGTGCCTAGGAGGACAGTGAGGAGCCTAGGAGAACAGTGAGGAGCCTAGGAGGACAGTGAGGAGCCTAGAAGGACAAGTGAGGAGCCTAGGAGGACAAATGAGACTCTCATTTGGAGTCCCCCCTTCCCCTTACGCTCATTTGTAATCTATTCGTATTATTGTACTACTGTAAATAAAGATATGCAGTCTATGCATCTATGCAGTCTTCCAGGTCTATGCAACTGCAGTACAGGTCGGTCATTTCACAGGGACTCCCCTCTAATACGTTGGAGGAGTTGAGTTGGGTTGTCGGGGTGTTAGAGATGGATATCAAAAGGATTCACTCTCTTTAACTTAACCCAAATTCTAGTCCACATCCGTTTATACCTACCGTAAATACTGTAATAGTACCCCACTCCCCTCGTACAGTCACGTAGTCGCAAAAGTTTTTTAGTATTTCATTTTTTTCAAAGCGCCCGTACTTTCAAAAAATGCGTCTTTGGTATCAAAAAATAGCTGAAATTCAGGGCTATTTTTTGATACCTAAGCGAGCATTGTAGCATAAACCAGTGTCGAGAAAAACGCGTTCAAAGCTAGACTACGCAACGCTTCGCTATGAACGAGTTTTTCTCGACACTGGTTTATGCTAGAATGCGCGCTTTGGTATCAAAAAATAGCCCTGAATTTCAGCTATTTTTTGATACCTAAACGCGCATTGTAGCACAAACCAGTGTCGAGAAAAACTCGCTCAAAGCTAGACTACGTAACGCTCCGCACCGTCATTATGGGGGTGGGGTACTATTACAGTATTTACGGTAGGAACGAATAGATTTGATTCTATTTGAAGCGAGATTTGATTCGATTTGATTTAAAGCGAGTTTTGATCATTTTAAGTCTAAAATTTCGACAACTTTCCCTAAAAGCCTAAAAGCTAAAAAGCTAAAAGGAAAAACGCCTCACCCGGCTCTTTTCCCCAATGCTCTTGTTGCCATTTCTGGGTACGGATCGTGGCAATGAAGAGCGAACTTTCTCCACCTTTTCCTCATCATCAACCAATTTTCGCCGAGAAGGTTTCCCGTATAAACTGAGAAATGGAAACACTTCTAGAAAATGAACCGAAATCTCAAACCTGAGAACACAGCTCCGCCCAATAAAACGATCAATCCGGTGATCAATCCTGAAAGTTCGCTCAGTATGATCTCTCTCAGTCTCTCAGTCTCTCAGTCTCTCAGATTTTTCTTTTCATTTAACACACTTGTCTAGGCTAACCGGTAAGCTATAAATGATTTTAGCACCATAAATGATTTTCTAAGCTGTCTAAAGCTAAGTAAAAAAAAGCCCAAAATCGACTTGTCAGATCTCAAATTCCAGACACGAGATCGATCTGAAATTTTGTCAACACACTCCCATTGGGTTCCAAAGCACACCGCCAAACGGGTGTCCCTTAGCTCCAAGAACCGGCTGAGATCCAGAAAATGGGGGTTCAGCCCAAACCCAAATAGACTTAGTGCTAGGCGCTAGCCGCTAGCCTAAGCCTGAGCCTGAGCCTAAGCCTAAGCCTGAGCCTGACCCTAAGCCTGAGCCTAAGCCTAAGCCTAAGCCTTGAAAGCTGATTGAAAGCTGATTGAGCTGAAAATTTGCAATCAAAGATTTTTCATGGAATTCGAATCCCTTATTACTCTTTTTTAAAGAGAATTGCTCTATATTTAGATATTTCATTTGGTTTTTCTTGTTTTATTAACTGTTTATTGTTATTTTTTTAAGCAAAAGGTTTAAGCATAAATGAAGAAAGCAAAGAAAACGGACAAAAAACGGCGCCACGGCTACTACTCGAAAGGTCAAGGGTTCGATTCCGGTTGGCGACAAAAATTTAGAATTTTTTTGCAAAAATCTCAAAAATGAGTTTCTAAGGGTAGTTTAATGCGCTGAGTGCGAATAACGTGTTTTTAGCCTATGTTGACAAACAAAAAACTATCGAAACGAAAGAAAAAAACTATTTTTGAATTTTGGACTAAAAAGCCTGTAAAAACTTCAAAACCGTATGAATTCAAAAACGGTTTTTCCGCTCTTTTTTCCACCATGAATTCAGCTTTCGAATGAGCCATAACACGTGTAGATTGGTTGCGTTTAAGAAGTCGAACTCTCGACCCTCAGATCAACGAGTCGTCAAGCTGAGCTTTGAGCGCTGAGCGCTGAGCTGAGCTCTGAGCGCTGAGCTGAGCTCTGAGCCGGCTGAGCTGAGCTGAGCTCTGAGACTGAGCTGAGCGCTGAGCGCTGAGCTGAGCGCTGAGACTGAGCTGAGCTGACTTAAATGCTTATAAAGATTTAAAAGCCAAGCAAATCAACAAATGCTCTTCACTAGTGTGTTCCTATTGAATATCAGCTCTCAAACAAGACTAAACTCGTAAAGATTTGCGCAGTTTAAGGCGATCTCACAGCAAATCCGCCATTACTTTTTCGCCAAATCTGTCCATTGTAAGGATTTTTGAAAAAACAAGAATTCTCGGATTTTGGGCTTAAAGCGGACTCAAATTTGCTTAAAAATTAGCTAAATCGTTACTCTTTTTTTCTTTAAAGCAAATCACACGTTTATCGGCGCTAATTATTCATTTATAAACGTAAATTTCCAAAAAACGCGGTTGACAAGAAAAAAAAAAAATCGGTGTCCCACTCGCCCTCAAAACCAACCAGTATCACTGAGCGCTTTCGGCAATACGACAAGTCCCGCGCCGACCATCGTTCCCACAATGAACGTCGACGCCAACACCCAATGGATTCCTTTAGTTTCTGCATCGTGTTGTCGATCTTCCTAAAATTTCGTTAAAAAAATTCTTTAACATTTTCTCACCTGTGTAACCACGTAGACATGATTGAGGCCCATTTCGATCAAAAAAAAAAAGCCTAAAGGATTGAATAAAAGAAGCAAAAAAGGAGGAAAAGCAAGAAAAGCAGGAAAAGGACTAAATCCTTACGTGAAACTCTCTCAATTCGGGTAGCAAAAACACAATCACTATCGATAAAATCGTGACACTGAAAGGCGGGGGGAAATGGAAAATAGAAAAGGATGGAGAACAAAAAAGAGACCGGGAGGAGTTAAAACAAGGGAATCATTCGCCTCACTCAGAGACAAAAAAGGAGAGGATTATGACTCTCTCGTTTAGGATTCCAAGAGTAGAGAAAACGAGAGAATTGTGTTCGGACATAAAGAAAACACGATGTTATGATGATGAGTGATTGAAGGAGGATCATACGAAGCGAGCTCTAACTGCAAGTTTGTTCTCACCTAGAGTGCATTTTCTAAAATTTTCTAAAAAATAAAAAACTTTCGAGATCTCACGTTCATTTCTTGAACAAATGATTTATCGCTATGCATCAATTGGCAAAGTCGACTGAAATTTCAATCATTTGGCACGAGCACTCTTTTCTGATTTCCGGCAAACAGGTTTTTCCTCCATCATCTTTTAAAAAACAGCCTATTCATCAAACTCTTTTGCTTTTTTTTATATGCACGAAATTTGCAAACTTTAATTACCAACAAAAGTAAAACAAAAAGAAAATAACGAGAATAGCGAACAATTTAGCAAGTCTGTATATCGATTTCCTTGATCTCAAAGAAAATGAAGAAAAATCATAACAAATCGAGAAGAAACAAATTGACAATGTGTAAATTATTATACAAAAATTCAATAAACCTAATTTTAAAAAAAACACCGGGCAAAAATGAGTTTCAAACGAGAAAATCAAGAATACTTTTAACTTATGTTTCATATCAGTAGAAAGGCGGTTGTTGGAATGTGTTTGGCCATGAGGGAGCTGGCGGAGGTTGAGAGAAGTCCGGCATTTGACCTGGGTATTGCGGCTGAGCATTTGGCATCTAAAAAAATTGGTGAATATTAGATGCAATTCATATCCTGCTTAAGCTATACAAATAAATTTTGGTTAGCTTTTTCGATTTATTTAACCAGTCATTCTACTTTTACAGTTGAAAAAACTACCTGTTGAGGAGTTTGGGCATTTGGTAGTGGAGAAATCATCGGTCTTGACGTTGGAGTACTAGGCATTCCAAAACTCGGTGGTGGCATTGAAAAGTCGACCATTCCACCACCCATCGCTGAACCAACTAGAAAAATAATTTTAAAAGACTTTAAGATGCCTAAACCTGGTGATGCATACATCATTGGTGGAGGTTGAGAAAAGTCCGGAAGAGCATTAGGCATTGTTACAACAGGAGTCGATGGCATTGATGCCTGGAAGAAGACAATTTTACCATAACGACTGAATAAACTTACCATTGGAGTTCCAATTGGCGTGTGATGTGAAGATCCAACCACAGACGCTGACGGAGTTGACACTAAAGTAAACACAGTTAAAAAAGCATAGCTACCAAAACCTGTTGGTTGAACAACCGAAGTCATTAGAGGTGGTGAAGCGGGCCGTGTGGCTGCAACAAATGAACCTGGAGGAGGTTGTGAACCAATTGTCGGAATCGGTGAGCATAAAGGCAACGTCGGCTTGGCTCCTGGAGTTGTAACCACTTGGGGCTAAAATGATTAATTTATCACAGGGTTCCAAAGATCTAAAACCTGAACTTCTTGCGGCTCAGCAACACCATGAAAGCCCATGATTGCATCTTCTCGTTGTTTAGACAACTTTGCCCATTGTGACCTCGGAATTCCAGCCGGCTAAAGTTTGTTGCTTATTACGTCACTCAGAAGTAAAAATTTACCAACCCTATAATATTTGACCGCCGCTGCCGCAATAGCTTCTGCCTGTTTCGTCGTAGCAGGAGTAGGTGTCGTGGGAGAATCCGTTGCAACAGACAAAGGAGGCAATGCAGGGATCGGTGTACTTTGCGGCGTTGTCACGCCTCCTTGAACCACTGAAGGACTTGTTCTAAAAATTATATGAGCTTCCGTACAAATAAGTATATAACAAACGCTGATTTTCCTGAAGCCAAAGCAGCTGATGCAGCAAACGGATCTGGAGCAGAGGTGGTTGGTGTACTGGCTGACAGCTGTGGAGACGGTAGAGTCAGATCAGTAATCTAAAAGATCGTAAAAATGAATTCAAGATAACGGAAATTACCGTCACTCTTAGCGGGCCAGTTGAGGTTGACTGTGTTGTATGATGAGGATGGGCAAATGCTTGGAGACTCGACATCAGATTCGACCACGATGGACGCGTACCATCATGCGAGTGTGAGTTGCTAGAAGATCTTTGGTAAAGAAACGAACACAAGGCACATACTTGTTATAGCCTCTACTATCATTTTGCTGCACATAGCCTCCTCGCCGTCTCTTGTTTCGATGTTGATTCTGCAGCCATGGACGAGCCTAAAGGTTATGTATAACTTTGTTCATGATTCAACTTTGTGCATACTAAACAGACAGACATAAGAAAACAAACTATACATCTCCCCACTCACCTCCTCATTGTAACGTTGCACCAAATCAACGGCTTGCTGTAGAAAGTCGGCAGTCGGCTCAATGAAGTGGACCTCTTCGAGTGGCTCGGTCTCTGGGTTCGGTATGGCAAGAGTTGCTAGAGAAAACGGTGTTTGAATTTACGAGTTCTTCCCTAACACCTATACCTTTTAGTTCCAGCATGCATTCGACTGGCATAATCGCTTTAGCGTCTTGGCGTGCTTGTCTGGCCAATCTGCCTTGCCATTCCTCATCAGTTGGCATGATTACAACACATTTTCGGCGAAAGTCCTAAATATGTTCCTGTAATACATCAATAACTCAACAATAATGCCTTGAAATTTGTAAGCTTTCGTTTTCTTGATTCGCGACCACAATTTGTAGCATCAATGATGTAGTTTCTTCTTCGTCTACAGGCGAACGTAATGTATCTATAAAGTCACCGCTATGCGCACGCAGTCTTTGGTTTTTTTACCTATTCATGCTTTTTGCAGCCAATCCCATCACCATATCCCACCGACCGCGATGAACACGAGACCTGGGCACACCGTTAACCTAAAAAAATCCAGAAATGTAAAAAGTGGAAATCCAAACCTTCATTTGATTGAGTACCGTATCTGGCGATATCAAGGACCAATCTTCGTCGGGATGATCACGCAAATAATGTCTGACCCACGTAGTTTTTCCAACACCCGGTAAACCAACCTAAATAAGTTTGTTATTCAAATCAAAATCTACAAGCTACTTACCATCATCAAAACGGTGCAATCAGCTTTCGATTCTGGAGGTGTCTTTGCTCGCACCAGAGTTCTCCCATCAATCCACGCCGGAAAAGTCCACAATGGGTTGATCTTTCCCCAATCTTCACTTTTATCCGGGTAATTGCCAAGGTTTACCGCAATCTAAACAAACAAGATAACTTGCAATAATTAATATCTTCAAAACCTTGCAGTTCTTCGCGGACACAGTCGGAAATAGCACATCACCGTCGTCAAAGGATAAATTCGAAAAGCTTTCTCCTCGTTCTTCTCCATTGATCCAATAAGATATCGATTGGGCATCCAGATCGAACTCTGTGGTCACCACATCTCCCACAGAAAAACCGGCTCGTCCCCATTCAGTAAAAACGTTGTTGGTTGCTTTCTTTCCCGATGAGCATAAACACCACGTTCGAGCCGATTCGCCCAACTAAAATAAATAAAGCTTTATTGGGTTTTATGACTAGAATTTATAATCTTATTTTAGGCTTTGGTGACAGAATTTTATCAAAAACTGAATTGTTGAAAAGGTTGACGCTAATTCTTTTCACAAAAGGTCTAAGCGTCAGCAAGCTCATTTTATAGCTCAAAACCCTCGCCCGCAACCTACAATATTTGGCGAGGTTCCGAGTGCGAAACCGACGCGGACTTCATGTGGCTCGCTCTCCTCGAAGGGGACATGTTTTATCGGTGTGTTCTCAAGGATCTAAAGTTGATCAGTTTAAGAAAACAATTACCAGAAACAAACATTAACGGTTTTACAACCAACATTCTATAAAAACGACAGAAAGTCAGAAATGCTCTTTATTCAACAAAAAGTTTTTTTTTTTACAAAAGCTGCGTACAGCCTGCAGAGATCCATCGTCGACGAGGTTGTTTAACAACTAAACCTAAAGGGGGTTCTCTGTATTGTTTCATACCTTTATTTGAAAAGCAAGACGTCGCGGCCGCATGTTCTCCTTTGTTGCTCCATTTATTGTTGAGGAAATTATCTAAAGAACTGCTTTTAAAAGCTTTAAGCCATGCATTACTTCAATATCGGGCACTCCTTTTCTTTTCGGGTGATCAGGAAAGTCGTAGTTGTAGGGTATTGGTAGGCCAAACGTTGTCTTCACTCCTAAAACATAAAACTGAATAAATTATTGCCCAAATTTTTAAATCAAAATATAAAACACACCTCCCCACATTAACGCTAAGCCATCAGAGTTATCCGGGTGAATAATCCACCACCGTTCTCGTTCTTTATCGCTATCGCATTTCACATGAAGATCAGCATTGTCTTAAAAGGATCATTTAAATATTGACAAAAAAAAATTTACAATAATCTAGCTGAAAAGATTCTTGAGGTGGTAGCGTTTCCTCTTCAATTTCTTCTTCTCCGCGTTTCTTTTTCTTCGTTCGCTTTGATGGGGGAATGCCAGCGGCGGCTAAACATAAATTTTACAAAAACGCAACAATCATTTTCATTATTGTTGAACAGTTGTTACAAAAAGGATAATTATTATTAGGCTTTTCAGAAAGTCTTTTCGTTTCATTTTATACTTTCGTTTAAAACCAATAAATGCACCAATTCAGCTACGGTTTGTTTCATTAGAAAGGAAAATTATTTTTCTGCAAAATAACATTAAAACTGGTTTAAAATGTTTATGCCTGGATTTTTTTGAAAACCTGAAGTCAGCTAGTCAAAAAGCAATGATGCGAACACTTTACTTTAGAAAAGACTAAAGCTAAGCTAAAGAAGTCTATCTTTTTGTCAATAGATAAAAGATAGAGCATAAAAAGTTATGCATATAAGCCAAACTTTCAGAGAAATTGCTTGAGCCAATCTCTTCGTAGGGGTTTTTACGAAAAACACACGTTTTCACTCTTGAATTTGCTTGAAAATGAACCCAAATTGACTTAAAAAGATGGGAAATTGAACCATAAACACTTTTTATTGAGGGAAAATCATAGGTTAATTGGTGAATTTGTTATTTCTAAACGGAAGTACGAAAAGGGACGAAAAGACTTTCTGGACAGCCTGACAGTAACTCTATTAACTTTGAACACAAGCTGCCTAAATATTTGACGTATGAATTAAAAGAGCCAAATAGTTTCTTCAAAGCAAAGAATTCATTTAAAAATTCACTCACCTTCAAAAAGTGCATCATCATCGTCCGAAGGCACGGGTTCGCCATGAAATTCGGGCAATGGTCTTTCCTCTTCGATCACCGACGCTTCCAATTCTTCCTCGTTTGGCATTTCTTGTACGTAGACTTCTTCTAAAGGTAAATGATAAGTAAATAACAAATTACGTAAAGATCTGTACCTAATTTTTCATAAAAAATCAAAATTTTACCTTGTTTTGGTTCAGTCGGCTTTTGGAAGCTGGTGAGCACGGCGTTTGCCGTTTTCAGCATCTTCGAGAGCAGAACCGGATCCGATAGTAGATTCACGTCCATGCTAAAGTAAAACGATTGAATGATTGTCGAATTTGAAAGAAAAACACATGAAAAACTATGTAATTGACTGGTTTTAGCGGAATCTCGTTGAGACTGCTTAATCTAGGGAATGATTTTGATAGTTTTTGTTACGTTCTTATCCAAATGTTTAAAAATATGCACTTGTGTTCAATTTCTTGCAATGCAAAGCTTTTTACGTTGTTATTAAGGCTGATTTGTTGCTAAATGAAAGGTGGGTTGCTCTACATACGCAGGTTTTTATGCAAAAACGCGATTTTGTTGCTTTGGTGGTTGGGAGGGGGTCACTTTTGGCTTGGCTTTGTCGAATCTAGTGTTTTGAGTGGTTCGTGTCGATACTTTTCTTCTATTCTAGGGTGATTATATATGCCGAAGCGATTGGTGCTAATTTTAGAGTATTTCCAACATATTTCAAGTTATTATTGCAGCTTTTCAAGTGTATTCAGCTTTGAGATAACGTTCGGTGGTTAAAGTATAGCAGGCTTGGATAAAGCAAATAATCGAATAGGATTATCAAAAGCGTGCTTAAATTAGCCCCAATCGCTTCAACATATCTCTTTCTTTAGAATAGAAGAAAAGTATCGACATGAACCGCTTAAAAGACTAAATTGGACAAAGCAAGCCAAAAGTGGCCCCTCCCAACCACCAAAGCAACAAAATCGCGTTTTTGCATAAAAACCTGCGTATGTAGAGCAACAAATCAGCCTTAATAACAACGTAACGTGATTTTTCGTGGGGCTAGAATAGTTGGGGGGGGCAGTCTGCAACTTGACCCAAAATCAATTTTTCCACGAAAACACACAAGGGTTTTTGACTATGCTGAATCTATTAGTAATACTTTTATACATTTTTTATTAATTAATAGCATTTTTAGTAAAAACTCGAATACTAGCAATTTGCCAAAAAACGAAAAAAAAATTCCAGACTGCCCCCTCCCCACTACTCTAGTGCTTTTTTCGTTAAGGGATTTCGTTTTAACAAATACGTACAAGTTGAGCTTTCGAAAAACAACTTTGAGAAATGAAAGAGGGAATGAAATTTTCCTCGCCGAATTCAGACATTGCCGTTAAACGAGGCTACGGTAGCGCAAAGCGTAAAATAGAAAACGCTCACCTCGCTCTTCGTTGTTCATTTTCTTTTGCATTTTGTGGAGATATCCTGAAATTAGGCAGCTTTAATTTGTGTAAATGAATTCAATACCTTTTATCTTCAACTTTAGACGACTCTTCAATTGGGGTCGATGAAGTAGAAGAGTTTTCGTTTTCAGTCTAAACGAGAATTTGGTCGTTATCTTTTTTGGTTGTTATCTTTGTTGGCTTTTATCTTTTTTCTTACTTCTGATAATGACTCCGAGTTTTCTAAACTGTGATCAGTTGACCCTCGTTCATTTTCTTTCAAAACGACATCCATATTTTCTTCTTTTCGACTGTTTGATCCACTCTTTGTGCTCAAATAAACAGCATCCATTGAGCAAACAAAATCGATCACATCCATTAAACATTCTTCGACATCTCGTTGATCTAAAAGATTTAGTTTTTAGTGCTTGTAACTCTTGATTAATCTTCAAATATGTACTTACATTGTATAAACTTTAGTAAAGTGTAAAATATTCTTTTTATTTACCTCTCAACTCCTTCAACACCTCAACGAATTGATCAGAGATTGATGGCTCGCCTGATTGATAGCTCGGCTCGGCGTTTGGATCACTCAGACGTATCTGAAAATGTTGTATCTTTTTCTTTTTCTCCAAACTTAGAACTGTTAGAAAAAGTTTAAAGCAAAATTTCCTCACCTCAAACTCCGACTCTTCCAGAAGAATCGGTGGTTCATCATCTAGATTTATGTAAATTGATTCATTTAACTAAATACCAGGTGACTCGATTTCGGGAATAGCATCTCGTAGTTCAACATTCGTTTTCATAAGGTTTGGGCGAGGCGGTGGTGGAGGGATTCTTTGGAGAAGTTTTACTTGCGGAGGTGGAGGGATTCGAGGTGGTGGAGGGGGAACGGTCTTGATTGGCTGAAATTCAATGCGTCCCTTGACTAGGATCGTTTATTTACTTTATTTACGATCGAGTCTCGAAGCTAGCCTATTTTATAGCAAATTTTTCGCTGATTCCGAATATCTAGGTCATTTATGTGTAATGCGTTCAACTTTTTGATAGAAATCCGTTTGAAGTTTGTGCGCAAAGAAAGGAGTTTTTGCGTGCAGGAATTATCTGACCGCGCGAGTATCAAGCGATCTTGTGTCCCACGAAAATATGTCGTCGTGGCCAAGTGGCTAGTGCGCTAGGCTATCAACTTTTTGAGAGCCTAGCGAGCGAGTGGTTCGAGCCCCGACTGAGGGAAAACTTGCTCTTTGCAAAAGCGATTTCCAAAATTTTTATGTTGTAACTTTGTTTTGGATATCTAGGTAATAGATTTGCTTAATACAGTCGAGCTCCGATATAACGAGCTCCGATATAACGAACTTCGATACAACGAATTTGAAATTCTAAAACGTTCCCAAAACTTCTGCGTAGCTGCCCCAGCCAAATGCAATCAGTGGCCGTTCAGGGCAGCTACGCAGCAGATTTGAAGCACGTTTTACGTTCGTTATATCAAAGTTTTTGGTCCCGAGCGGATCGTTATTCGAAGTTCAACTTTATTAAGTAAATCAGCAAGTATTACTTACATGTATGCTTCAAATTAATCTTTTTTTGTGGCAATCGTTGAAAACCGAAACACCTAATCTGGCTTCTGTTTTACTTTTCTGTCTGGCATAAATGTCTTTAGATGAATAGCCATCTATGCGGAGATTTTACAGATCGCAAGATGCAAGGTTTTGACGAACTTTACCAAGAATTTTTTACAAAAGAACAAGCTTCTAACGAAGTTCGGGCTCGAACCAGGGCCCGACGCCTCAGAGGCCAGCGCACTAACCACTTAGCCACGACGACATATCTTCGAGGGACGCAAGATAGCTTGATATAACTTGTTACCTTTAACTTCGGCGGTGGTGGCGGTGGGATTAATCGAATTGTTTGCGTATCTGGCGTTGAACTGGACGATGGAGACGGTTGGACGTTGGATGTTGGTGGTAATGTTTTAGGTCGAGGTGGGATGATCAACTGAAAAAAGAATTCTCTTTTAGAATTCTCATTTTCAGCTACAAAGAGCTGAGCTTAGTCAGCTTAGTCAGCTTTTCTTATCTCTCACCTGTGGCATTGGTGGTGGAATGGGTATTAGTGAGATCTTCTCAGGATCCAAATCAAATCGACTCGTTGATAGACGACTTTCTCGACGTTCTTGTAGCGCTGAAATGTATTCTTTTAGACAAAAGACAAAGACAGAAAGCCTGATTGCAAATTTTGATAGCATTGCCTGATTTGCCTGATTACAAAGTGCTAAATGCCGTAAAAATGCCTAAGCTTAAGCCAGTGAGTCGTAAAAATTTCTCCTCATCAACTTACATTTTCGATTTTTCTCTTCCAACAATTTCGCTTGTTTCTGTTTTTCTTCTTGCATTTTTGCTTTCATTTTGTCGGGTGTCGTTTCAAATGGTTTATCTTTTCGCTCCCAAATCGCCATGAATTGCTGTTGATCGCCGAGGATTGAGTCGAGCACATTCTGTAAGTATTATTTGTACAGTCCATAATAGTCTATAATAGTCTATAATAGTCTAGAATAGTCTATAATTATTTCTTTTATCAGTTTTACTGAAAACCCACCTCTCTAGCATGTGCCTGTGGAGCAGCGCTGCCCTTTTGCTTTTTCGGAAGCTCTTTTGATCCTGAATTTAAAGTTGAAAGATATTCAGCTAATATTTAGCTAATTTTTAAAGATATTCAGCTAGATAGGTAATCCCGTATTTCCAGTAATCTAGTATTTTCTTATCTCTATTCTCTTCTTTCACAGTCACAGTCTCTTCTCCTTTCACCTTTCTCTTCTTTCGTAGTAGTCGATCTCTCCAAATTGTTTGATTGTTGTGATGTTAATGCAGCTGCAGCCTTTTCAGCAGCTACAGCCTTTTCAGCCGCTGCAGTTTTAGTCTCTTGTTGTTCCTTTAGAAGCTGAAAACTTGAATATAAGATTGCTCATTCATTGTGTTCTTGAATCCTCTTATGTTCAGATTTTACTTGGACCCTTGTACTATCGTCTAACAAGTCTGAACAATGTAAAAGCTATCAAACAATGTAAAAGCTATCGTACTTCTTGCTATCGTACTGTAAAAGCTATCGAATTTTAATAAGCGACCTACCTTTTCTCTCATTTCCGCCCATTTCAATGTAATCGGAATCACTTTCGGCTTTTCTCGTTCCTTTTCCCTTTTCTTTTCTTTCTCCAATCGTCTTCTCTCTTTCTCCTTTTCTTTTATTTTCCTTGCCTCCTTTTCTTTTTTCCTTTCTTGATCTGTTTTTTGTTCCTTCTCTTCCTGTAAATGTATACAAATTTTTCAAATATTTTCAAATTTGCCTACCTTTAAATGAATTTCTTTTTCCGGAACATAGTCTTTATCTTCAGTCACTTTTCGAGAATCAAAAGCGCTTTGAAGTTTTGTATCCTCATCACTTGAAAGGCCGTCATCGAAGACGTCATCAATCTAGAAAGAGATTTTAAATCTAGATTTAAATAACTTTCCTCCAATTATCACTTACCGGTCTAATCGATGGCTCAATTGTTTCACTTGGTGCTTCGGTTTCCATTTCAACCTCAACACTTTTATTCTTGACCGGTGATTGTTTTTGTTTCGGAGTTGAATCAGTTGATGGAGCTGGTTTAGAGCGACGACGCTAAAAGTTCGATTTGTAAGTTAGCTTTGTAAGTTTGATTCTGTGTCCTCTAACAGATAAAATTGTTAATTAATCTAGAACAAGTTGCAGAAATTGCAATAAGAATTTCCATGCAATTTGCTGATTGAATTGATTGGATTGATTGCAATTCCTGCATTCTATTAGTTTACAGTTTAATCCTGCTAATCCTCAACTCTATTCAAGATCACTCACCGGTTCTTCCGGTGGCGGAGTCGCAATGACTCGAGCGATTCGATTCCGTTTCGGTCGTCCACTTTCAATTGTCTCCGGTTGTACCTCTTCCTAAACTTTGGCTTATGAAACAACTATCTTTCGACTAAAGAATCGTTTTTGTAACGCAAACCAACCTCAGTCTTGATTGGAATTATCTCTGCAGACGTTGATTGCTGTGGTTCCAACTCTTCAGGATCAGCTTTGATGACTTTTTGCAGTAACTAAATATCTTGCATTTCTTTTAAACATCAAGTTTTGTACCGATGGAGTAATTGCGATCTCTTTGGGAACACTTTCAACGGCTTTTGCAGATTTCTGAAACATTAATCTATGAATTGAAGACCAGAAAGGGTACGTTTAGAGATTTGAGTACAAAGTGCTCTTACCTTTGTAACTTTCTGTGCTTCAAGTTCTTTCGGTTCTTCTTTGACAGCTTTCAGGGATCCTCTCCTCTGTGTTCTTTCTTTTGTCTAAATGGGAAAGGATTTCTAACAAGTTTTCTTGTAACAAGGGAAAGGTCAAGCTGGCCTCTTGACTTGAGATCAAGTTCATCTTAGTTCAAGTTCATAGAGTCGATCATTGGGATCTTGAATCCGTTTTTAGTTTTTGTAAAACGAGAAAGCCTCGACTCGTTGCCTTTCCCTTGTAAGTTTTCTTCAATACTTACCGGTTTCGTTGCTTCAACTACTGATTCATCACTGGTTCTCTGGAGTCCCTAAATTATTCATTTTATAAATCAAACTATCAAATCTTACTTCAGCCGCTTTCTCAGCCTCTCTTTGTTCCAAGAAAGCCATGAATGGGTTCACTGATGGATTCTCTGTGACCTATAAAGTGCAACAGGTACTGTGAAAAGTTAGCTGATCGTAAGCTCTTAAGTTAGCTGATAAAGTACACAACATTCTATTGATTAAACTAAAATTACCAGTTGTATCGGAGTTTTATTCGTCGATCGTCGTCCACGCTTTGCTTTTGATGGAGCTGGCTCCTAAAATTGATGCGTTACTATTTTAGAATTTAGAATCAACATTTTTATTGTAAATTTATAGTAAGCATTTTTTAAAGTAATAATACTCACCTCAACAATATTGTCTGTTGTACTTTGATTGAGCTCTTCAATATTCGAAGCTGCTTTCTGAAATTAACAAAAACATTAACATTAAGAACATTCAACTAGAGCATTACCATTAGACAGAACCAGAACATTAGCATTAGACAATATTACAATAGGTTTTGAAAGCTTTTGGTTATAAAGCTTTTCTACTTTTGAGCAACGCACTTTTCTCTTCTTTCCTTGTGGTGCCGGTGTTTCCTCATTTCCAGATTCTTTAATCGGAAGCGGAACATCGGGTTTTATATCCTAAACAAAATAGGATTTATCACTGGACTGAAAAGGGAAAGGCAGGCTTGTTTTGATGTAAATTGATCTAACCTCTGGCTCATCTCGCACTCCATTCACGACGAATTCGTAGAGTCGATCCGCGAGTACACTTTTTGCTCCAACCGACGATAAGCCTGAAAACTGGGTGATATTTAAATGGCGATGCAAATGTTATAGAGCTTATTTGTTTGTTCCAACTCACCTCTTGACTCTAACTCTTTCACAAGCCGGCCTCGATCTAAGAATTGAATAGTTGCTGGATTCAATCCACCATCAGCTGATGTCGCACTTCGACGCGATGGTCGTGCAGACATCCTGGAAAAACGGTAGATTGTAAAGATTACGTTATGGTGGAAAATAGAGAACGATTGAACGAGAACGATACAAAGTAACGGTTACAGTGGCCTTATCAATCAAAAAATCAGCTCAAGAACAGAAAATCTACAAAAAAATAGAAGAAAATCTCCAAAAATAGAAGAAAATCAGTCCTTTGCACATCTGCTATACTCTTTTATGCAAAACTGGCCAATCTATAGCACTTGTGGGCAATTATAGCGCAAGAAGGGCAATTGTTGGCTCAATTTCCGATGGTATCGATTGAAAATAATAAGATTAATGGTAATGACGCTAGTTTTGCATGAGAATTGTCAAAGATAATTTCTGCTAGACTTTCATCATACACTAAAAGTCAATGCCATTTTGTGTACTTTGTAAAGAACGTAGCTAGATGCCTTAGCGGTATGTAAGACTTGTATAAATAGTATGGTATATAGCAAGATAAGGATAAGCCCCCTCCTCCCCAGAAAATGTCACATATAAAATCCCGCGCTTCAAATGCGGTATGAGAGTGAAAAGATCTGCGAAAAGTCAGGTGGGCGAATTTACGAATCACCGATTACGGTAAGCGATCCAAGAATTGACAGGCACATTCACCGCTTAGGCCTTGTAAATAATCCGGCTCTACTAAATAATTTGCACAATAATTTTACCAATGCCATCGTTAATTGCTTTTTCCAAAACTCGCGTTGTTTCAGCTGTCAGCTTTTCAAATCCAACATCTTTTCTTTCGTCGCCCTAAATAAAAGCCATTAAATAAAATCAAAAACCGATGAAATAAGTTAAAAAACAAAAACAAAAGGCTATAGTTTTCCCCGTCGCATTTGTTCCACTCCCCTCATTGCACATAAATGCCAAGATTGACTGGACTTTTAACTATCATGTACACTAAATATCTTTTAACTTGTCTATCGGGCGTTAACTGGATTAAACTACGTCCTTTCAGTGACCCTTTATATAGTTAAACTGCTGATATTCAACCAACCGAATGAACGGCTTATACATTAACCTTTTCATTATTTAAACGAGCTCTTGCTGTAATTTCTTTAATGCTTTTTTCAATTTAGTGATGCTGTTGTTCCTGAAAGTGTTCGCCTTTCGTCTCCTTGCTGTGTTCATCGTGAGATCGTGGTTCGTGCCCGATGAATTGTTCCAATCTGTGGAGGTAAATCTTTTTTAAAGTCATACAACAAAAAGTTGTTTCTGAAAGCATTCACTTATCCATTTCGAGTATTTTGAAGCACTTGGGCAAACAATGTTTGGTAAAAATGTGTAATTTAATGTTGAAAATGCGTAGGCTATGCAGCATTAAGCAAAGTCGTTACAATAAGCTGTTGATTAAAGTCTTAACAATTTTGCTTTTAGGTAGCTCATCATTGGCTTTTCGGCAGCGGTCATTTGACGTGGGAATGGTCAAAAGATGGACTCCGATCGGCTCTTCATCCACTCATTTGTGTGATTGCACTTCTGCCATTTAAGGTAAGTAGTTTCGCGCCGATTTTAAGTTAAAAATCTTGGTGATGTAAAATTTGAAATTAAAAATCTTTGTGAGCTAAACTTTAGCTTTTGGTTTATGCAGTAAATTGACCACGGGGCCTTAGGTGTACGTCAGTAAAATTTTGTAACTCTAGAAAGAAAGCCTAATCTTGTGTCAAACTTTGTTTATGGCTTTCATTTAATAATAGAAGCACATTTGAGTAAAATTAGTGTGTTTTGTTTTAGATCCTCGGCTTTCTATCACCATCGATCGTTTTCTGGATTCCTCGAATTGAACATGCATTTCTCTTCGCGTTGGGTGATTGTTCATTTGTGCATCTCAGCCGACGTTTCTACTCAACAAATCACAATTGTGCTCGTTTCACGAATCTGTTGTACTTCTCGAATTGGTTCCTCTTCTATTGTTCCCCGAGAACACTTGCTAATTCGGTGGGTTTTTGTTTTTTCAGAACATAACCAATTTTTCGAGAACTCTGTTTGAAGAGGCAGTTGTGTATTAATTAATTAAATTCAAAAATATCCCATTCTCTTGTATTAGGCTGTCCAGAAAGTCTTTTCATTCCTTTTCGTACTTCCGTTTAAAACCAACAAATGCACCAATTGAGATACGGTTTGTTTCATTAGAAAGGCGAATTATTTTTCTGCAAAATAAGGGGGTGGGACGAATGCGACCTTTTTTTTGCGCACCCGGACATTTGCGCACCTTTTTTTCCGCACCTTGCCCATTAGCGCACCTTTTTTCGCGTTTTAAAAAAGCTCTAAAAAGCTAATATTAACCAATTTCTATTCCAAAAGTTGTTTTTCTAGGTAATTTGAGGGCGTAGAATCGAAATTTTGACATATCAGAGCTTGTGGAACCAATTTGAAAGACAAAACGGCTAGGTCAAATTACAGAAAATTGTTGATTTTTCTCTTTTATAACTCCGTCCGTTCGCTTCCACAAGCTCTGATATGCCAAAATTTCGATACTACGCCCTCAAATTACCTAGAATTTCTATTCCAAATTACAACATTTGGAATAGAAATTGGTTAATATTAGCTTTTTAGAGCTCTTTTAAAATGCGGAAAAAGGTGCGCTAATGGGCAAGGTGCGCAAATGTCCGGGTGCGCAAAAAAAAGGTAGCATTTGTCCCACTCCCGCAAAATAACATTAAAACGGGTTTGACTTTAAAAGATAGGAAATTAGCCAATAAACACTTTTTACTTCGAGCAAATCATAGGTTAATTGATGAATTTGTTATTTTTCAACGGAAATACGAAAAGGAACGGAAAGACTTTTTGAACAGCCTAATAATTGTTATTTTTAGGTTGAAACGGCGTTGACACTGATCGCTCTACGATGGTTTCCATTTGAGGGAATTCGGCAATCGAAAACTGCTTGGCCTTACATGACAATTGGAGCGATCTCGATCATCATTCGACCAACGGCAGCGATTATCTGGGCAATCTTCGGTCTTTCTCATCTCTATCATTCAAAAGAACGGATTCGCGTGCTTATTGTTGCAATTTTGACGGTGATTCCAATTTTCGCCATCGCTTTGCTCATCGATTCTTTATTTTATGGCCGACCAACTTTTGCTCTCTATAATTTCTTGTCGTTTAATGTTTTTCAAGGTGGAAGTGCTCTTTTTGGGGTGAGTTTTTTTTAACTTTAGCAAAATAGGGCCTACAAGCTAAATTCTGTCATTATTCAAAGTTTAGTATATATTTTGTCAACATTTTCTTTATCAAGCTAATTTAATGTTAAAATTTTAGGTACATCCCTGGTGGTGGTACTTGAGTGAGGGTTTCCCGGCTTTGCTTCATCTGCAAATGTTGCCGTTATTGATGATATCACTTGGTTGCCTGCCCGAACGAGCCAAGTTTCGCTTTCCGACAACTCTTCCACTTTGGACGTCTCTCGTCTACGTTCTCATTCACTCGGCTCTTCCGCACAAAGAGCACCGATTTTTGTTGCCCATTCTTCCGCTTCTGATTCTCTACACTGGACCGTTTGCTCTTCTTCGGAACACCACCATTCGACGAGCGATCACTGCATTGATTCTGATTGGAAATATTTGTGTTTCGATCTACTTTTCGTTATGGCATCAGGTGAGCATATTTGGTGTTAACTTTACAAAGAATTTTTGTGGTTCCATTTTGAGTTTGAGTAAAAAATGAAAGCAAGGTTGCAGCTTTTACCATAGTATATACCTAAGTACACCTAAGTGTTGTTCATTACTTTTTAAAATGTGTATTTTTAGGTTGGACCCTACTCAGCTGCTTCATTCATTTTGCGTGACTCGCTTGTTGCGAAATCCCGTGTGATGACGTTGATGCCGTGCTTTTCGATGCCCGAATATGCCTATTTTCACAATCAACTCGCCACGTTTCGATCACTAGATTGCTCTCCGCCGCTTCATTTAAGGTTTTTCGTTAGTCTTTGTGTGTATCTAGCAATTTTAGCAATGGAACACTTGAAGACGGTTGGTTGGATGAAGCGGATCGATTTCACGAGGATCCACTTACCTGGGTGCACGCACATCGAAAGGAGGTATCAATTTGAAACTTTATAACTCTAGTGTGAATTAAAATCTGCAAGACAAGTTATCTTTTTAGTTATCAACGATGACACACTTGGTGCTTTATGAGGCAATGTACCGTTTATTGGAGGCTCAACTATGGGAACTTGGTTTCAGCGAATGTTTTCGGTCTTTTCATGCCCACATCCTCACCTCAAGTCGACAAGATCATCACATTGTGATCGCTTGTCATAATCGGTAATTTCTTTTATTGTTTGTACAAAGCGTTGACCAATTTGGCCAATTTGTTCTATTTACAGGTTGTGATTTTAGTGCACTTAAGCTAACCTCGGGTTAATTTAACAATTGTTGTCTTTCATTGTTTTATATGTGTTTTGTCTAGAATCTCACTTGTTTAATAAAGCATTAGCAATTTTATATTAACGATTAAACGGAATTTTTGATCCAAAAAAGTTCAGAATCCAGTCTCATTCATTTTGTCGTCAAAAGGTGACGAAAAGGAGGTCGTCGACTTCTTTTGGATGAAAAGAAAGCGATGAGGTGAGAGGAGGGACATTGTTTGCACGGAATGAAATCCTCTCCTCTAATAGGTGAAGAAAGGGGGACCTGTCCCCAGCTCCAATCCGATCCACCCTCAATCATCCAGTCCTTTCTCCCGAATATCGTATCCATTCAAAGATCGTATTCACATTCATTGCAAAATGTGGCAACAGTTGCTCTTTTGTTTGCTATTGTTTTTGAATCTTCAACAGAGCGCTGGGTTGTCTGAAGTGGGTTTTGATAAAACTGTGCAGTTGCTGAACTTTTATTGAAAATTTTACCTGTGAAAGGTGGAACTAGGAAGTGGGATTCTTTACTAAATATTTTTTGTTTTTTTCTAAACAGAACTGAAAATCCTTAAAAACATTGAGAGAATTTTAGAAAAAAGTTAATGATGATGATGATTGAATAGTGATTGATTAGAAAATGTATAAAAAATAATCTCTGTCTATTTGTGCGCGCACTACGCCCGTCCCCTTTGAGTATTTTAAAAAACGCTGAAACACATTTCTAATGAAATTTCACGTAGTTGTGTCTTTTTAAAAAATTTTTGCAAAAAGTCAAAGTAGGTGCTCACTGGCGGGGGTTGAACCCGGGTCGTGTGCGCGTGAGGCGAGTGCGCTATCCACTGCGCCATGGGTGGGGGTTGTTTTGCTGGTTGATTAGAAAAAAATGATTGAAAAGTGGCAAAAGAGCCGATTTTTCATTATTGCTACAGTAAGCTCGATTGTGAAACGTTTTTGGGGAAAGCAATCTGATAAATCTGATTAAATCTGTTTAAATCTGTTTAAATCTGTTTAAATCTGTTTAAATCTGTTAAATGTAATGCTCAGGATCACTTTATTAACGAGATTTCATTAACTAATGTAAAAAACTATTTTAGGCCCGCACGAAACGACGACAAGGGGAACCAGTTGGACCACAGTCTCCAACAAGGGTTTGTTCTATTTTGTTCTTTTCACTAGAAAACTTGCATCAAAGGTTATCCAACTATTCGATTTCGCCTGGAATTCCAATAATTCTTTAAACGACCTCTAGTTGATGGTGTCTTTCTCCCCCCTTTCTTTTCACCTCTTTTATCCCCTCTTCTAGCGAAATGACACCGAAGACGACGCGCGAATCACGCATCTTCACTTCTCTTTTCTTTACCTCCCCCCCCCCCTTTTTTTTCTTTTAAACTCAAATGATCTTGGTTCTTGAATCAAAAAGAAAAGAATAGGAAGAATAGGAACTAAAGAAGGAAGGAAGAAAACCAAAACTTTGTTAGAGAATGAATTTTGAAGAAGAAATTTAGAATGATTCGGCGATCGGTCTCCAAAATGATTACCCAAATTATGATGTTGACGCGTATTCTCCAGTTAGATACAGGTTTTGAAAGAGTGAATTTAAAAAAACCAAAAAACTTTCGAAACTTAGACCTTCACAAATGCCGAGAAATCGAAATTTTGGGAATCCTGGAGTGCGCAATCATCCACAACTTGTCAATATTCCTGAGTATACAAATGCGCAAAGCACTCCGTCGTGGCAGACTGATCCCCCGAAAGCACCGATGGCACAAATTGGATCGATGAGAGGGAATAGTGCTTTCGTGAATGGGTAATGATCAGGCTGTAAGCTGAAAAAGAAAAAAATAAGCGGAAATTTAAGCATATGATTTCAAAAATAAAATCCAACAAAATGCTACGCAATTTTTTTTCCGACATTTTTCCGTCGCAGTGCGTAGCTGCCCCAAAAATTTTTTTGGGGCAGCTACGCAACAAAACAAAAACGAAATTTTTTCGTTTTTCTTTCTTTTCTTTTTTTTTTCTTTCTTTTTTCTTTTCTTTTTCTTTGAAAATTAAAAGATATTAAATTTTCGGCTTTTTTTTTCCGTCTGCAAGCTTGTTAATGATTGAAGAAGATATTGTATAGGAAAAACATTGGTCACAGGGGTTACTGTAGCTGCTGAAAGGGTTACTATAGCTGATTGGAGGGTTATTGTAACTGCTAAAAGGGATATTTGCTTCTAGGGATGCTGTAGCTGCTAAGTAGCTGATGAGGGGAGTTTGGTGGGCTAAAAAGCTTGGTCCAGTAATCGAAGACGACAAAACGGGTTACTGTACTAGAAATTCATAGAGATCAATATATAGAGACCAAAATCTCCTTCAGCTTATCGCGTTCTCGAACTCCCTCGCACACTTCAGGATCAGCCGCAATCGCTCGAACGAATCCACGTATGAAAACATTTTTTTCAATCGACTCAATCTCACTTTGACACTTTTCCAACACTCAATTTTTGCAGTTTCAACTTTCGCGAACGCTTTCCGGAGTGCGATCGCTCAACCTCAGCCACCACAAATGATCGGCGCTACGAGGCCCGGGTCGACAATCGGATATCCACAACAACCAAGCGACCAACCGCCACAAGGCGCCGATTTTCGTGGCCCCATCAATCAGGACTACGATATGCCTTATGGAGCTGGAGCTGGAGCTGGAGCACAAATGCAAATACCGGTGAGCTTCAAACTTCAATCAATTTAAAAGAGCAGTGTCCATCTGTACAGGCTTTTTCTCAGCCGTCTAGACGATTAGGCTAATTTTTCGGCCAGTCTAGTAAAGCTGCGTTCTAGCCGCTCTATTACCTGATGAAAGCCGTAACAAATAACTTTTATCGAAGTATTTCAACAGTAGTACGTCTAAACCCTAACATTTCCAAAATTTTCGATGAACGGCGGCTATATGGGAGTGGCGAGACAAAACGGTGGATATGGATACTCGTATCGATGTGAGTCCGTTGTTCAATGGCAAATACGTAAAGAAAATTCAGCTTACATTGAGCGACAATCAAGACGATATCCGGTAATGATCTACACATTGGTTCAATGCGTTCCGTGTAATCGAGCGAAACATCTTCTAGCTACAACATATCCCGATGTACCGTCGCATTACTTGGGTAAGAGTTACAGCATCAAAAAAAAGCCTAAAAATTCGATTTCAAGATTTTACTCGTACTATTAGAATAGCTTTTCAAAGAACTGCCCAATTCTCTCTCATAGAACTCGTCGGTGTCGAAGACTGGCAGCGTCAGCTTCAAGCGGACCTTCATCAGATGACTGGACAAGTTACTTTTCCCTACATTTTTGTATGTGGTGACTTTATTGGAGGTTTGTTCAAGTCTTGTACAATTTCCCCTACTTCAAAAGCCGATTCTAGGTGCGTCAAACCTCTTCGAAATGCACAAATCAGGTCAACTGCGCCAAGTCCTAAACAATTGTATGCCAAGGCAATAAATATATTTTCATTGAAACATTAACATGAAAAACAATACTATAAAGGTATAACAAATCGAAACCCATTTACAAAGAGATTAACACGTCTTCAGTATGAGGCGCATATTAGCAAAACAACAACAACGATAGGAGACGCAAGGGTAAACAAGTTATCTGCCCGGCCTCGAATTCACCGAGCTCTTCGAGTTATTAAAGCCCAATTAGCCAAACAACAGAGGTATCTAATAGATTTCCAAAAACTGTGAGCATTCAATATAAAACAATTCAAACTCCAAAAATTCACACTGTTAATAAACAGAAGTAATTACAGATTTTCCAAAAAATTACCCAATATCACAAGTGCACATTGAAAACAAAAAAATCATATGGCAGTGATGAAAAGGGGTGAATGGGGGGAAGGGTGGGTTATTACTAGAGTGCGTTCCTATAAAGTAATCTTTCTATAACGCACCCTTCAAAGGCGAAATTTCAAGATATTCAGTTCAAGACATTGAATATCTTTAATCTTCGCCTTTGAAGGGCGTGTTATAGCTATTACTTGAGAGGAACACACTCTAGTTATTATCCATGATGATTCCAGGGGTAGAGATCATCAAATTGATCATCATCTGTTATTGAATCCTCGAAAGCACCACTGAAAACCTCTGTGGTTGAAGTGGATGCTTGAGTGAGGGTTGACCAACTAAAAACAGTCATTAGCATGTTCTCATCAGTATTTTGCAAGTTTCTACCGTAAACCTTCTTTTTACTTGACTATTTAACTTGCATTCTTTGTTGTTTAAAATAATGTAAACCCCATCATACTTACCGATTAGAATTGGATTGCTCTCCATATACAGACAAATCCAAGTTGTCGACTTCGTTAAACCAGTTCTCGTGTTCTATTTGCTCCATTGCTTCCTCGTTTTTCTAAATATAGAGAATAATTTCATGAAATAAAAATTAGATTATAACTTAATAGCAAGAATAAAAAAAAATTACCACTGGTTGCATGGATACCACTTGTTGTTCTTGAGAATTCGATAATTCACTCGTTTGCGAGGCCATCGATTGTTCTCCATATTCGTGGCCCATCAGATAGTTCATTTCATCGGCCGCTTTTCCACCGCCGTAACCATATTGCAACATCTTCGCAGTTAGCCTGTGACGAACTTCCTGAATTTAAACTTGTATTGCACCAGGAAATTTTAGCTGCACCACATTAGTTCTAATGAATCTTGATCAACATACCATCTCTATGTGTTGCATGTTTTCATTCTCGGGCTTAGGCAGCTCCATCTCATCGGCGTTATTTCTTACCATGTAATCAGCATCACCACGTGGCCGCTTGATCAGCTTTTGAGGCTTAGACTAAATAAACTTTATTATCATAACTCATGAGTCAATTTACCCTGTGTTCGCTTCTCAAATGATCCACCGCTGAGTTGCGATTCCACTGGGAAATCCGTTGCTTGTATCCACCTGCCACTGCCAACTTCCGACTAAAATGAACAGATTATTTCATCTTCAAATAATAACAGTAAATTAAACAAAATCTTCAAAAATTTACTTCGAAATCGGTTTAAATTTCACCAACCTTGCTTGAATGAATGATTCGGGGATTTCAGTTGGAGCTGAGTGCATAAGAGTCAAAGCAGCTTTCTAAAATTAAAAAGGTTACAATTAAAAATTAGTCAGCCATACCGTTTTCTCGAAGGGCGTCGTAGCTTTGAGAATCATAGGGGCTGGCGCAAGTGTTAGTCCCTTGGCCTGACGTCTTGAAACATTTCTAAAAAAACATGTTTAACTCAAGAATTATTTTCAAAGTAAAATCTAGTTACTAAAAATATACCTTTGTTGTAGAGTATTCAACGGTTTATGCAAGCGTTTCTCCAACTTTTTGGCGTCTTGTGCAATCCTGTTGCCGGTAGTGCTCACATTGGCTTGATCAACTATTTCGACAACACCTTTTTCTAAACACATTTATATTAATATTGGTTTTGTAAAACAGACTGCTGCTCTGTGGTGGAGTGGCAAATAATTCACCGATTCCTGGAGAAACGCAGCGTTGCGGAGACTCAGAAACTTAAATGTAAAAATTAGTATTGACTGTACTAATACGGTAAGTATTTAAATTTAATTTACCTGTGGCAAATGAAGTAGAGAGAGGTTCAGTCATTTTGTCGATCATAAAAGCGCTATTGTCCAATGATACATTTGCTACTGGCGTCACTTCTTCCTGTGTAACAAGAAATATCGATCTTTCAGAAGATATCATTGGCTAAAAATTAAAGATCGACCTCAAGTTTTCAAAAGATAAAACATACCGTTAAAGGCCGATGACCGGAGTCAGAAGAGCCTGCCGAGATTCCATCGGATCTTGTTCTAAAACTTTAGAATAAATTAGTTATGGAAGATTTAACTTACAATGCTTTCCGCTTCTTTGATCTTAAACTCGACGAGTGGGACGAGCGCGATGATTCTCTCGATGAAAAAAGACCAGGGTAGAGGTAATGAAATCTAAAGTGCTTAACTGGTAAATTAAAATTAGATAAGCTTACTTCTTTGGCAGCTTAGTAATCTTTGGACGTGGGATGATGTTCATTCTAATGTCTCTCGCTGTCCGTTTCACCCAAAAGACGTCTGGAGGCATTGCCAGTGGAAAATTGCACGACTTCGGCTAAAAATAGCAATTTAAAGCGTCAAGGCATACACAGAAATTATTGGGAATGATTTAATAAAAAAATACTTACGTTCTCATTCATCGCCGCGCACACCCACCAAACATTTTGCTCGCCTTGCTCGTTGATGTCAAGCAATTGCGGGATGAGGCGATCCGAACATTTGGGGCAACGCAGAACTTCCTCTGCGACCATCTAAATTTAAAACGTTAAGTAAGAAGAAGAAATTGAAAACATTTCAGAAACGAAGAAGACTATGAAAATTTTGAAGAGACCTACTGCGGGCAACCCATAATTGCTGGGTATTCTGCAATATAGAGCCGTCATCGCCAAACCTCAGGCTCGCCCCTAGGGTGAATTTTTAGAAGATTGCACAGCCAGAGTCTAGAAAAGGAAAACGAATCTTCATGGAATCTTTATGACTCTCAGTCAAAACTTACTTACCTACATGTAACTTACTGTTTAATCAAGTGGGCCGTTAATAAAAACAAAAGAAAAAACCAACCTTTTCTGAATAAAAACTTTCGTTTGGATTTCCGAAAACAAATGAGCAGTTTCCGTCACCTAAGGCAAATTTTTTGAAATCGGATTTGAAATTCGAAATTTCATGAAAGAAAATCGGCATCAAGAGTAAACCGTAAACAGAAAATCGTTTTGGGACCCAGAATTACGCCAATGGTAAGGGGAACCATCAACCATCCACCAAAACGTCGGTTCAACGATTTGTCAGAAATAAATAAATTCACATATTTTCAAGAAAAAAAAAGAATTGGCATTTTAAAACCAACAAAAAGTCAGAACTAAACAGAACACTGAATAATTTATTCGTATAACAGGAGATCAGACACAATAAATTATTTCTACGCAAAAACAACAAAGTCAAAAGTGAAAGAGAGTATACCCAGTAGTTATGATCACCGTTTGTGCGTCGAAATGTAGAGCACGTTGTTTCCACGAATAAAAGCATCGCCATACTAAAACTAGAATGAATTTGAAAAATAGAAAAAACCCGACTTTATTTTGAAGTTGTCCATTCGCGTATTCTTCTGTTTGTTCCAAAGCTATGTTCATGAAACTAAAAACAGGCTATTAGTCCTACTTAATTTGTTTTTTATTATTTCCAGAATGAATTAAACCAAAATTTTAAACCCGCGTTGGTGTTAATCTACAATATCTAGCAGCAACAAAGCTCTAATAAAAGTAAACCTACCCATCCAAACAGGCGAGAATTCCTCGATAATCGACACCCGAATTCAACTTCACCACCACAGGTTTCCCGATGATCTGCTTCAGGAACTCGGACGGATTTTGTCGTTTGCTCATCCTGTAAATAAAACATTAAGCCCATGTATCTAGTCTAAAAATAGCGCTTGACATATGCATAGTAGTTGAATTGTTGGATTTACCATGAAATCCCCTGATGAATACTTGTTGTATAAAAGAAATCTTCGACTCTCGATTAATAAGTAAAACTCTCGTTAATAAACGTAGTTAATCAATGTTCATTTAGAGAATGACTTTATTCGAAAATAAAAACTGTTCACGGGTATGGACATTAGCGAAATTACATAAAAAGCTAAGGTGTACAGCTATGAATAGAGGAGTTTACAGACCAGAGTTTGGGCTAACAAAATATGAAAACTACGTTTGAGAAACTCGTAAAGACAGAATATCTGTACACCAAATGGCAAACAGATATACAGCTGAAAGAGAAAAAGGTGGAGCTTACACAAATTTGAAAATATTCAAAAATACCTACAATTCAATAAGGGGGAACAGTTTGACACCTAATATCCGGTGAGAAAAAAGTGAATCGGGCAAAACACTCGTTGAGAGGGGGAAATGGAGACAATCTGATGTGGGAAGAGCTAGGAACAACTTTTAGGGGAGCTCTTCAAAAAACCACAATAAAGAACATCTCACGGTTTGTTTTTGTTCAAAGAGCTCCACGTTATAAAGCTGGGGTTTCGACAAATTTGAGAAGCGTTCTGAGGGAATTTTTCAATTCTCGCCTTGTCCTGAATCATCGTCATCTTCTTCAATTTCTTCTTCCTCACTACTCTCGTCATAGTTGTAGAGATCATCTAAAAACAAAAATATAAATCCGCCTAAGTACATTAGCATTTATTTTCATTTATCTTCTGGGACCACGCAAGAGGCGGATCATTCCGGCAAAAGACTGCAACCCGAATTCGCTAGTCATCTGGAGAGAGATCAAAGTGAGACTTTTAAGCTTGCTTCTTTAAATTTCATTTTGGGAAACAGTGGCTCAAATCCCGCTTGCTGCAACAATCAACAAAACAATCTTATGCATTCCCGGAGGATTCGCAGAAAAACTGGGTGTTGGAGGTTACTTTTCTTAAAATCTGATTCTAATTCTTTGTATTCAGAACTTGTCAAATTAAGAAAAGTGCAAAGGCAATTCAAGAACAATGAAGATCGGGAGCTAGTCAAAGTAAATGTGTTTATTACACTTTTCAGGAAACAGTGGTCTGTGCTGCGATTGGAAGCTGAAAATGAAAACGATAAGCTGCCAAGCAAGTTTCACAGGTCACTGGTTTTACCTAGCTAGCTAACCACGTTCGTTTTTAGAATTAGATGTTCAAGAATTCTGCAAACGACGAGAGATACACACCATCATCCGTGGTCGGCAATTGGTATTTACTTCATCCATCTTCTTGTTCTATTAAATGTTCTCGGTAGAAGAAGGATTCCTGAATCGCCCATGCCAAGTCATCACAATAACTACGACGGAAAGCTATCTGGCCGTATTCGAAAATCATGCCGCCGTGTTGATTGCGACCAAGGATCCAGCGAAAGCAAGTTTTAGTTCCTTTTAAACATGCACAATAGTCACTACTATCTCATCATTTTTCGCTTTCAGGGGATCATCCGCCGTTGGCGCACCAAGATGCACAAGCAAGAAGTCTATGCGACTACTAGCCGAACTCAACTTCCTACAAAATCCAGCCTCTCCCACAGTTCAACTCTCAAACGAAATAATTTCCTAATTTACTGTGCTCTGTTTCCAATTTATGATTAATAAATATGTGCGCTTGTTTGCATTTTGCTCAAATCAAAAGCTCACCAAAATCGTCGAGAGCATCATCAACAACGGGATTTGTCTTGATACAATATTCTTCGAGTGTTTCTGGAACTTTGATCCCGTCTCGAGCCGCCTCTTCTTTCGATTCATCGACTTGTTTCCTATAGAAGCAAAAGTAAATAATATGTTGGTCAAATGTGTTTAAGGGCTTACAAATTTCAAACGTATTTTAAGCACTGATAAACTTTAATAAGAAATAAAACTCACTTGATCATCTGAGCGTATTGATCGTCAACTCCTTCTTTCCACTTCCTGTACATGACTGACGCGTCAACGTTTGCTGGTGAAGAGGTATTTGGCTCGTTGAGCAGAGAGATTACAGACAACAGTATCGTGCGAACACTTTGAGTAGGATTCCAGCGCTCACATGCAAGTTCGCCGCTTTGCGGATCATCGATGGGTGGATGCAGAATCGATATGCAGAGATCGCCATTCTAAACATGAATTTGTTGTGACATAATAATGCTTTGATAGGCTAATGTTTTAGTGCTATCAAACTTTTAAAAATTCTGTTTATCTAATATAGATGTAATCAAATTACCTCGTAAACATTGGGGTGCCAGACTTTCGTCAAGAACTTCACGCTCGGTGGTGAGTATGGGTAGTTTGGAGGGAATCGAATGACGGCTTTGAAGTACCCACCCTGAAAATTGAAAATAAAATGCTGCATTATAAAATTGGCAAGATGACCAATAGCATTTAAACGTTTGTGACATCAAGCTTATCAAATCTATCAAACGCTAAAGCACTTATTATGGTGTACTTGATCAAACAATGGCCATGAAAGTTACCACAAAAGTTACGCACCAAAATGTAGGAATTTTACCTAATAAGAAATAAAATGGTTACCTGATACAAAGTGTGTGGTGGACCAAAGATGCCGACTGTCCAGATGAAGAGATTGTCATCGTTTGTATTGATCGTGAAGCCCTCAACCGGTGAAGATTGCAGTCCTTTCAGCTCCAACGCCAACGCTCGCAGAGCCCCCGATGAAGTTGAAGCACCGTCCATTCTAAAAAAGCGAAAGTTTAACGGTAAGAATATGTGAAGAAAAAAGAAATGTCATCATCAGTTGAAAAGAGAGGCGTGCAAATGCACTGTGGTGAGCTACAACATTTCTGTTGGCAGCTGATCGAAAGTGTCTAGCCAAAAAAAGTAGATAAGTCAGGGGATTCATTAAAACGATAAACAAGAGCGGGACAAATAAAACGTGACCGGCTCTCCTCTTTCTCGTGACTGACGTCACGGAAACTTTACAAAGGAAGGTCATATGCTATAGTAGAGGCAATCGTTGCGAGACCAATACGAATAGTGCAAGAGGAGAGGAAAAGGGGAATTGGCGAAAGGTGAGCGCAACATAATTTTCTGAAAGGAACGCGTTAGGTTTATTGAGATGTTAGCAAAAGCGCCAAATTTGCGATTTTCAACACAATTTCCTACCAACTCTGATTGACCATTTATATTTTTTCAGTTTTTCCTCGTCGACGATGCTATTTTGCCGCCTTCACCGGCTCTGATCGATATCGAGAGTAAAAAGCCGAATCGGGGACACAAAAATGACAGTTTTTGGGGTCTGTATAGGTATTTAAACGTGTTTTCTAATTGAAAACAGTGAAAACAAATTGTGAAGCAAAAAACTGAAAAAAGTTGGGGAAAAGTGATTTTTCATAATGATTTTATTAAGCGCAAATTGGCGCAAAAAACGCGGAGCTTCTGCTAACACCTCGGTTCACTGAATGAAAAATGGGGGAGTGGGACAAATGCGACCTTTTTTTTGCGCACCCGGACATTTGTGCACCTTTTTTTCCGCACCTTGCCCATTAGCGCACCTTTTTTCGCGTTTTAAAAAAGCTCTAAAAGCTAATACTAACCAATTTCTATTCCAAAAGTTGTTTTTCTAGGTAATTTGAGGATGTCGAATTCAAATTTTGACATAACAGAGCTTGTGGAAGCGAACGGACGGAGTTATACAAAGAGAAAAATCAACAATTTTCTGTAATTTGACCTAGCCGTTTTGTCTTTCAAATTGGTTCCACAAGCTCTGTTATGTCAAAATTTGAATTCGACATCCTCAAATTACCTAGAAAAACAATTTGGAATAGAAATTGGTTAACATTAGCTTTTAGAGCTTTTTTAAAACGCGAAAAAAGGTGTGCTAATGGGCTAAGTGCGGAAAAAAAACGTGCGCAAATGTCTGGGCGCGCAACAAAAAAAGTAGCAATTGTCCCACTCCCAAAAATGGCATTAAAACAAAATTTAGAGCTTAAATAGGCTTAAATAGGCAGTAAAGGATCGCCAGCTTTTTAGCTAAATATCTTTTTAGGACAAATTTGTTTTAAAAAGTTCATTGAACAGAAGTTTAAGGGGGTGGGACAAATGCGACCTTTTTTTTGCGCACCGGGACATTTGCGCACCTTTTTTTTGCTGGAAAAGGCCTTAGGAAAGACCGTAGAGCTTCGAAAATATTTCGAAAATTTTTCCATATAAGGGAATCGTATGCGTAGATTCCGAATTTCGACAAATCAGACCTCGCTGACACGTCAAATTTGGGCTAAAAGGCAAAAAATACGGAACTAAGCGTTAATTCCGTATTTTTTTGCCTTTTAGCCCAAATTTGACGTGTCAGCGAGGTCTGATTTGTCGAAATTCGGAATCTACGCATACGATTCCCTTATATGGAAAAATTTTCGAAATATTTTCGAAGCTCTACGGTCTTTCCTAAGGCCTTTTCCAGCAAAAAAAAAGGTGCGCAAATGTCCCGGTGTGCAAAAAAAAGGTCGCATTTGTCCCACCCCCGAAGTTTAATGTTTAAAACCTCAATGAATAACTTAGATTCATCAATTTCTCAATTTCCTATGTAATCAAGGTTTTCAATCTTTCTAATAACTCAAAGAGTAAGAGATTTTCATAGTAAAAAGATGGAAAATGTTAGAATTCAAGGAAAAGGCGAAAGGAATTGATAAGAATTGATGAAAATTGATGAGAAAACACAGGAGAATATATTTAGAGTCAAAATAATTGTTTTCGAAAATGAAAAAAGAATAATTCCAGAACAACTCAATGAGACATCTGTTGTCGGAAAGAAAAATCTGTCACGTTTTCAAAGAGGGGAAATTTTTGAGCGGGAAAATTTCGCCCATTTACATCTGTCCGACTTTTCTATGTAAAAATTGTTATCGTGAAAACGAAAAGGACAGCTAGCATTGCCAAAAGTCAAAATCAGATAAAATGTTTCAAATTGTTGAGTAATTTGAGTGATTCATCCGAGAAAGCAATCAATCAAAAAATCAAAAAATCAAAAAATCATCTGTATGTTGTGTAGTTTGATACCATTTTGCATGAGAAAATTTATTTCATTCGAGATTTTAGGCAGATGAACCAGGTGGCTGAGCTCCTAAATATTGACAAAATCAGCGGGTAATCTAATTTTGAATTGAAAGAACGAATGGTAGCTTTACAGAAACCGTATCCTTAATAATTACCGTAAATACTGTAATAGTACCCCACCCCCATAATGACGGTGCGGAGTGTTGGGTAGTCTAGCTTTGAACGAGTTTTTCTCGACACTGGTTTATGCTACAATGCTCGTTTAGGTATCAAAAAATAGCTGAAATTCAGGGCTATTTTTTGATACCTAAGCGCGCATTGTAGCATAAACCAGTGTCGAGAAAAACTCGTTCAAAGCGGAGCGTTGCGTAGTCTAGCTTTGAACGAGTTTTTCTCGACACTGGTTTCTGCTACAATGCTCGCTTAGGTATCAAAAGATAGCCCTGAATTTCAGCTATTTTTTGATACCTAAGCGCGCACTGTAGCTTAAACTAGTGTCGAGAAAAACTCGTTCAAAGCGGAGTACTGGAGTAGTAGTTTTACCAAACTATTCGCGACATATTGAAAAAGTAGAGTATTTACCATAATATCCCTGTCCATTGCACTGGGGCACATTTCGTGGCCAATCACAAACGGTGCTCACTGGGTTCCAGACGGTACCTGCCGCACATGGCATCAAAGTCCATCCAGCTGGGGCACACTATAGAAAATATAATTCTGATTAGTGTTTTCCTCGCAATTGATACGTTTTCTAATTAATAAGTTTTCTAAAACGCACCCGAGAAAAAGTTTTGTAATCTCGTAGAGAAAAAAAGGCAAAATTCAAGATACCGTTTTTCTGTAGTAGTGAGCAATACTATTTTTTCAACCCCCCTCCAGCCTGCACTACTATTACAGACTGCATCACTATTAGAGAGCTTTCTTCTTTTTTCACTAGAACCAAGTCTTTACCAAGCAATAATAACAGATATCATGCACCTAAGCCATTCATTTTTTCCAAGTGAATCGGGTATATATTATCTTTTTCTCCCGAAATGAAATCATTAATCTTATATTTTTGTTTTTCCTAACAAACTTTGTTTTTTTGATATTTAGCATTGAAATTTTGATTTAATTTTATGGAACTTGCATTTAAAATTATTGAAAATCAAAAATTATCGGATTCAAACGTCCGGATCGGATCTGGAGGTCAGGTTCGGATCTGAAGGATCGAATCTGGAGGTCCGGATTGGATCTGGAGGTCTGGATCGGATCTGGAGGTCCGGGATTGGATCTAGAGGTCAGGTTCGGATCTGGAGGCCAGGTTGGGATCTGAAGGATCTGAAGGATCGAATCTGGAGGTCCGAATCGGATCTGGAAGCCAGGTTTGGATCTGGAGGTCCGGATTGGAGCTGGAGGTCAGGTTCGGATCTGGACGTCCGAATCCAACCTAAACTTTCGAACGTTCAGGCCCAGATCCGATTTAATCGCCGGATCGGATTCATGCAAATGCGAATGTAAAAATAGAGAAAAAAAGAAGACAAAATTTATAAAATATAAAAAATAAGCGTAAAACTTTGCCACGGCTTTTAATACTTCAATTTAACTTAGCTGAATAGCTGAACAGCAAGAGCGCGTTTTAAAAAACGCACTAAGGTTCGATGTTGTTCGACGATGAAAGTTTTAATCGACAATTAATCGATTAAAGCTTTCATCGTCGAACTTTAATCGATTCATTAATTGATTGCGGGGATATTGATAAGTAACTTAAAGAGTTAGAACTTAAAGACAAGTACTCTGGGGTTTACGTAAGTTCAGTATCAGTAAGTTTACGGTATTGTGGATACAGTAAACGCAATTGAGAGTCTCACCTGATAGAAGTGATCACACGACTGTGGATCGAGACGATAATTGGCTGCACCGGAAATTTGCTGAAAATAGTTTGATTAGAAATTTCGGTACTTGTCGGTTATCCCACACTTGTCGGTTATCCAGAGACTCAACTCGGCTAAGCTGACAGCAAGAAGGACAACAAGAAGCTGACAGCAAGAAGAGCTGACAGCAAGAAGAGCTGACAGCAAGAAGAGCTGACAGCAAGAAGAGCTGACAGCAAGAAGCTGACCACGATATCCAATGGATGGGGATGCTTAACCGAGATGAGTCTTTGTGGATTTGTAACCGACAAGTACCCAAATTTCTACTTGATTTATTTACAGTTCTGTAGCTTGGTTTTCTTTTTTCTCCACTCACTGTACACGGGGCTCCCGGTTGAATCTGATCCTGGCAAACACCACGAATGCATCGCCCATTCGAGAACCCGCTACCGTACTCACAAGTCTGCATTTGCCATTGTCCATTGTAACAGATTTCATAGCTAAAGATTTCATAGCTATAGACTGGAATAAAATGTGAAACAAACGCTCCACATTGTCCTTGAATTGGTCGAGTTTGTCCCTGATAGCACCATGTTTGTGGGGGTTGAGGTGGAGCTGGCTGATCGTAAACGCATTGGGAGGACTGAATTTGGATTGTTGGGGGATTGGAGATTGGAGATTTGGATCGTTGGGGGATTGGAGATCAATTTTAAAGCTACAAATGAAAAGCTACAACTTACAAACCCGAGCTAAAACCGAAAGTATCGCAAATCCAATGAAATAGCGCATACTGGCTCAAAAAAGATGCAAAAAAGACAGTAATGTTTTAAAATCAATTCTACAGAATATTAAAAAGGTTAAAAGTAAACATGAAAATACTTAAACGTTTATCCAAACCTTCCAATTGAAGATCGAATTAGCCGGACAGCTTCTCTCGACCCATCCACCCAACTCGCAAACCCAATAAATGCGCGAGTTTTGTGGGTGTGGTCGAACGCTGCCGAATTGACAATCACGTTGGGGGAAAGGATCTAGAAAAGAGAAAATATTGGGAAGGAGAAGGGGAAGTACAATTCAGGGAAAGTACAATTTGTATTGGTTTTTGGGAAAGAGAAGAAAGAGAAGGGAGGGAAGGGAGAGGAAAGGAAGGAAGGAGGGAAGGAGAGGAGGGAAGGGAAGAGAAGGGAAGGAGAGGGAAGGGAAAGGGAAGGGAAGGGGAAGGAGAGGGAAAGAAGGTACACTACTGGACAATGAAATATCATATTTGAAAAAACACTTTCGCACTTTCGCGCGTCTGTAACTCCCTTGTCTTTACCGTATTTCTAAATATTAATATTACCATTGTGTAGCCCTTGAAAAGAGCTTTCAGAAAATGTATAACACTAATAATTTAAACTCAAAGACAAGGGAGTTACAGACGCGCAAAAGTGACGATCGTTTTTCAAATATGATATTTCATTGTCCAGTACTGTATCTAAGAAGGGAAAGAGGGTATCTAGCTTATTAAGAAGGTTTCACACGCTCCCCTTTCAGCTGCTTGGATGGTCTAGTGGATAGTCTGCTAGACTACAAGTACAAGCTACCACTCCAAGCCTAAAGTTCGAGTCCCACCCTCGAAAAATCGTTTTGCTTTTTAAAAAACTGCTTCCTTCTCCTTCTCCTTCTTTGTAAGCTTCTTTGTAAGCTTTTACAGGAAACCAGCAATATTTTTAAAAGCAATACGATAGTTATTACTGTGGCTTAACGATAAGTTAAAGCTAAAGCTAGAGGCTAAAGCTAGAGTCTAAAGCTAGAGGCTAAAGCTAGAGTGCCAAACGGTCTACCATCAATCTTCGTGCAAATCCTTGTTGCATCACATTGTCCATTGATGAATGGTTGATAGTTTGGACACCGTCCTTCCACCCATTCACCATTATAGCAAATACTAGATAAAAGATTACGGTAATTGATTAGAGTTGATTAACTAAAGGTTAAACGGTAAACAATCGATCAATTACCGATATTTCCCGCATTGTTCCATTGGATGATACCAACCATTGTCACAGTTTGTCTTTTTTCCACAATTCTCACTAAAAGCTTTCAAAAAAAATACTAATAAAAGGTTCCTTTTATTAGTATTTTTGTAAACAAACCCCTTCACACAAGCTCTGAATGATGGATCGAAGTAGGAACCGGATGGGCATTGCATCATTGTGTAACTGAAAGAATCGACTCTAAAACTCAACTCTAATAGTCTAGTGAGCCAAAAAAAGTGCTTATTAGAGCACAGACTTATACAAAGACTTATACAAATCTACTGTAATTTCATTTATCAAATCAAACCGTCCATATTGTGTACACTGATAAAAACGGGTGCAATCGACCGGGTCGACGATTTTGTCGTTTCCTTGGCACAGATAATTTGTTTGATCAGTGCTTGGCTAAAGCATAGAATTGCTTTCTTTTGCTTTCTTTGCTTTCTTTGCTTTCTTTTGCTTTCTTTTGTTATCAATGCTTACAAGGAGAAATCTGAAGAAGGAGAAGTGCTTGTACTTGTACTTGAAGTGCTTGTACTTGTACTTGTACTTAAAGTACTTGTACTTGTACTTGAAGTGCTTGTACTTGTACTTGAAGTACTTGTACTTGTACTTGAAGTACTTGAAGTACTTCGTTCTACTTAATTTGAGCTGAATCAGCATGCAATCAGCTTTTTGCCTAATCCTTTGCAATTTAAGGAAAATAGGAAAATAGGAAATTTTGGAGGGCTTCATATGGTGAAGTTAAACAGATGCTAAAGCTTGTTCAATGGCTGACTGGCTGACTGGCTGACTGGCTCAGGCTGACTGGCTCAGGCTGACTGGATCAGACTGACTGGATCAGACTGACTGGCTGACTGGCTGACTGGCTGACTGGCTGACTGGCTGACTGGCTGACTGGCTGACTGGCTGACTGGCTAAATCTTGCTCGATGGCTGAAGTTATTACACTACAAGGCGAACAAGCTATAAAGCTGGCTAGGTTAGGTCTCGGTACTCGCCTTCTCCTGTACTTTCGCCATAGAAAGGGTTACGGTTACGGTGAAATTTGTCTATGAAATATATGAATCATCTGTATCTGGAGCATTCAGTTGTCTCCAAAATGTAGATTGATTACTGTGCCACCTTGTAAATTGATTGTTCAACTCACAGGCGGTGCTGGTGGGCCAAAAGAGCCTTGTCCCTGCCAATTCCCAGTGATCGGTTGTCGGTAGACTTTTGAGAGCTCCTGTACTTTTGGTTGAACATTCGAAGCTGAAAAACTTTCAGCTGAAAATCTTTCAGTCTTAAAATCTCTTCTTTTTTCATTATGATTGAGCATTTGCTAATTTTCCAATTGCTAATTTCAAAAGTTTGCACCTGCAACAGTGAGGAGAGCCATTAAGATCTCAAATTTGGTCTTGACGTTCATGAATATACAAATTTTTCTTGATTAGGTTAATTTTCAAGGATTATTTAGGTTAGCTGAGTGTTAAAAAGACTAAAAGAAAAGAAAGACTAGAAGAAAAAGCACTCCATAAGCGTTAGGATTTGTTTGCGTTCAAGCTTTAAGCCTAGTCATACAAAAAAGCTATTCCTGGTTCAAAGCTATTCCTGGTTCAGCTATTCCTGGTTCAGCTATTCCTGGCTCAGCTATTCCTGGTTCAAAGCTATTCCTGGCTCAGCTATTCCTGGCTCAGCTATTCCTGGCTCAGCTATTCCTGGCTCAATCAATGCCATTCCTGGTTCAAAGCTATTAGATATTTATGGTATTAGATATAATTGATCAATTTCTTTTTTTAAAACGAATCCCGTAGATTTAAATACTAACGAATCCCGTAGGTTTCTCTAGTTCGTTGCGAGGTTTGTTGATATTGAGCATAGCCGTTGTTTTGATCGCATTCACCGGCGATGCAATTGTGAGAGGATTCATCTGCAAAGTTGGATACGTAGTTAGTTTTTAGTTTTTAAGTTTTAAAGGACCGTATTTCTTCTAATAGGTTTATTTTATATTTTATCTTATAGCTTTTATTCTTTCGAGCAACTTCTAGATGCGGCTTCTAATCGACTTCTAATAGAACTTCTAATAGACTTCTAATAGAACTTCTAATAGAGCTTCTAATAGAACTTCTAATAGACTTCTAATAAAGCTTCTAATAGAGCTTCTAATAGACTTCTAATAGACTTCTAATAGAGCTTCCAATAGAGCTTCTAATAGACTTCTAATAGAGCTTCTAATAAACTTCTAATAATCTACATCTGCGCTTTCGCGTTTTCTATCGGTTTTCCATGTTTGAATAACCATTTGACGCAGAAAAATGGTGAAAAATGGTGAAATGGTGAAAAATGCTGGATTCAATTAGGTAAAAATTATCAAAATCCGTCTGATACATTTAAAAAAATAGAATTCTATCAAAAAAACCGATAATTTTACACAGAGAGAGCCCGACTCACCGGGTTTCTAAGGCCAATCCTCGCAAAAGGTGGCCATAAACAAAAATCCTTCAACTTACTTTTATTCACCTATACTCTACGAGCATTTTGATACCAAAAACATAAAAATTGGGCTACGCAGAAAAAACTAGTAGCATTTTGAATCAAAAAATGTGTTTTTTCGTTTTTTTTTGTATGGAAACCTAAGCTGAAACCATGTTTTTCGGAATCAGCGTTGAAAATTACCCTAGAAAACGCAAAACTCGTTTATTTAGCAAGATTTTTCTAAAAAACTGCCGCGGGTCGGAGTCGAACCCTCGACCCTCGGATCGCCGCTAAAAATGAAAACTGAAAGAGCTCTGAAAGCGGTGATCCGAGGGTCGAGGGTTCGACTCCGACCCACGGCAGTTTTTTAGAAAAATCTTGCTAAATAAACGAGTTTTGCGTTTTCTAGGGTAATTTTCAACGCTGATTCCGAAAAACATGGTTTCAGCTTAGGTTTCCATACAAAGTTTCAGTTAATTACCATAAATATATCCCTTTGGACACTCCATTTCAATCCATCGACCATGCTTGCAAACGAGAAAACGACCGCAGTTGGGTTTCGGGACAAGGAACTGAATGGTTTGACAATAATTTGACAATGGTTTGACAATAGTTTGATCTAGAATAATAATGTATACCGTCACCGGTCATTTATTTTCCACAAACAATCACAATCTACACATTAAGGAATATTCTACCGTTATTCTAAGGAATATTCTATCGTTTGTGAGGATGGGAGGATGTAGGAGTCGATGTAGGAGAAGGCTATCCGCCTTATGAGCTTGCGTCTTAGACAAGTCTACCCATTTGGATCCCTGGTTATCTTAATCCTGAGGGGAAAGGGGCCTAGGGGGACTAGTCTTGGCAACCAGTTCACCATATGGGTGCGGTTACCTACAGCACTCATCTACAGCACTCACCTACAGCACAGTCAGGGAAGCTAGCCCTGCTGCTGCTTCTGCTGGATTCGAACCAGATCATCTACTGGATTCAAACCAGAGACTAACCGAGCCCAAACGAGCCCAGCTTAACTTCTGACGATCTGACGGGATCCCGTTCAACGTGGCCAGGCCGTAGTTAGTATTTCCGGAATGGATTCATCTATTTGGAATGTAGATCTATTTACTTTAAGCCTATCTGATTATTGTATTAGTTACTGGTTAATTACTGGCTCATTCGCTCACCGAATTGTGCTCACAAACGAGTTGATGCCCATTCCCGCACTCGACTCGTCCATCTTGCACACAGCTTCCCACGCTCAAGTTGAACCAGCCATTTTGGCATCTAGATAAAGTTATAAAGGAGATTAGATAATTAGAAGGAGATAATTGAATATTCTAACAGCATTGGCTTAATATTAAATTCTTTCTAACTAATTATTTCAAAAAAACCTCTGCGCAATCCATTGTCCATTCTGACATACGAAGTACGATCCACAGCTGGTTTCATCTGACTGAAAGCAGGCATGAGAAACTAGGGTTAGAAAGGAGTTGGGTAGGTTGAGAAAGAAGTTGGGTACGAGTAACTCGACAGATGTCACAGAGCAAAGCGAGCAATGCCAAGTGGATCAATGCATGATCAATGAGCAATGCAAAGATCTACAAAAGCTTATATAGTTCTATCTGTCGAGCCGATTTGCTATGAGAGCATATTGTTTGCTAGAATTGCTAGCTGATTTGCTATTTAGCTAGCTGATTTGCTTTGAAACTTTGCTAAAGAAGGCGAGCCCAAAGAATCGAATTGTCATCAAGCCGATTGTCACAGAGCAAAGCGAGCAATGTCAAGTCGATCAATGCATGATCAATGAGCAATGCCAAGATCTATAATCTGTTCCCGATGGTGATCACAAGATTACAATATATTGATCTCTTAGCGAAATTCCATTCTAAGGCCACTGAAATCCAAGATTGCCTTTGAAGTGATTTCAGTGGACTGGCAAAGAGTCTTCTTTCGCTCTTTGGCACTTTTGAGCTTAGGCTCAGGCTTAGGCTCAGGCTCGGCTCAGGCTTAGGCTCAGGCTCAGGCTTAGGCTCAGGCTTAGGCTTAAGCTCAGGCTCAGGCCCGGCTTAGGCCAGGCCAGGCTTGGCTCGGCTCGGCTTAGGCTCAGGCTCAGGCCAGGCTTGGCTCAGGCTCAGGCTTGGCCAGGCTGCTTAGCTCAGGCCAGGCCAGGCTTGGCCAGGCTCAGGCTTAGGCTCGGCTCAGGCTGGCCCAGGCTCAGGCCAGGCTAGGCCAGGCTCAGGCTGGCCAGGCTTAGGCTTGGCTCAGGCTGGCCAGGCTTGGCCAGGCCAGGCTTGGCCAGGCTGGCTTGGCCAGGCCAGGCCGGCTTGGGCTCAGGCCAGGCTAGGCTCAGGCTTGGCTTAGGCCAGGCTCGGCCAGGCTTAGGCTCAGGCTCAGGCTTAGGCTCAGGCTTAGGCTTAAGCTCAGGCTCAGGCTCAGGCTTAGGCTCAGGCTCAGGCTTGGCCCAGGCCAGGCTAGGCCAGGCCAGGCCAGGCTTGGCCCGGCTCAGGCTGGCCAGGCTTGGCTGCTCGGCTCGGCTCAGGCTTGCCGGCCGGGCTGGCCAGGCTGGGCTGGCCAGGCCAGGCTCAGGCTTAGGCCAGGTTCAGGCTTAGGCTCAGGCTTGGCTTAGGCTCAGGCTCAGGCCAGGCTTAGGCTCAGGCCAGGCTTAGGCCAGGCTTGGCTGGCCGGCCCAGGCCAGGCCTAGGCCAGGCCAGGCTTAGGCCAGGCTTGGGCTTAGGCTCAGGCCAGGCTCAGGCTTAGGCCAGGCTCAGGCTAGGCTCAGGCTTAGGCTTGGCTCAGGCTCAGGCTCAGGCTTAGGCTCAGGCTCAGGCTTAGGCTCAGGCTTAGGCTTAGGCTCAGGCTCAGGCTCAGGCTTAGGCTCAGGCTCAGGCTTAGGCTCAGGCTTAGGCTTAAGCTCAGGCTCAGGCTCAGGTTTAGGCTCAGTCTATGGTTGAAACAACCAAACGCCGTTTACCATCGAATCGCCAAATGCATTTTAGCAAACGCCTTTTGTTTTCTAAAGCGTAACATTGCATCGACGTTTTATGAAACAAAGTTGTTTGTTAGAATGCATTTTGCAAGACGATAGCTCAGGTAAAACGCCGTGTTCTTTGTAGGCATAACGGAGCGAAAGCACCCGCAAGAAAGTCGTCGAGAGAGAGAGGAGCTCGATGTGATGATTCACAAACAACATTGACACGAGACATTATGTGGAAAGCACTTGGAGAATATCATGGAATTTCTAGATTATCGATTTTTGTTTGTTTGATTAATGGAAAAAAAGAGAAACAAGTGGAGTCGATCAAAAATTCGCAAATTGGCTAGTGAAATTTTTTCAAAGGAAAATTGGTTAGCTGATATGCTTTCATAGTAAATCATTCTTTTATAAGAAATCAACTAATCAAACCGGCTACAACATCAATCAATACACTTATAGCAAGAAGCCTATTCCGGAAAGAAGTCTAGTCTAGCAAGAAGTCTAGTCTAGCAAGAAGTCTAGTCTAGCAAGGAGTCTAGTAGACCCTAGTAAACCTAGTAAGTCTAGTAAACCTAGTAAGTCTAGTAAACCCAGACTTTAAATTTCCCTTGTTGACATTGTGCAGGGATTGGAGTGTTTGATCGTTGTTGTTCAGGATTTTGGCATCTTGCACAAGGAGCTAAAAGTAAAAGAGCTAAAAGAGATTTTAAAATGATTATATTAGATGTAAATTTTCTAGAAAATAGATTCTAAAGTATTCTAAAGTATTTTAAAGTATTCTAAAGTATTCTAGAATTTACTTTGCAAATTTCCTTTTTGATCACGACATGAGTAGGAGACGAAATTCCCGCGCTCGCACATTGAAAACGTCTAAACCTCTGTCTCTTCACTAGCTATTAAATTTTAGAATTGAAATATTAAACGTGCTAGAAAGGGAACACAAGGAACAGAGAAAAAGCACAAAGAACAGAAGAAAAAGTCTATGACTCAAACCTGACAATCGGCTGTCTCGATGATGTCATTCTCGCGGCATTGTTGTGTCTGAAATGGGCAAAAGGCAATGCGGAATACAATGCAATGTACAAGAGGATACTATGCACAATGTACAAGAGAGTACAATGCAGGATTACTCCGTAAAAACTCTAATTGACGGCCACCGCATTTTCTATTATTCTATTATTTCATTTTCCCTGCCTACCCTATTGCACTTTAATGAAAATACCTTTTTTTAAAGGTCTATTTTCAATTCTCTCCCTAGCTTACCAAAGATTTTTTTTGCGCATTCATTATTTGAATATCTTTTATCATTCTTGCTTCTTTAATAAAATTACTAATGTGGTATTTTTAGGACCGATGACCAATCAACCAATCAGAAGTCATTCATTCGAGGAATGCCGAAGGCTCGACTAATATCTAAATATCTTCTTTTTGTATCATCAACGAAGCAAGGAGAAATCCAAGTAAATGGCTGGCGAGATGTTCTTTGCGCGGGCGCGTAATCGCTCTCCATCTGGCACACGTCGCCGATAGATACCCGTTTCCCGTCATCTCCGGGAACTCGACCGTCATCTCCGGGAACTCGACCGTCATCTCCGGGAACTCGACCGTCATCTCCGGGAACTCGACCGTCGTCTCCGGGAACTCGACCGTCATCTTTCAGGGCCTCATCGCCGATACGAAAAAGAAGCTCAAGTCACTCAAGTCGGACACAGCTGTTCCCGGAGGAATGACCAAGTAAATTCAACCGGCTGAACATGAACCCATTCAAGCCCAAGATCCGTCACTTCTACGAGGAATGATGGTGATCACGAGCAGACAAAGTCCGGGAACTTTACGATGGAAGTTTACCTTGCAATGGGTCGTGGATGCTTGGAAAAGTCTCCCAAGCTCATTGAGAAGGTTTTCAAGACTTGTGGAATTACAAACAATGTGACTGGACGATCAAATCCACTGTTTCAGCAAGGACAGCTCAATTCCCGGCGGATTCTTGAAGCTTTCGTAAGCACGAATCGATTAAAAATTTAACTTTGAAATGCTTGGTAAGTTGTTCTTGATGTTCATGGCGTTTTTTAGAGTTTTTACGGTGGTGTAACTTTTAATCTATTTCATATCTAGTCTCACCTCTTGTCCTCGATTGCAATTTGCGTCAGATACACAGACTTTCGCTTGCGCATCCCATCGAGTCGCTTGCGGGCAAGAGAACCATTGATAACTAAGATTTTCAAGGTATTTAAAGATCTACAGTAGATCTGCTGTAGATCTGCTGTAGAAATTCTACACTATTCCCTTACTTTCCTTTTTGACAAACGGCAACCATGTGACAATTTAGCTGATAGAAGTCACCGGGTTGACACTGGAATTAAGGATTAGAGTGTTAGATTAGAGATTAGAGTGTTAGATTAGAGATTAGAGTCGCCACTAATCAATTAATCGATTGTCGAAAGATCGAAAGTTGAATGATTAATGATGATTAATAATTATGCTGATTTGGTTCCTATTTGGTTCCTATTTATTTTCTTATAGTTCCTATTTGGTTCCTATTTGACTCCTATTTGATTCCTATTTGGTTCCTATTTGGTTCCGATTTGATTCCTATTTGGTTCCTATTTGGTTCTTATTTGATTCCTATTTGGTTCCTATTTGGTTCCGATTTGGTTCCTATTTGGTTCCGATTTGGTTCCTATTTGATTCCTATTATGGTTCCTATTTAGTTCCTATTTGGTTCCTATTTGATTCCTATTTGGTTCCTATTTGGTTCCTATTTAGTATATGGCTCGTAAAAGTAATCAAATCTTTACCAAACACTCAACTTTCCAATAAACAATAAAGAATAAAGAATAAACAACAACAATAAACCACAACAATACTTGTCTCTGCGCAGCGCATTGATATCCATCCTCGCATCGTTGCATGTAATCATTGTATCCCCGTTGTGCTTTGCATTTCATCGACGCCCATTGCATCGGTTTTCCACTCACACATTGAGAGTACTGTAAGTGATTCATAGAACTAGTTACCAAAATCGAATACTCAACCTTATTGCATTGCGCATAATCCTCACGTTTCATGCCTTGCACACAAGCCATACAATCATTCATTCGGGCACATTCATGTCCATTAAAAAAGAGACCGGATGGGCATTGGTAGAAACGAGCCTAGAATAAAATTCTCTTCCCTCATTTTCTGTCAATTTTCGATAGCTTCCTTAAACTTGTCTATCACCTCTTGTCCCTCGCATCGGACGAATTGTGCGGAACACTTTTCGACAAGTGGAAACATCGTCCATTCACGCCCACTGAAATTAACTATGGTACCCATAACAGCTGCAATCGCCTCTACAGTAATCATTTGCAGCTACAGTATCCTTTACAGCGATTCAATACTAGACATGTGTACTTGGTCCTGTCCTTGGTTCGGTCCTTGGTTCTGGCCTTGGTCCGGTCTTTGGCCCGATCCTTGGTCCTGGCCTTGGTCCGGTCCTTGGTTCGGTCCTTGGTTCGGTCCCTAGTCCTGTCCTTGGTCCGGCCCTTGGTTCGGTCCTTGGTTCTGGCCTTGGTCCGGCCATTAGTCCGGTCCTTGGTCCGGTCCTCGGTCCTGTACTTGGTCCTGTCCTTGGTCCTGTTTTTGGTCCGGTTTTCGGTCTCGTTCCGGTCTCAGACCGAAAAATTGAGGCTTCAGTCCGGTCCAGACCAAGATCGGATTGAAAAGTTGGGGTTTTTCCGGACCGAGATCGAGATCGAACCGAGTGCACATGTCTACTCAATACTCCGACTCAATTGCTGCAGTAACCCTTTCTTCTGCTACTGTGGCACCGTCCACAGTACCGCTACAGTACTCTACCTAGTTTTCGTGGACCTAGTTTTCCGTTCGAATCGGCTCCTTCCCCTTTACCGATTCCAAAAGGGAAGACTTCTATAGCGGAGCCGGTTTCAAGGTCGAGAGCGATTACGCGACCGCACAAAGAACATCTCCAATCATTTACTTGAATTTCAGCTGTCAATTTCTCGGGGGATTTTCGAGGTAGGGGAATCGAATATTCTTTTTATTGAGTCAGCCAATCTGGGAATCATTTACGATTTTATCTTTAACTGTAACTGTAACTGGAATAATCCTTTCAACGAACTCACACACAAAGCCCTCTAGCCGGACAAAGATCTTGATGCGTCCAGCGACGACAATAGCCACTTTTGGGCTCGAAAATCTCGCCGGCTCCACATTGGATGAGACTCGGATATCCATTACAATCGATGTACCTAGATTTTGGATAATAAAAATATGACTAATACGATGTACAATACAAAGTACAACACAAAGTACAATACAAAGTACAACACAAAGTACAATACAATGTACAGTACAAAGTACAATACAATGTAGAATACAATGTACAGTACAATGTACAAGACAATGTACAATACAATGTAATAATCGCTAGTTACCAAGTAGCGCAATTGTCGTGTCGATAGAAATCTTGGCCTTGTTGTTGGTGTTGTCCGTAGTGCACGTAGGGGCTCCGCACTCGATCTAAAGGACATCTTTCAACTTCTCAATTTAGGGTTTCAACAACTTCGGGAACTAGTTCAAACTAGCAACTTTATTTTGAAAAAGGGATTACCGTCAGAGTCCCGTAGAATTCTAAGAAACACGAATTTTTGATTTAACAAATCAGGCAAAAAAAACAGCCAGATCCAGCCAGCGGGATTGAACCCTCGACCTCTCGACTGGGATACCAGCCTCTTAGCCAGTCGGCCAAAGCCTCAACGGAAGCCGACCGGTTAACTCGGCTTTTTACTTCAAACTTCTCGATTTTGTTCAATGGCAAACCTCGCCCTTATCTATAAGACGGCTCCACGCTGCCTTACAGAAAAGGAACGGTGGTCTAGGGGAGAGTGTGCTAGACTCTAAAACGGATGCTCGCGGGTTCAATCCTTCTTGCTGCCAGATGTTTTCCTCTTTTGTTTTAAATATAAAAAAAACGTTTTTTTGTGAGTATTAAGATGTTTTTAAAGTATAAAAAAGTTTCAATAATAGTAAATTTCTAGTTAGTTGCATAGTTTGCGATGAAATTTAAATAAATCAAAGAAATCAAAGTATCTGAACGCACCACAGTGTCTCTTGATGAAGAATTGTCGAATTGGGGCAAAAGATTCAATGCTTGTGTCACCGAAATGCTTCTGAATGGGCTGGCATTGAAGATCGGTGTTGATGAAAGTGCCTAGAGAAGAAAGAGTACGGTAGTTTATGTAGCAGGTGTACTGTAGCGCTAGTTCTTCTAGTTCGCAGCTACAGTAAGCTGCTGTAAGTGACTGTAATTGCTTTAGTTACTGTTTTAGGGTAATCGGGAAGTTTTAGGAGTTCTAGGAGCTCAGAACAAAGTCACAGGGGTACTGTGTTCTTAAGGGAATTGTAGATTATGAGCTACATAGCATCGTAGCTACTGTAGGGTTATAGCTACTATAGCCACTGTATTTTGTAGCTCTAAAACAACTACATTACCCTGTAGAAGGGGTACTGTAGCTAGCTACGTTCATCTAAAAGAACTCACCAAAAGGACATCCGGCAACGATGAGATCGCGGAGATTCTCATGACAAACCAACGCTTGTCGAGAGAGAACCGATCGACCAAAATACACAGCACCTCCATGGGTACAGAATTGATCTTTCTGAAAGGGAGTTTAGAGCTAAGATAGGGTTACGGTAGGCTAGGGTTACTGGAGACTAGGGCTACTGTAGGCTAGGGCTACTGCTAGCTAGGGTTGCTGGAGGCTAGGGTTACTGTAGGCTGGGGTTACTGTTAGCTAGGGTTACTGTAGGCTAGGGTTACTGTAGGCTAGGGTTACTGTAGTCCAGGGTTACTGTTAGCTAGGGTTACTGTAGGCTAGGGTTACTGTAGGCTAGGGTTACTGTAGTCCAGGGTTACTGTTAGCTAGGGTTACTGTTAGCTAGGGTTACTGTAGGCTAGGGTTACTGTAGGCTAGGGTTACTGTAGTCCAGGGTTACTGTTAGCTAGGGTTACTGTAGGCTAGGGTTACTGTAGGCTAGGGTTACTGTAGTCCAGGGTTACTGTAGGCTAGGGTTACTGTAGCCAAAGAGCCAAGTCTTCACCTCAACAAGTTGTCTCGTTTCCTCATTCATTGTGTTCATTTGAGTGTCAAAACATTCTGGAACCTTCTCCGTTGATCGACAGCGATCACCAGAGAAAACCTATCGAAAATTGGGAAAAATATAGGGTAAAATGAACCATTAGATCCCCGGGACAGTTTCGAAACAAAAAGCGATCTCTTTCCGGGGAACATTCGAGAAAAGTCCTTGAACAGGCGCCCAATCCAACGAATTGACGACCACTCCGGCACAACGAGATCAGCGTTTGAGCTCTGAAAGTGTTGAGAAGGCTTTGGCTTGGCTTGGCTTGGTTTGGCTTGGCTTGGCTTTACCATAGGCTTAATTACCGTAATCTTGGCTCTAGGGTTACGGTAGGCTCGGCTCTAAGGTTACGGTAAGCTTGCCTAAGCCTAAGCCTATCAATCTTTCATCTGATTTTGTTAAGGAGATCAAAAAATGTAAAAAATTGATAGATTAGATTAAACTAAAGCCAAGATTACGGTAGTTTTTGAAAGCTGACAGGCTTTGGGAAGGGTTACAATGTGCCAAAGTAAAGGGAAGAGCAAGTGTTTACAAGGGAAGAGCAAGTGAACAAGGTGGCTAAATGACAAGAGCCATATTAACTTAATGTTAATAGTATATGGCTCTTGTCTGCGGTAGTGCTAGTCTGCTAGAATACAAGCCATATACTAATTTGGATGAAAAGTAGTTAGAAAAAGATTGAATCAATCAATTACCTCTAAAAAAACAAAAGAAAGTTAAACTGCGGACTCGAACCGAGCTTGCTTTGTAGGCTTGCCTTGTATTCTAGCAGACTATCACTCAGCCACTACTGCTTTGAAAAGCCCTGGGAAATCCGCTCATAAAGGGATGATTTCCCATCCAAAACTTTGAGCGCTTATAACTTTTGACAGAATGCTCCATATCAAAAACGGAAAGCAGATTCGGAATAAGCGGAAAATTCTACGTCGAATGGTATAAATTGTATATCATTTGACCGATTCAACCTTCTCTTATTAGTCAAAACTCAATTTTTCATAAACTTAAAGCCTCAATTCAGTCTTTAAGGCTTGATACGAGGTATACTGTAGATATTTCCTTATATTTTCTGTGCAATTCCTTTTTCTACCTCGCCAACAGCTCCGGTTCACCAAAGTTGTTTAGATTCGAGTTTTCCCATCCTGGAAATTGATCAGTTGATTAGGAATTGATCAGGAATTGATCAGAAATGATTATTCAGTGATATTGATGTTTTTGCAATAAAACTGAATTCTTTTTTGGCTACAGTACTCAATTCTACAGCAGTAACACCAAAATTCAATTAACTCAACCAAATTAACCAAATGCTTTGACCAAATCACGATGGGATTTCGCGACTGTTTTGCCCAGTTTGAAGTCGTAAAGTAGGCAGACGCGAACTTGATATATTGGGTCGGTGAATTGAAAACTGCCGGCTATTGTCATGTGTGACAGTTTGAGCACTTTCTTCAAAAGAAACCCATTTTGGTGTCAAAGAAAAAAAAAGACTGAAAAAATAAAACACGACGAAAGACTGAAAATTTTTTTGTGGCGGGGTCCTTTTATTGCGCCGGGTTACGGTAGTTTCCGACGTTTGGCGCGGAAACGTCTGAACGTACGGTAGACGGTCCGAAAGGCATCTGTCGTCAGAATTTTATTATTTCAAGAGAGAATTCCTTTAAATTGATTTAAAGTAAAATGAAATTAAACCCAATTTGTTTAATTACTTTTTTAATTACTTTTTTAACTATTTATTATTTATTATTATTTTTAATTTATTGGGTTGGTGAATTGAAAACTGCGGGCTATTGTCATATGTGACAGTTTGAGCACTTTCTTCAAAAGAAACCCATTTTGGTGTCAATGGAAAAGTTGTAGAGAATCCAAAAAAAAGCTTATATCCAAATTTTCAGAACGATTCAAAAACTAGTTTTCAAGAAATGCGAAATTTATGAATTTTCACAAAACTTGCATTTTAAGCGAAACTACTAAGTGTATCTTTTTGGAAATTTGGCTATAAGCCTAATTTTTGATTCTCTACAACTTTTCCATTGACACCAAAATGGGTTTCTTTTGAAGAAAGTGCTCAAACTGTCACATATGACAATAGCCCGCAGTTTTCAATTCACCAACCCAATAAATTAAAAATAATAATAAATAATTAATAATTAAAAAGTAATTAAACAAATTGGGTTTAATTTCATTTTACTTTAAATCAATTTAAAGAAATTCTCTCTTGAAATAATAAAATTCTGCCTTTCGGACCATCCACCGTACACTTTGCCTTTCAGACGTTTCCGCGCCAAACGTCGGAAACTACCGTAACCCGACGCAATAAAACGACCCCGCCACAAAGAATTTTTCAGTCTTTCGTCGTGTTTTATTTTTTCAGTCTTTTTTCTTTTTTTTCCATTGACACCAAAACACTTTTGAAGAAAGTGCCTAAACTGGGACATTCCTCCATTTTTGATTCTCCAGTCCTCCATTTTTGAGTCTCACCCCTGTCTCACAGACAAACCAAAATCCTACTACGAAAGAGGAATCCGCAAATTGCCTGTAAAATGGGCAGAAGTCGTCAATAATAATGGAAATTATTTGGAATGAACTGATGGTTTTATGTTGAATAAATTCTAGTTCAAAGTCCGGCAGTTTTCAACTCACCAACCCAATATTTCAAGTCGGTTAGAAATTAGAAATAAGAAACTATTCGTTTAAAAGGCTTCGAAATATGCACAAGATGACGTGCTTTTAAATACAGAAAGAAAAGCTTTTAAAAGCTTGTTTTAAAAAAGCTTCTCTCACAACAATAAGCTTCAGCAACGCTTGTCTATACCCGAACAACGGAACAACACTATCCGAACAACCTAATAGCTACAAGAATCAAACTTAAAGCTTTCAAACAAACCTGGTGCCTGTCGATGAACTCTCGAAGAGCTAAAAGTACATAAAGATCATCAAAAAGTACATAAAAATCATAAAATCCCTTTTCCTTACTTCAATTCAGCGAAAGTTTCCCAAAAAAAGACCAAAAAAACGATCAGTAGACGCATTTTTGTGGAAAATGAGAATTTCTAAAGAGAAATTCCCCTTTATTTCCTCTGTTTTCATTCATCACTTCTCCAAAATTGACTCTTTTATTCATTTTTTGTTTTTTATTTTGTCTTTAAATGGAATGATTCATTTGAATATCGAAAGAATGAAGTTTTTCTTTTCATTGACAAAAGATTTTTATTCAATAAATGTCTCAGGGAAAAGTTGAATAAGAAATTGAATCTAAAATTGAATCTAAAATCGAATCGAATCTGCTCTACTCTAATCTACTCTACTCTAATCTGCTCTAATCTACTCTGCTCTACTCTAATCTGCTCTACTCTAATCTGCTCTAAAATCGATTCATCTAAAGATCGAGTTGCTAAAAGAGTACTGTGTATAGCAAGAGATCAAGCAGATAGTGAGATGATTTAGCAGAACTTTAGCTACTTTAGCTGAACAATATGGCTCAAAATATAGCTCAAAAGCTCAACAATTTCTGTCAGCAGTCTCGTCGGCCCGGGTAACACTGGTCATTCGAATTGGAATTAAGGAAACCTCCGTACGAAAACAGTTTATCCATTATCACACGAATCCCGGCACTAGGCAATCTGGTCATCGACAATCCGGTCGTCAGCAATCTGGTCGTTAGGCAATCTGGTTGCCGGCAATCTGTTCCGTCCGGGTGACACTGGACGGATCCAAAGGGGCAAAGGGGACAGTTAACTAACTCAGCTTAACTTTAGCATTAACCCCACAACCCCCTAGAGGCCACTATGGCTGTGTGTAGCTTAAGTAAGTCCAGCTCGTCCGCTCAACGTCCAGCTCGACGTTCAGCTCGACGTCTAGCTCAACGTCTAGCTCGACGTCTAGCTCGACGTCCAGCTCGTCCGCTCAACGTCCAGCTCGACGTTCAGCTCGACGTCTAGCTCGACGTTCAGCTCGACGTCCAGCTCGTCCGCTCAACGTCCAGCTCGACGTTCAGCTCGACGTCTAGCTCGACGTTCAGCTCGACGTCCAGCTCGTCCGCTCAACGTCCAGCTCGACGTTCAGCTCGACGTCTAGCTCGATGTCTAGCTCGATGTCTAGCTCGACGTTCAGCTCGACGTCCAGCTCGTCCGCTTGACGTTCAGCTCGACGTCCAACTCGATGTCCAGCTCGACGTTCAGCCATCTCTGGGTGGTGTTTTTCTGTTTTTCTGGTGCAGTTTTTTGATTTAGAATATCTAGATCATTTGGGAAACGTGTTGAAATTCGAAAGGTATTCAGCTTCAAAGTTTCAAAAATTTTTTGCGTATGGCTCGACTATGGATAGTCAAATTGTTTTTGCGCAGCTCTGGAAACGCCTCGTGGCTTAGGCTAGTGGTTAGTGTGCTTGCCTTTTTTCAGCCTTGTCAGTTTTTGCCTCGCAAGTTTGAACCCGGCATTTTTTGCTTTTTGTGTAGTGATGTAGAGACCCTAACTAAACAATTTTAGGGTTTTATTTTTATTTAAGTTGGGCAGAAGTTGGGCAGAAGTTGGGTTGCACAGAGCTGCACAGCACAGAGCACAAGTACAACTCCCAGTTCAATTGCCAAGTTTCGTGGATTCTCTCTGGCTCTATTAGCTTAGCTTTCCAGCTAGATCACTAGCTTTCCAGCTAGATCACTAGCTTTCCAGCTAGATCCCTAGCTTTCCAGCTAGATCACTAGCTTTCCAGCTAGATCACTAGCTTTCCAGCTAGATCACTAGCTTTCCAGCTAGCTCATTAGCTTTCCAGCTAGCTCATTAGCTTTCCAGCTAGCTCATTAGCTTTCCAGCTTTCCAGCTTTCCAGCTTTCTAGCTTTCCAGCTTTCCAGCTTTCCAGCTTTCCAGCTTTCCAGCTTTCCAAAGTATCAACGTGAATTCAAGTTTACTTAAGGAAGCCTTCAAGCTCTACTTGCTATTTGTTGGTGGTTAGAATAGCTGCTATGCTGTGGCTACTTTGTACACTGGCTACTTTGTACACAGTAAACTTCTGTACTTTTCTTTAATCCCTTTTAGAACTTTCAATGCCTCTAGCACTCACTCACGGTCATGATTTGCTTGATTTGCTTTTATTTCATTTAAAATCCCTCTAGCACTGACTTTTCCAATGAAATTCCCTCAAAAAAACTCAATTTCCTCAAAACTCAAAACCAAAAAAAGCAAAAGAAATTGTCAAAAAAAGTAATTTTCTTTTATGAAAACTTTTGCAATCATAAAATCCTTTCTTTTCTTTTAAAAACATGACCATTTTCATTGGCTTAAACTGTCCCATTTTTGGCATTTTTGTTGCTTTAAAACTGTCCCATTTCGGCGTCTTTTCATCTCTTTTTCGACACCCAATAATTTCTCGAAATGTTTAAATGTTTTATCGTTTTTTTTATCGTTTTGACTCTTGCATTTCATGATTTGAGCCGTTTTTTGTGCTTTATTTGTTTGATTTGCTTCATTTCCTTTTATTTCGGTTTATTTCCTTTTATTTTATTTCGGTTTCACGTTTGAAGTTAAATTTTATTTAATTTTATAGAATTCGATAAATTTCTCGTTATTATCTTGCTTTTTCTTTTTTTCTGCAAGGATTTAGAGTGTTTTAGAGTGATTTAGAGTGATTTAGAGTGATTTTGAGTGATTTTGAGTGATTTTGAGTGACTTGGAGGGATTTTGAGTTGATTTTGAGTGATTTTCAATGATTTTGAGTTGATTTTCAGTGATTTTGATTCATTTTGAGTGATTTAGAGTGATTTAGAGTTCATTTTGATTCATTTTGAGTGATTTAGAGTGATTTAGAGTTCATTTTGAGGGATTTAGAGTGATTTAGAGTTCATTTTGATTCATTTTGAGTGATTTAGAGTGATTTAGAGTTCATTTTGAGGGATTTAGAGTGATTTAGAGTTCATTTTGATTCATTTTGAGGGATTTTCAGTGATTTTGAGTTGATTTTCATTGATTTTCATTGTCATTGATTTTCAGTGATTTTCAGTGATTTTCAGTTCACTTTCAGTTCATTTTGAGAATTTTGTTAAAAAGAATGTCCTCTTATCGTAATGCGTATCCAGCTTTTTTAAAATTAAAGTCCTAATTTTTTTTTTTGCATCCCTAAAGTTTCGTCTTAAGATTTTGGCTGCAACAAACAACCTGTTCACTTGTGGTGTAAGCCTTGGGAATTATCTTTGAAAGATCTTTTTGAAATAGACAATGGGAACACAAGGGGATTACCCAACCACCACCACCCAACCAACGACCCCAGTAATCCTTTAAAAGTTCTGAGAAAATGTGAATGCTTTGGGGGGAAAAGTAAAGCAATTCCGTGCACTCATTTGTCAACTTGGACGGGAAAGGGAAAGAAAGAGAAGTGTTTTTTTTGTTTTTCTGAATCACTTGAGAATTACTGTAACATAAAAATGAGAATAAGATCGATTTATCGATGTTAGCCTCATCGTTAACCTCAGAGCCACATCGTTAACCCGCAGAGCCACATCGTTAGCCTCAGAGCCTCATCGTTAGCCTCAGAGCCTCATCGATAGCCTCAGAGCCACATCGTTAGCCTCAGAGCCTCATCGTTAGCCTCAGAGCCTCATCGATAGCCTCAGAGCCACATCGTTAGCCTCAGAGCCTCATCGATAGCCTCAGAGCCTCATCGTTAGCCTCAGAGCCTCATCGATAGCCTCAGAGCCTCATCGTTAGCCTCAGAACGAATCGATTTATCGTTTTAAAAGAATAGAATGAGTAAATAGAAGTCATACTTAAATAGAAGATGAAATGAAAAGAAAAAAATGAAAATAAAATGAAAATGAAATTAAAGCGAAACGCCAACTTTGAAAGGTTGTATAAAAAAGTGGAAAGCTTGAATCGATTAGATAATTGGCACCGTTTCAGGAAATATACTTAAGATTTACCTCCAGAAAAATCAGTCCAACCACCACAAGCAGGTGGTTGGACAGCTGATTGCGACACCCAAGGTTGGACACCCAAGATTGCGATCCAAGGTCCACGTCTGGCCCTTAACTAAATAGGAACTATAAAGGAACTATAAAGGAACTATTAAGGAACTATTAAGGAGCTTTAAAGGAGCTTTAAAGGAACTATAAAGGAACTAAAGCTAAAACTAAATGGCACCGACTCCCGCTGAAAGAATGCTCGGCTTTCTAGTAGGAGAAAGCTCCGAAGTTACGTTTTGTTGATGCGGAAGGGATTGATCAGATCCCAGTCGGTTGAACAACCTCACGGTTCCAATGGGGTGTCCAAATTTCTATCTAGACTGTCAAGTAGCGGATAGCTGACGCAAGCCGGAAGGAAGCATAATGTAATCCGGTTACGAGCAACAGACCTGAGCCTGAGCAACGAGCACAGACCTCTCCACGGTGATGCAATCTGGGAAGTTGTTGGAGATCCAATCTTTTGTATCAAAAGCCTTGAGAGATGGTTGTCTTGTTGAGAATGGAGCAAAAGCAAGCAAAAGCAAAGCAAGCTTTACAAGCAAAAGACCATTCTGTCTCCCTCCATGTGGCACTGAGAAAAAGTAGAGGCTGCACAAGGATCAGCGGCTTCAAGAACATCAACAGCTTCACAAGCATCAGCGGTCGAGCATCACCACTTTAACGAACATCAGCGGCTTCATGGGCATCAAGACTTTCACGAACATCAGCGGTTTCCCTAAATCTCGCGAAGAGCAAGGAGCTTCCCTTATGGAATCGCCCTGTGCCAGAAAGTGAGCGATTATGTGCTAGCACAAAGAACACCTAATAGCTTCAGTTTTTTGGCTATTTCTCAGCCATACTTTAACGGATTGGGCTCGTTTTTATGTCAAAAGATGCACGTTGGAATTCCCCATCAATTCGAGAAGGATTTGTTTGAGAAAAAGCGAGTTTGAATGAGTAAAAACGCGAAGAAACCTTTTGACAGTGATTTCGATGTGTTTATAAAGCAATTGAGTGCTTAAATCAGCTTAAAATGATTCTAATTCTGTTGGAAATTTGCTTTAATTACATTAAGCTTTACTTCAACATTACTTTCCTTT